CCTACATATGTACCTCGTGTTTCTTGAAAACGCACTATGTCATGGATAACAGTTACTTCTTGGTTTTCACCTTTAAGTGCATCTTGTTATCAATCGATTTGCGATTTATAAGACAGATGCGTTTAAACGGCTCTGTATTCTTGCTTATGTTTTAAGGTTGAAGTTTTAAAGGAAATGAGTTGAGTTGAGACAGTTTTGAATGTAGCTCTAATTAAAATAAATATTATTAAGATAGTTAAAAAGACATTAAGATGCTGAAAATTAACTGAGCCATGGATAATTTTCTTTTTAATGATATGTGGAGTACCTGATTTATTCAGCGAAGCTTCTGTCAATATATATATATATATATATATATATATATATATATATATCGTTAGTTAGATAATATGATATACGGTTATGAGTTTTAATTTTTCTGTATGCTATGTAGATTTTAGAAAATATGCTTGTAGTCTGATTTGGTATCATGCATCTGAACAGATTATGTGTATATTTCTACAACAGTGTAATTTTTCATCTGTAGTTATGAGATGATTAACTGTCTTAAAACTTGCAGTATACTGCCTACTGTTATATTTTTTTTATCGGTCTTCAAATACGTACGTCAAGAATGTATACACAAAAGATTTCTTATTTATAATTCACAATAGCAGTCATTTACTTCACGTGACCGAGCTACGAAAATCAATTGCATCACTAATTATTTAAGACTTATTAATTATTAAATACGTAAACTGAAAGTTTATTTATGCAAGTTTCTTTGTATATGTGATAATTTATTTTAGATCAAAGTTTGCTTACATACTTTATTCTGTAAACAATATGGTATTATATATATCGGTAAGATTTATGATAGTACTTAGCGTTTTTAAGAACTAGCTACTGACATCATTGTGCCTTGTTTAAGTATACAAGCGTGACTAATAGGTGTGGTATATTTAGAATCGTCATGAATGTCATTCGTGTGGTATTGCAGGTATGAGGGCTGCTCACACCACAGAAGGCTATTTATTGAGGAACCTTGAAAGGAAATCAGATTAACGTTGATCTGAGCGACTTGGGAGGGTGACCGTAGAGCCCAAGAGATAACTGCTTGAGGCCGGCCACACACGACCTTTTTGTTGGAAGCTTTTGACATGTTAGCTCCGCTCTTCAAGTAGCCTTGCCGCCCGAGATGGAAGTCCGTGGGGTAAGGTGAGGTGTGACATTTTTAGGGTCGACCTTTTCTAAGCCCTTCCTTCCTTGTGAGAAGGCAGCACCGCTGCAGATGCTGATTTTCTGAAGGAAACACTTTATCACTGTCACACCCCTCAACAGTCAGCAGTACGACTTCGCCCTCAGACCTTGAGTGGTTGTTTGTAGTCTCATCGTTCTCCAATCGACCTGCCTGACATGGCAGGACCTACAGGTACATAGGTTCCAGCCAATATAGCTCGGTTGGGTCGTCACGATTGGCATGCTCGACCACCACGACAAAGTAGCAGCTACGTTTGGGTGTCATGAATGTAGGCATGTTGGTGTATAAAACATTTCTTGTTTCATTAGGAGTTGTTAAACAGCATCTTATCTTGTTTATTTCTTCATTACAATCCTGTAACTCAGTAGTTTGAGCAATTAGTTTTTGTAGATTCACTTCAAATCGTATCAAAAATATTTGAACAACCAGCTAGTCTTATTAGATTGTTCAGGTAGTCTTGACCACCTGTTGTCCAGTTTTCCTCAAAAAAGTGTCTTTCTAATGTGTAGGAACCTAGAGAGTGACAATTTTTCCCTGAGATCATCTTGTTCACAGTCAAATCTCATTTTCATTGTCTAGCATTTGTTATGTTCACTTCTGTTATAAATGTTTACTGAATGATTTAATGAGATTCTATTCCAAGCTTCCTTAAACCGCTCTGAAAACTACATGTTAGGTCCTTTAATTTTAAAACCCTATGTTGAAGTTAATGACAAACCTCATTATCTGCCATATTAGAATCTAATATTGTCGGTCTTTGCTGCATCCCTGATCTGGGAGTTGATTCTCTAGAAGTTTCATACATTTAGTTCCATTAACGAATTTGAATGTTTAGAAAGACCCGGTAATCAACTCATCAATACTTGGATAATAATAATAATAATTATTATTATTGTTATTAGTGTTTATTTTACTATGAAATCTTTGCTAAACTAATTCTTGTTTTATGTACGCCAAAATTATCCTTTCATTAATCCACTCATTTTTCTGTACGCTTGTTAACCGCTTCAAGTTTTGCTTGCGTAATCCCTTACTTACTAATTCCAAGCAATTACCACCTTATTGCTTATACATTCTCACTATATTTTCTAGTGATTTAGAACTTATGTAAACTCTTTATAACTTTTATAGTTATAACTCGATCCATTTTACGTGTTTTCGGACTTTATTCAATTACTGTCTTGAACTTCAAATGACCTTGCTCCTGTTCAATCGCTTCGCATCATATCATAACCTAATTTTGAGCAGCTAATGAAATTGTTCTTGCCCTAATTCACTTGACCTCACATAACGGGTTCAGAGAGTCAACCCCATTTAATCGCAGTATGTCTTCTAATAACAGTATCCATTTATTACGACTATGCCCAAGCAACTGATTATTCTTATCAAGCACCAATTTTCGAAATATGGTAACCTAGTGAACACTGACCTCAAAACGGTGGACATAAATCGGTTATATTGGTGTCAGCTATCAATGGATGTGTCCAGTCGATAACTTTCACCCTACCTTAGCAACAGATGCTTGAACTTCAATCATTCTTTAGCCATATTTCGTGTGTGTTTGGAATTTATTGGGCTCAGAAACAATATAACAGAAAAACGCCGGCTCTGCTCTTCCACATTATCTGCTAGTCCTCCGAACACTGGTTTCTCCATACATCCGGATCCGACACCCTTTACTTCTGGGCGGAGCTCCGCTGCATACTGCGCATAAGCCACGTTGTGAGTAGTATCCATCACACTAGTAAGACTAGAAAGTTGTTCAGAATCACCAAAATACTAGTTGTAAGTAGTCACACGTTAGTGAGAGCGTTTCAGAGAGAAACACAACTCCAATTCGTTCTCTGTCCAAGGGATTAAAGAGATAAGAACATTTAAGAGAATATGTCAATCGACTTCTATCTACTCTTTCCTTTCCTCTTATTCCTATACGATATGAATGGGTTATTGACATAACTATACTAGCTACTAATATAGTCAAATAGGTTGTTGTCAGTGGTTTCCTTCAAGAAGTAAGTAAGTTTATATCAGCAAAATTACTATCCTTGCTTAAATCTGTTATGTCATTTCAGTAACATTTTTGTAACGGTGAATAGTTAATTATTTTATTAGAATGATGACAGTTCTATGTAAATTATTTTAAAATTATATTTACTAACTATGATTATAAATGATTCCCAGTGTGAAAATTAGAACAACACACATAAGCGAACAATATTGTTTTCGATTAGATCGTCATCAGGCTTTACATAACTATTTTTATAAAAATGTTAAACCAATCAAGGCAGTTTGTAAGTCGATAATCACAATGAAATGAAATAGATTACGTCACGACACATAATAGGCAAAAGTACAAGTTGATAGTAGGAAGACAGGTGTGCTGATAGTAGTAAGAAAACACGATGAAAAAAGTTTTTGCAATAGCTGATCAAATGTGATTATCATTTTTATTCAATTTAGTTTCGTTTAGATGTATTCATCACTTCTTGATGCCATTAATATTAACATTCCCTTTCTGTAGAGTGTGAAAAAAATTTCCTATCCAGTTGTATGTAACATTTAAAAAGCATTTATCTCTTTTTACAGCGAATTCGCAAAAAATATCAGCTTAGGAAACTAGTTGACAAGTTTTTTTGAAAATCCCCATAATAATCTTATAAAATATAGTTATTAAGGTGGAGAACATGGACAGAGTGACAATGAAAGCCCCATAATTAAACATTCCTGTTTAAGGAACTCATTACTTCTGAAATTCTTCAATTTCGAATTAAAAGATGTTCACAAAACAAAAACAAAAAAACTGGCGATCTGCTAGATGTGAACTGTACACTTTATGCATGCTGTTCATGACGTTCAGTTTAACTATTTTGTGTAATCTGTCGCTCTACAAATTTCATTTATTTTGGGGCACAGTTTTAGAGGTTTGCGTTTTTACACATTTGAAATCATCAATCAATCAGTGTTAGACCACCATTAGAAACCTGGAAGCACTGGACGGCCGTTTCGTCCTAGTATGGGACGATGGTAAGGCGTTCGCCTACAATGCCAAAGGTCCCGGGTTCGAATCCTGCGAGGAGCAGGAGTCGGGGATGCGCACTGCTGAGGAGTCCCATACTAGGACGAAACGGCCGTCCAGTGCTTCCAGGTTTCTAATGGTGGTCTAACAATGATTGATTGATGATTTCAAATTTCATTTAATTAAGACCTTTATATTATTATTTCATAGTAATATTTGATACATTGCAATCCATTAAATAATTTCTTATATTAATTAGTCTATATGTCAGGAAACGTGTGATTGGCAGCCCTCGGTGTTTTTGTTTTGTTTTGAATTGTTATGTTTCATGAAATGCTTATTTAGTGGAATAATCATAGGCCGAATTTTTATCTCCCATATGTATTGTTTAGTCTATCGATCGTTTTCTTTGTCTGTATACTTTGTTATTATCTGTCTTAGCATATTGGTATTTTACTCATAAATACTATGAGCATTATTAATGTAATTAAATAACTTTACTACAAAAAATTATACATTCATAAAATGATCACTGTAAGATTTGTTAGGAGAGTTTTTTTTTTCTCAATTCTAATGACAATCTTAACAGAATCCTATTTTGCTAACTTTTTATATTAAGTATTAATATATTTTAGAAGATTTTACAGCTTATAAATGGACTAGTGAAGTAAAGAACAGTTTAAATTGTCAATCTAATTAGAAATAACTTCATCCAACGCGTTTTTTGTTTTTTTCATTGAACAGAATCCCTGTTACAACTAGTAAAGCACTACAGGATCTTCTCCTGAAAATGCTTATTCGTAAACCATCTGATAGAATTGATTTTCGTGAGTGAACAGAGTTGTCTCATTGTTTTGCCTGTCATTATTACTATTATTATGGTGATCGTTATTATTATTATTAGTGATAGTACCATTGAACATGGTTCATATTTCTGCAAAAAGAAACAGCTACAAATGAACAAACTTAAATAAGTTGAAAATTTAATATCTGATATTATTCTATTTCATATATTCAATTATAAATTCTTTTCTCTTTTATTCTAATGCCTCTCACAGTTGACTTCGTTAAGTTATCAAATTTAACAGGGTGTTATTGAAAGAGCTCATAACAACTTCCAAATGTGTTGTTATCATTTTGTTTATTGATTTTCGCCGTTGAATTTATGTTAAGGAACGAGGTGGAGAACATCTACAGCCCGGTCAACAACGTCTTCGATTACATCAAATTCACGATGGAAAAGGAATCAAATAGCAGTCTATCATTCCTGGATGTACCAATACCCAGAACTGACACAGAGAAACTGGAGAGCCAAGCATTTCGGAAACCAACCCACACAGACATAATTCTAAACTACAGCAGCAATAACCCAAGAACTCACAAAATCAACTGCATACAAACATTGTTTAAGAGAGCGAAACACACTAGCACATTCGAAGCGCTGAAGACGTGACTAGTGGAGTTCAACCCCGTCGGGTGCATGCAGTCAATACCAAAGACAAATGAGTGAGGACGCGCAAAATCTCTAGATTAATCAGAGTTAGACATTAACGCCGTTGGATGCCGGCCCATTGGTCCAGAGGTTAGACGTTCGAGCGCAAGACTGAAGGTTCTGGGTTCGAATCCTGCGCGGTGCATGAGTCGTGAATGCGCACTGCTGATGAGTCCGATACCGGGACGAAACCACCGTCCAGTGCTTTCAGGTTTCTAATGATGCTCTCACAATGATTGATTGGTGATTTCATTGTGTAAAAAACAATTAATTCACTCGTTTTCTTCTATATCTTCGGTTTAATATTCCATACTTTTAATAATTGTGTAATACCATTTTTCTTTTCTTTAAATATATATTATATTTTATTTTCTATTTCAGTACATTATTATTATTATTTATGCATCTCTACGCTTCATCTTAATATCTTTCCTCTTCCTCCTCCTCCTCCTCTCTCTCTCTCCATTTGTTACCGTAATATTCACATTTTCCCTAACGTTCAACTATCTTCCCGAATTATTAATTGATAATTAATTATTCCTTAATCTATTCATAGTTAGTTTAAATAAAATTAACTTATTTAGTTATACTTTAGAAATAATAAAAGAGCAGTTAATTTAATGTCATTTTTACGAATAGTTTATTCTATGCATCAAAAATATCCATATTTTTCTTCCTAGAAAATTATTTCTTATAACTGACATCACATTATATAAAATCAATTACACACGCATCCATGTTTTTTTTTAACTTGACTTTATTGAATTTCATTTCAAATTATGTAATTCATATAATTTACTTTTAAGTCTATTATTGTCTTATTCTTATTGTCTAATATGATGACATTTTACAGAAAATTTCCTGAATCATCGATTTCTGCATCAACGACATTTTGAACCTCGAGGTAAGTGTGTATTGTGTGTGTAGATCTGTTTCTTTGTGTGTATGTATGTATGCATACATGTGTGTGTGTGTGTGCGTGAGCGCGTTAGTCAATATTATGGACGGATATTTCACAATGATTTCGACCGAAACAAACTACGTCACTATGTAAAATAATGGTGTTTCACTTTTATAATGCAAAAAAGCGCACATCGATAACTATATTAAATAATTATTGATGACCTAATAACCGAAAGTAAATGATCAGTTTTTCTTATTTGCAGAGAAAGTGTCTAGTAAAAACAATATTATTACTCTGACGATTGATTACATTGGCATTTTATGAGATAAAAAAATATATATATTAAATCTAGGGAATGTTTTTTAAAATCATGTTTTACTTGTTCTATCCGTTTATTTCGAGTAAATGATTGATGAATGCCCGGTAAATAGTAATAGATATCTTTAGAAATTCACAAGTGTTAGGTCCATTCTAAAATCCGGCCATGCATGAACTCATTTCATGTAATCTTAAATGAAATTATCAATTTTTCATAAGTTTTCAATCTATATCAATCAAGTCAATGGTGTATAGCAGCTGTCCAAATTAGAAATCTCCTTTGTATTTTATCATCAAGTTGAATCTGAAGGAATTGTATTATTATTATTATTATTATTATTATTATTATTATTATTATTACTATTGTCCTGAATAACTTTGGTGTTTTTCGACTAATGGATAAAAATGAAACAATACAGATTATTTATTGTCACCAATTATTTTCAGGGAACAAAAACACAGTAATCATTGTTTATGTTATTTTGTTTATCTATTGAAAAAAAATAAATGTCATGTTTTCAATGTTGAATCAAACTTCGTGTTTATTGGTGTACATTTTTTCTTTTCGTCAAATGAATAATAAGACTTGTCATATGTTGGATTTTTTTTCTTTGCTTGTTATTATCATTCAAATGGTCGAATTTCTCTCCTTTTTTTGATTCTATGCTTATGACATTTAACTTGAAAATCAATGATGCCTTGTTATGTATTTCCTGTCTTCCATCTTTAATAAAATGATTGTATGACAATAATTTAACTATGTGAATCACTGATCATTAGATATTCAGTTCAGTTATTGTGTAATTTTGTGTCATCAGTCAATAGCTGATGATAGTAAGAAGTTTAGTACATTATGCGCATCCACTGTTTGTTGTTCTTTGGAATTCTGATCTTCTGAATTCTTCATCACCTCTATCTTTCTCTTTCTAAATTTATCTCACTGAATTATACTTCTTGAATAATATTTTTGAACCCTTATTTCTGCCATTATCATTAATACTTCTACTATATATGGCTTTACATGGGATCTGAACTGACAGTTGCGTCTGTAGGATTTAATTTGTCCTACAGATGTAGTTCTACAACGGTAAACGCAATATTGGCGAGCACAGAGTCTATGGGAAAGCTATAGTCAGAACAAGATCAACTTTTGCTTTAAACTTTATCTGTTTCTAAACATAAAAACAATTAGATTAGTACAATAAATAAGGAAATTACAGTTATCAAGTGAAACCAGTAAACATACCGACCAATATAGCGTGTCTTATAGAAATAAACTAAGTTATGAGTCACATCAATATAATAAGATAATAATGTCCTTTAACTATTAGGTCATTTACAACAAAGAAAGTTTACAGACACGTCAGATCAGGTCACGTGGTGGGCGTTTAAACCACAATTTGATTGGTTAGTTATGACATAACTACAATTCGTCATGGAAATCACTAACAGTGTCTCTGTGCTAATGTACGTACCTACGAAGTTTTACGTCGTAACTGACTGATTTACTAACTAGTACATTATGTCTACCAGTGGTTAAACAGTTACATTTACTATGTTTATGTTAATCAACCAGTGAGTAAATCAGATGATATGGCTTTTAATCAATTACAATGGTATGGTCGGTCTATGCACTAACTGTGATTACATTCGTTGTTTTAAGAGTTTATTGTTCGCATCAAGTTTTTACAATTGCTATTATTAATTATGTGCAGTGAATAACTTTTGATCTTGTTCATTTCATATTACTGTACAAATTTAGTATTAGGATTTGAAATGAACAACATTTCTGATAGATTCTCGAATGCTTTTGTCTATGCTAAATGTTTTGTTTTACTCTATCACTTATACTTTCACTATTCCTACTTTGATATTCATCTTGATAAATTCATCTTGGATAAGAATTTTTAAATGAATGCCAGATTTAATTTGCTAGCCGCTTCTAAATAATCTCAAACTAAATCTATGCGGGAACTTGAACACAAAAAATGAACACGAAGTTTCAAACCAGACTGGTGATAAAGATTTATTTGGTTCACAAAATCAAAGACAATTTGGCAATACACCATTTTTTTATATGATTTATTTACAGTTAGATTCACATTCAGATTTGTAGAAATTGAAATGATTTGTATTTAAAACTAATACTTCAATAACTAACTATATGTGCCTTAAATCTGTAATCCTTTATAAGATGCGAATACATATCACACATGACTGAAAAACAGCTTCCTTTCATATATCATTCACACTCCGATTGGTTAAGCCATTATTCGACAAATGAATCTCACGATGCTAATGTGTCATGACAACTTTGTTGATGTGTATATATGTGCGATAGGTTATATGTTTTTTTTATGCATGACTGACTAGTTATCCGAATGTCTACGGTATATTATGACTGATTAATTCGTTTATTGATGTACAAAATCACGTGGGCTGGTTCAGTCATATTTAGTTTGTCAAGTAGCATCAACAACAATAAGTCTTTATCAAGAATTATGTTTCATAATAAACTTTTCTAAACCTGACATCCTACTAAATAGTTTCTTAAAGTACAGTTTTAATTTTTATTTATATAACTAGACAGTCTACTATAAACAAGTTAATACTTCTGTTAATATAGACAGATAGTGTTTGTTATTTTAAGTATAATACAATAACATAATACATTCTCGCTTGTTTACTTCACCTTATATTTAATGGGAATTAAGGTTAACTAAATTTATGACGAGATATTACATAAGAAGTGAATTAGAAGATTGTGTTTCTTCTTAAAATTATTGTTGCATAAAATAGGTCGAATTGATTATCATCATGAACAAAGTTGCTACTGTATTCGTTATTTATTTTTCAATTTTAATAACATACAACAGATCACTGAATAATCAATGCAACAAATGTCTCATTGTATAAATTAACAGGTCTCATAAATTATAAATTTTTTTATTCTAAACATGATTTAACTTCCTCAACTTTACATTGCATATCTGATTTTTTCAATTAGAGTTATGGAGATTAGTGTGTTTTACACATCTTGACAAACCTAGCAGCACTGGACGGCCGTTTCGTCTTGGTATGGGACTCATCAGCGATGCGCATCCATGACTCCTGAACTTCGCAGGTCGCGAAGAATCTCTAGAATAATCAGAGTTAGACAGTAACACCGTTTGATGCTGTCCCATTGGCCCAGAGGTTAGGCATTCGCGCACAAGACCAAAGGTTCTGGGTTCGAATCCTGCGCGGTGCAGGAGTCGTGAATGCGCACTGCTGATGAGTCCCATACCAGGACGAAACGACCGTCCAGTGCTTTCAGGTTTCTAATGGTGGTTTAACAATGATTGGTTGATGATTTCAATTTGTAAAGCGGATTATTTTGTCTTGTATGTGTACTTTACGAAGTAACCTTTATCCACACCTAATAACCAAAAGGTTTTGATTTTGGTGTACCAATGTGATGTAAAGGTAATTTGAGCGAGTATGTACTTTTGTCTACATTGTTATTGTTTGATTATGATTAACCGACTAGGATTTTTATATGGCTAAATCTATGTGAAAAATATGTCCTTAAAGATTCCTATGAGTGTATTTTTTTTCTATAGTTTATTTTCAAATCAATGTGTTTTTATCATATGTTTTACTAAAAACTATTAGTGATCTCTTTTATTTACTAGAATACATTTTTTATCTGAAATTCTTTTAGTTTCATATCTCATACATTACTTAGTTTAATTATGTATTTTTACTCTAAAACATGTAAACTAGTAAAACCAGTAGACCATTGTATACTTGATCACATTATGTTAAGTCTATATTTTGTGTCGTCATGTGTGTAGTATCTTGCAATTGCTTCAAAGTCACACTAATTTAACTAGTTTCTAAATATTTATTATTATTTAAATGATTTTGTTTTTAAAATTGTACAAAAACACCGATATCTTAATCAATATATAAATACAACTACTGCTTAGGTCAATGAAATGAATATTATCACCGACCCAGCTGTTACACAACTATGAAGCTTTGTTAAAAGTCACAGTCCTCCAATATAGTATCTTTCTTTCAAAGGATTACATAACTTAGATATTGTAAATCAAATGGATCAGTAACTTACACTGTTATCCGACTATGAGTATTGATTACTTTTTGACAGTCATTTTACGCATAGCCGGAAGGCATTGTGTTCATAGAAAGCTTTTAATACTTTGATGTATTGTAGTATAGTGATGTTAGTTCTGCATTGTAATTTCGTTGTTGACATTGTCTCATTTAGCCAGATATTATATACTACTACCATCAGTTAGTGGCATAATTTACTATTTCTGATAAACTTCTTGTAAAATAAAATGTGTCGTTTTATTATTATTATTATCATTATTAATTATCGCTGTTGGTTATTTAATGTCTCGTTAATATTTGAAAATATTAATTTGGCCAATTTTCAATTTATCATTATTTTTTTTACAATACCTCTCCACTACATGCGGTTGGGACTAATGTTCAGGACGCAGAGGTATGCTTGATTTGTTGTTTTTCTGAGTGTGTCAAAAAAGGTGTTACTAGTTTAACATACATTGTGTAAATGGAGTAGGGGTGTTTTTGTTTTGTGAATTTTCATAACTACCACTAACAGCAAACATTTTTGAATCTCTCCTCTTTGTACCAATAAAATGTATCATCAACAATTCACTTATTTTGTAAATAACTCAATATTTCTAATGTACAGAAAGTTGAAAAATGTATCATCGTCAATCTTGTAGGCACCTTCATGGAATTCGCCACCCCCACCCTCTGTAAAAGAGAATCATTAATTCACCAAAAATAACATTCGTATTACCGAGTATTCAGTGTGAATAACAATCCAGTTAAATCCAGTCTCAAAATGGCAGTTGTCTTATGCGCTCTTTGTTTCCAATGGTTGTTGAATTTCAGTTGGTTCATAATCTCAGTCACCTTCTTTCTTTTTTCATTTTCTTTCTGATCACTAGAAAAAATACCTGATAAAATATAAACACACATACTTATCTCCTCTTTACAGTAGTAGTTAATAAATTATTTCTGCCGGGACATTAATTGTTATCATGTTTTATGCAGTTAAATTCCATTAAAATTTTATATCTGTTCATTTCCTTTTTCATTTATGATGTAAATAAATAAATTTTTATTCTCGGGAAATTGAAAATGCTTTTCGGCTTTACTTTTTTTCTCTCTGTTAAAACGAAAGTATTTTATTCAATTGTTCAATGGTTTTTTTGTTAAAATAAACTTTCACAATATAGGATTGAAAATTTGATTTTTTCTGCTAACTGTATAATAATATTCCCTTTCTCTTTGCCATTCAATTAACTGGTTTAAATTTAATGCAATAGTGGTACTATATGTAACACTTCGTATATGTTTAACCTAATGTTTTGGTGACCATATGATTGAGTACAATCAGTGTTTATATTGAATCAACCCCATTTAAATTGTATCTTCAAAATACATTTTTCTGACTAAACTCGCCTTCGTTTCGATCGATAATTGATAACAGACATATGTACTACAAACTTGAAGATATCATAATCATAAATTCATGTAAATTTCGAAATAATTCATAGATTGTCTTTATATTTTTTTTAAATATACAAGCTGGTTCTGGTCCAGAGTCGTCTGCACCACGATCATCTATCGCCCCTACTCTACCCAGTCGTAATAGACCAACGGTTCGAGGTCCAGGGATTACAGTTCTTGGTCAAGGAACCGGTGAAGGTCCATTCTTTATTGCTCCACAAGATGGTAATCGTGCAAGAGATAAAACACCTCAAGGAAAAGTAAGGGATTTTTACGCTTAAACTTGATCTATTTATGTATTATTTGCACGTATGATATTGCTTAAAACTTTGGAATAGTCTAATTTAAAATCTTTTTTGCGGTTCTGATAAAATTACGTTGCAAGTGAACTATTTTAGATACATTGTCTTTTCTTCTGAACTGAGAACAATTTCATTCTTTCTGTTATCAATGAAATGTTATCAATCATATCTTCTTAGATTTTCGTATCAATATTTTGCATATGAAAGTCATCATAGCCATATTCCGTCTTTATCTAATAACCCATTTCATATCTTCACTGTTTTACGGTTTAACAAGACTATAAATTCAGTGTATTTATTCACAGCCAACCAATATTATAAACAAATAAATAGGTCTTTGTAATGTCTATGGAGAAAAATCCTATAAAACTTATGTACAGTGGTTGTGAATTATTGTGTAAATTCAGCCTTTAGTTAGTTTGCGTTTAGTCAAGAGTAGGAGGTACTTTGTGTGCTGGGGGCTATCTGTGGAGCAGCGTGTGTTTTAGGTTATCTGGAAGAGGAAAGAACCAGAGGAAAAGGTGAGCCGTCGGCTCAGTTAGCACACAGAATGCATTCAATCGAGGAATCAACAGACATCAACCAGAAATATGGTATCGAAACTAGAAGTTTTTTTTGAGTAAGGTTTCCAATGTGTTACAATTAAATAGTTCAAATTTGGTAAATCGTTTCATTTTATAAGTTGTCCGTCCATTGTATCATCAATTTCTATTCAATAATCAAACAAACAGTAAAATTAAAGTTAATTTTGTTCTTTCTTTTTGTTCAAACTTAAATAACTAAGATTATTTTCAATATTCATTGGGGTTATATTATTGTACATGTAAATAAATCAATCAATACTAATAGATTCATTAGTGTCACAATTTCTATTGTTTGCATGAATAAAAGCAACTAAAATAATGTCACCTACATCAATATGTTATAGAAGAACAATTTCTCATTGTTATCAATAAAAAAATATATATATAGATAGCGAAATTCACTAAACATTAATTCGCCTGTGTATATTTGAGAATATTTATCATCACCTTGACGTGGTGGTCGGGCTTGCCTATCGTGATGACCCAACCGAGCTATACTGGCTGGAACATATGTTCCTGCAGGTCCTACCATGCCAGGCAGGTCGATTGGAGAACGATGAGACTAAAAGCAGCTACCCAAGGTCTGAGGGCGAAGTCGTACTGCTGACTGCAGAGGGGTGTGACAGCAGTAAGGTGTTTCCCTCGGACAACCAGCATCTGCAGCGATGCTGCCTTCTCACAAGGAAGGAAGGGTTAGAAAAGGTCGGCCCTAAAAATGTCACACTCCCCCTAACTCACGGATTTCCGTCTCCCTGGGTAAGGGTGCCCACTAAGGGCCTTTAAGAACGGAGCTAATCCTCAAAATACCTTTTATAAAAAGGCCGTGCGTGACCGGCCTCAAGCAGTTGTCCCTTGGACTCTGCGGTCACGCACCAACACTAATCCATCTTCCTTTTCAGGTCCCTCAAGAAACAACCTTCCACGGTGTGGGCAGCCGGGAAGTGACAACCGCCCTCATACCCGTACCAGCACGCGAGACCAAATTGGTCAAAATCAAATCCTTCCTACACCCCCTAATGTCTCTCTTATCTCTACGACTAACTCTACTCACACTCCCTTTTCTCACTGCACCGCTAATGCAGACGAAGTGAGATCACGAAACGTCGTTCCTGGTCTCTTGAAACCCCGTTCTAGACTACATATTGGAGCTTTTAATGTACGGACATTGTGTCAAATAGGGCAACAGGCATCATTAGCTAGGACTTTAGAATCTCGTGCCATCGATGTATGCTGCGTCTCGGAAACGCGCATACAGGATCCTAGTAAAGTCATTAACCTGATTTCACCTTGTCAAAACGTAGAAACAGCTCGATTTACTCTTCGTGTATCCGGTAGCCCTGATGCTGCTTCCAGGGGTCTTGCTGGGGTAGGCATAGCGTTAAGTCCTAGGGCAGAATTATCTCTCCTAGACTGGATCCCAATAGATAGTCGTTTGTGCGCTGTCCGACTAAACGGGACATTAAGGACTCGTAAGGATAGGGACACTCGCCGTTGCCTCTTCGTCATATCTGCCTATGCCCCCACTGACTGCAGTGCAGACGAGGTTAAAGATGAGTTTTACAGAAAGCTTTCGGACCTCCTTCAAGAAGCTAGGCGCTCTGATATAGTAATAATGGCTGGTGACTTTAATGCTCAAGTAGGTAGACTAGGTGAAAAGGAAAGACATCTTGGTGGATGTTATGGTGTAGCGACTGAGAGAACAGACAATGGCGACCGTCTGTTGCAACTATGCTCAGATAACCGCCTATTCTTAGCGAACACCAACTTTAGGCATAAGGTAAGGCATCTGCTGACCTGGCGACCTCCAAAGTCGTCTCAACGTTGGACTCAACTAGATCACATCGCCATCAGTCACCGATGGAGGGGTTCGATAGAAGACTGTCGCTCGTTCTGGGGCACATGTTTGGATTCAGATCATGCTCTAGTGCGAGCTCGTATCTGTTTAAGGCTTACTGGGCGTAGGAAAGACACCGTAAGAAAGCCTCTCAGGGTTTTACTTAATGATAATCAAACCAAGAAAATATTTCAGGAGGAACTAGAAAGAGAGTTATGCAACGGTGTAAGTGATTCCCATCCAGAAGCAGGTTGGTATGATATCAAAAAGGCTGTGGAAACAGCAGTGATATCTGCTAGTAAGGTAAACCATAAGGCTAGGATGAAGCCGTGGATATCAGTCGCATCCACCGAACTGATGGATGCTCGAAAACGCATCCCACCTGACTCTGAGCATGATGAAGAGCGTAGTCAGCTTAGGCGTAGACTTATAAAAAGTCTGCGTAACGACCGCGAACAGTGGTGGGTGGCGAAAGCAAAAGCGATGGAAAAGGCAGCGGCGATCGGCAACAGTAGACAACTTTTCCGCCTTATTAAAGAAACTGGTATTAAGAACCCGAATGTGAGTGAGACTATCTCGGAAAAGGATGGTCTTATTATCCATTCTCAATCCAGTAGACTGGATCGATGGGCAGAACACTTTAGGGATCAGTTCAACTGGCCACGAGCCACTCTTCGGTTACCCACGATCTCCAGTCATTCTGAATGGCAAATCGACCTAAGTCCCCCTAGTCTTGATGACGTTGAGAAAGCGTTAGGAAATCTGAAACGAGGACGAGCTGCAGGTCCTGATAGACTGACCCCTGAGATATTTAAGGATGGTGGTCCAGTTTTAGCAGCTAGGTTGACTGAGATCTTAGGTAGAATCTGGGAACTGGACGTAATCCCATCCGACTGGTCTCAATCACTGATTGTCCCAATCTATAAGAAAGGACAGAAGTCTTCTTGTGACAATCACAGGGGAATAAGTCTAACTAATATAGTATCTAAAATACTGGCCTCAATAATACTTCGACGCTTAACGAAAGCTCGTGAAGAGCAGACTCGAGAAAACCAGTCTGGTTTTCGACCTGGACGTGGTTGTATAGACCACGTCTTCACACTCAGACAGGTCCTGGAACATAGACACACATTTAGGCGTCCTACAATAGTTGTCTTCTTGGACCTTAAGGCGGCATTTGACTCAGTGGATCGTAAGGTTCTGTGGCAGTGTCTGTCATTGAAAGGTGTACCAAATAAGTACATTAACCTTATACAAGCTCTTTACTCGAACACCACTGGTCGAGTGAGGGCTTATGGCGAACTGTCACCGGAATTCTCTACATCAAGTGGTGTCCGTCAGGGATGTCCACTTTCTCCATTCTTGTTTAATTTTATCATAGACATGCTCCTAGAGTTAACATTATCCTCGTCTGAATTTTCTGGAGTAGAACTTCTACCAGGTGGCTCGCTGATTGACTTAGAATATGCCGATGACATTGTCCTACTTGGTGAAGACGCTGACAAAATGCAGAGTCTTCTGACTACCCTAAGCAACAATGCAAGCATGTTCGGGTTGCGATTTTCCCCCTCGAAATGCAAAATGTTGCTTCAAGACTGGGTTGCATCGGCACCTGAACTAGTGATAGGGAGTGAAGTAGTCGAACGTGTAGACCGCTTCACTTATCTTGGGAGTCTCATCAGTGCCGATGGCCTGGTGACTGACGAAATCTCAGCACGGATACAGAAGGCTCGATTGGCTTTTGCCAACCTGCGTCACTTATGGCGTAGGCGAGATATCCGTTTGCTGACTAAAGGACGAGTGTACTGCGCAGTAGTTCGCTCCGTCTTACTTTATGGCTGTGAAACATGGCCAGTGAGAGTAGAAGATATTCGTAGATTACTGGTTTTCGATCATAGGTGTCTTCGAAGCATTGCTCGTATATCGTGGGACACCCGAGTGAGCAACACTGTTATTAGGAATCGGGTGCTAGGTAAGAATAGCAGATCAATCGACGAAGTATTGAAACTTCACCAGTTGAGGTGGTTGGGACATGTGTTGCGTATGCCCAACCACCGGCTGCCTCGTCGAGCCTTGTTTTGTAGTGTAGGAATAGGTTGGAAGAAAGTTAGAGGCGGCCAAACCAAAACATGGCAGAAATCCATGAAGTCATTGACTAGTGGACTGAGCCATGTTGGTAATTGTCGACTACCTGGTTGGGGTCCGCGAGATGATAATAATCGATGGTTAGAGACCTTGAATGACATGGCTCAAAATCGTTCGCAATGGCGCCGGTGCATTTATTCTCTGTGTTCTCTCAAATGCTAATCTTTTTGGATTCTTCAACACCTCTAGTTTCGACTCTCTAAACTTATCTCACTGAATGATACTTCATGAATAATATCTTCTAATCCTAACCTCTCCGATTATTTCTAATTCCCTTACTACCTCTTCTACTATTGGATTTGAATTGACGATTACTTCTCTGTGCTGATGTGGTATGGCAACATGAACTGATGTACTTATGTACGAAGTTCTACGTTGCATCTGACTGACTGACTGACATACATTGGTATTTAATATTGAAGAACCTATAACAGTCAAATAGAACTAACTGGCTAGTCAGTTTATTGTAGTGAACGGGAACACAGGTGGGCAACCGAATTGTATTTAACGAAAATTACAGAGTTACTCAGTAAATTGTTCATTTGCAAATTATCAGTTCATCCTATCGAACTGGACTGTTCCTGTTGCCAAACATCAATCCATTGTCACTATTCATGCGTTTCATACAAATTCCATTGTTTTCTAACTCTTCCTTTCTTGATCTTCCCCCATCTCCCGCTGCCAGACATTACGTTGACGCTCACATCATATACTACTTATAAGTAGCTCACACCACATTATCATAGTCTGGTAAATTGAAAATTAGTTGTTTAATTCTTGTGGTGACTATGATACTATTGGTCAAGTTTTGAATGCTTCACATTTCTAGCTTCAATTAGTTTGTGGCAGAAAGCGATCTTGATGGGTTTTCACTGTTGGATAATTGAATCACTTGCAAATTTGTTAACTTTGTTTTTCATAATTTATCAATAAAACTTCAGGATTTCACTTCGGAACTACATATTAACGGACGTTAACAGTTTTATTGAGATATTCATACTGTACTATACTGTACTATACTATATTGTGGTTCCATTGAGGTTAAAAGTATTGAGACCTTTGGAGTTTGTCTCAATACTCTAGAGATATTTTCATCACTGTAAATCCTTAAGTTTTTATGCTCATTTTTACATGAAATCGAAGGTAAGCATTGATGGGAAATTTCTAATTGAAATAAAATTCCTACTCACTACTCCTTAGTTTTCAAAAATTCATCAGTTGATATCACTTTGTAATTGAAACTATCTTCAAATAGAGAATGATTTCCTACAACTAGTTAATTTAAAAGTCTATATATATATATATATATATATATATATATATATATATATATGTCATAATTACTATCTTCTCATTGCATGTTATTCATTTCTTTTTCACGTGTACTTTTATCTACATAAACTCAGCCTTCAACTAATCCACCTGGTTCATCAAATGATCCTCGTGAATGGACTAATCCAACACATTGGTCAAATAATAATACCAATATTAATCAGTTGAACAGACAACAACCTTTATCTGGAACAAATTCACCATCATCACAAGGCACAACTGATTTTAATTCATTCTATCCACAACATACTGGTACTGGTATTAGTAGACCGTTCAATAATTATGATGATCCAAGCTATGGTCTAGACGATATCGATGATGAAATGACCAAGACTACAGTGGATGAATATATTGAAGATGAATTAGATGCATCTAGTTCATCACCAGTTAGCGATCAAAATCACTTGCCTAAACTACCATCAGCTAAACCACGTGATTTTATGCCTACTGATTCTAATAAATATGCTACAGATAATCATCGAAATAATGTTAATGCTAATTTTTATAGTCCCAGTCAACAACACCAACAACAACAACAACAACAGTATGGATTGAACAATTATCGACCAACAGTACCAATGGGACAGGATGGACCTAATGTAGAACAACAAAGATCAACTGCACATCGATGTTGTACTAGATATGATCAACGTGGAGTGTGTATGAATGCTGAAATGGAATACGGTGAACCACCGCTTGAAGATTATGTTATTGTTAATTCAGATGGTTCAGGTAAGTCTTTCTCATAACATTCATGTGTATTACTTACTTACTTACTTACGCCTGTTACCCCCAATGGAGCATAGGCCGCTCACCAGTTTTCTCCAACCAACTCTGTCCTGGGCTTCCCTCTCCAGTTCTGTCCAATGTTTGTTCATTCCTCTCATATCTTTCTCTATTTCTCGGCGTAGTGTGTTCCTTGGCCTTCCTCTTTTCCTTTTGCCTTGAGGGTTCCATGTGAGGGCTTGTCTAGTGACGCAGTTGGGTGCTTTTCGTAGTGTATGTCCTATCCACTTCCACCGCTTCTTCCTGATTTCCTCCTCCACTGGAATCTGACTTGTTCTCTCCCACAGTTCGTTGTTGCTGATGGTGTCTGGCCAACGAATACGAAGTATTTTGCGTAGACAGCTGTTCATAAACACTTGTATCTTCTGAATGATGGCTTTGGTAGTTCTCCATGTTTCCGCTCCATACAGTAGAACTGTCTTGACATTTGTATTGAAGATCCTGATTTTGGTTTTGTTTGAAAGTTGTTTGGAGTTCCAGATATTTTTCAACTGTAGAAATGCAGCCCTCGCTTTGCCAATCCGCGTCCTCACATCTGCGTCCGATCCACCTTTCTCATCGATGATGCTGCCAAGATATGTGAAGGTGTTAACGTCCTCCAAGGTATCTCCATTAAGCGTGATTCGGTTGGTGCATGTTGTGTTGCATCGGAGAATTTTGCTTTTTCCTTTATGTATGTTGAGACCTACTGCTGCAGAGGCTGCTGCTACACTGGTCGTCTTCTCTTGCATTTGTTGTTGAGTGTGCGATAGAAGAGCCAGGTCATCTGCGAAGTCCAGATTCATGTGTATTAACAGACATTTAATTATGCTTTGGAGAAAATTATCGATACGGGTTTGGGGAGCTTGTAGAATTTCTATGAAATCATTGATCAGTCTAAGTTAGACCGCCATTGGAAACCAAAAAGCTCTGGATGGCTCTTTCGTCGTAGTAAAGCACTCTACGGAATTGCTCATCCACGACTTTTCACTCAACGATCGAACCCGGGACCCCAAGTCTCGCATGCAGCCGCTCAACCTCTATACAATTAAATCAGAATTTAACGGTGTTAAAGTCTAATTTCAATCACATGCTCACTAGTAACTGGTTTTAATAGGAAAATACCTGGATTCTAGTGGAAAGTCATGACCACTAGAGCTAAGTGGTACTGATTGTGAGTCGGTTACCCATCAAAGACAAGAAAAGATGGTCGCGAAATGTTGTGAGTTGAATGACTTGAGATATTAAAACCATCCAATGTTGACTTAGTGATCTTGGGGTCGAATGTTCCTATGCTAGTCCGAAGGTTCCACATTCGTTTGTCGAGTGCAGAGTCGCGAATGCTCAATGCTAGGGAGTTTTATACTAGAGTAAAACCACTGTCTAATGCCTTTTTGTTTCCAATATTGGTATAACATAGATCAATTTATGATTTCAATAAAACGATGATCGCTAATAATCACCGTTTATTTAAATTTACTTTGATACTTTATAAGTTAGTTTTTCTATCTACTGTACGGCTGGGATATGTTTTTTAATTCTTTACCACCCTTCACGTTGATGTTCGTTATCCGTTAGATTAGGAGTAAGTATCTTGCGAACAGCAATATTACTCCATAACTTACTTTCTCACTATGACAGTGCTAGTACAATTATTCTAATCATCTAACTACTTAGCTTATTAACTTCATATCATCCTAATTTGTTATGAAAGCTGAATTTGTCGCATACTTGTGATAGACGACCGTATGTTGATTAGATCATTGATTTTGTCAATTCGACGATATTTTCATTTTTCGTTTATACACAAACAACTGAAGATTGTAATTCAACCAGCGTATAGATTAGGTAATATCTTCATGAAGTTTGTCTTAAATTTCTTATTCTGCATTAATATCTGTTTGTTATGAACTCTTAGTCTTAGAGACTTTATAAAAATTAGTTTTCATCATGGATTGATATCAACCAATTGACTAGCTAGTATATCAGATACCTTCATCTTAGTGTATGTCTAATTATGATGATAAAGCCAGGAAATCAGACTGAATAACTTCAAATTACTGTCGAGTAACAAGTATATTTTCCCTTGGTAGTGTAATAACAATAATAATACAAATAATAATAATAACAAACTTTTAAAGAATATGGAAAAAACTACTTAAAGATGGTTTGATGAATTAGGTAGATAATTTTGGACGTATCGAGTGTACTATCAATTAATTGATTGTAGAATTTTTATTCATTTAAACCGGTTACACTATATTTCATTAGCTTTCTTTGTGTTTTATTCCTTTTGTGTATTTGTTGTGGTTGTGGTTGTTACCGACTATGCGGTTAAGAAGTTCCACGTATAGATCGTGAACGATTACGTCAACTAAATCAACCAACTGATCCACTGTAAGTTCATGCTTATCAATAAATCTTTAAAATTGATATTTGTAATTATAGTTATTTTATTGATAATATGTTAAAAATAATTTATTCATTAATGATTATAATAACAATAAGAAGATTTATGTAATTAGCTATGGTTAATTATAATTTTTCTCTTTCGGCATCTTCATAGCCAAAGCAATAGTCGAGTCTGCAACAAATCGGTTAAACGTTTCTTCAATCTACATGATTGTGATAAATATACCATTAGTGATTTATTTCTAATACATTTTGCTGTATATTTTTCAATCTAGTTCACATATGAGTAACATTGGTCGAATTGTTCGTAATCCTGGTGCATATCTTACGCATAATACTGATAATCATGTGCAACGTAGAGGTATGACAGATATTGGTCCACTTCCAGATGTGACAATTGGTACACATACAACAGATAAACAATATCATCAATCATCTAACGATAATCATAATAAAAATCCATCTACCATTTTAAATACCAATGAAATTTCACATGATGTAAACAATAAATTAGCTGATCAGTATCTTCATCAGGTAGGTGACATGATAATCAATATACAATGATCATTTATTGTGATATGAAATTGTGTGTAGAGGCTTGTTCTTTCATTGTTTAAAAGTGACTTTTATAATGGAACTGATATCAATTGGTGGTAACTTTTAATCTTAAAAGTATCGTTTAACTTGTGTGCATTATTACCATGTTTTTTTAAGAGCGTCAAGATTATTTTTATGACACATCTAATAATTTTATTCTGAGTTTGATTTGAAGTGAGTTTTATTAGTACAGTAATTACCATTGGTAAATTAAAATAAATAACATTTTACGCAAGCAATCACTAATTTCTGTGTGAATTCATTCTACATTTTTTATAAGACTCATATATCTACTTATATTGTATCGAGTAGTTTATATATTGTACCTGTATTTTTTTCATATGTACTGAATTACGAAACAATCTAATTAAGATTCCTCATCGACTATACGTAGAAGATGAAGAAAATTCGTGTATGTTCATTAAAGTGTTTCACTGTATCGAATTTTACTGTTCTCACTGAAACTGACATTACTTGATCTTATTACAGACATTCAGTCGAAATAATTTACGAATCACATCTGTTTTCAAACAATATACCTCTAATTATTACCGTTGATTCTTTTGAGACCACCTAATTATATCCTTGAACTGGCATGTATTTGATCGTTGATTTCGGATACTATATCGTTATTATTCAGCTAATCTTAGCTCACTGTCTGTGCAGGTATCTGTTCAGATTTTCCTAGAAAGCAAGAAGTGCGGTATGGGTCAATTGCATAAGGATATCAATATTTACAGTACGGTAGATTTTATCGACATGAAGGCTGACGGGCATTTTGTTCTCTAACATATCAGTAATATTGTATCCGAGTTCATAGAATTGATGGTTGTAGCTAGCAGAAGCATTTAAGATGTGTATTCTATCCTATTTGATAATCATCAAATGTAGTTATATGTTTCTGAATTATCGATGTTCACATTTCAACTCGAACTCAGTCACCTTCGATTTTCTATTTCAATTCGTCTTTCACTGAACTATTGAATCCGAACAACCACTAACTTGTTTATCTAGTTTGATACTTACATCATCAGTTGTAAAACGTTTAGATTGTTTCAACTAATCCGAATCAATTTGTTGATAGCACCAACAGAATTAATCAAACTCTTATTTAATTAATTTTTATATTCTGCTTAGTCTATTTACTGTGTCATGATTTTTCTTCATCTTTTAGTTATCAGTTAATCCTAGAAATTCTCCAATTAGTGAGAAATATATAACTCGTCCTATATCAGAACCAATCAAACCATCTGGTGATGATTATACAAGTTAGTATTTATTTTCTAATGTATTCTAAATAATATTATTAGTACTTTCTAGCAGCGGTTAACTTTGTTTTATGTTTGGCGTTTTTGTTGTTTCTTATGTGTACAGACTAATAAAATTTGTTTTGTAATGAATTGGTTTTGCTCTTATCCTCCCCTAACTTTACATATACATTTACATCATTTGATTAGGCTGTGATTTTGAAAAATACCCATCATTGCGTTACATAGATGCATAGATTACAGATGGGTTTGTCTTTTTTTTCATACTCTCTCTCTCTCCTGTTGTGTGAATGAATTGCTTGCGTTTTTTCTTTCATGTCCTTTCAATGTACAAAATGTGTGTTCAGTTTCCTTTTTTTCAAACAACTTTTTATTGTTGCATGTTTCTTATCAGATATTTGGAAGCGTAGAAAAAAAAATTGAGTTTCTCTCTGATACTATTCACGTGATATCGTTTCTGTTAAATATCGTTTTCTTTTTTGATGAAATATCAATTTGCTTCAAGTATTCTTCATGCAGTTACATGCATCTGGTGTTTGTTGATGCCTTTAACAGAAAAATCAAATAGGCATTTCTTTTTTCGAAATCCTTTTATCGTTTTTCCAGGATTGGTTAATTCATTTAAGCAGTAATTATTTATAATACTGGAGTAAATTGTCAACAAAGTCTAAATCTAAAATGAATAAATTTTTTCAAAAAAATATTCTAAGGTGATTTGTATGCTCGAATTCTTGTGTCCGTCACGTTTTTTTTTGTGACATTGCGTTTCAATTTTCACTGATTGACAGACAGACAGACAGATACAACACAGAACGTCGTACATAAGTACATCAGTCCAGGTTGCCATACCACGTCAGCACAGAGACGCAACTGTCAGTTCAAATCCAAGAGTGATAGTAGAATTATTAGTAGTAATGAAGAAGATTAGGGAGCAAAGATATGATTCGAGTAGTATAATTCAGTGAGAAAAATGTAGAAGGAGAAAGATAGAGATTATGAGGAATGCAGAAGGTTAGAATTTGATAGAACACAAAGAGTGGATACACCTGCGCCATTGCAAACAATTCTGAGCCATGTCATTCAAAGTCTCTAACCTTTGGTGACTTTTTTTCACTGATTGACTGATTGAATGTTCGTTTTTGATTCATTCAAGACACAGATTAATTAATCATTATTGATCTGAATTCATTTTTTGTCTAAGATTTGAAATAAGTAGTTTTAATTTTAGTTTTTTTTAAAAAAAAATTTATGTTGCTAACATTGACTACAATATGAAAGAAAAAATATGCCTTTGTGACCTGGATGGTATTTTGAGATAAATCGCTGACATTTTATTCCTGCTATTGATTGTCGATGCGTTGTATTTTGTTACCTACTTTGTTATTTAACATAAAACATAGCTTTTTTTAAATTTTTTTAGATACTGTGATAAACCATTTTCCTTAGATATTTTTTTCACCTAAATTTTGAACACCTTTTTTTTTAACTTTTAGTGTAAGAGTTTGTTTTTGATTGTTTTAAGTCGATGTTAATTAATGTAACATAGTTTAATTCAGCTCAAAAGAAGTAATTGATGGTCTTTCTATCAAATCTACATAAAATGTTTCCTAATAAGTATTCACTGTTCTAATGATTCCACAAAACAATCGATATAAAGCGTGAAACAAATAACCTTGATAGTGATAGGTGATTGTCGGGTAGTATCGTGAATTAGTAGAACCTTGTATTGAAAACCGTTGGGCCTTAACTGAGGCCAAGGTTAAGCACTCAGTGTAAAGCCTGAAGATCTTAGGTTCCTTCCTTTAGTGGGGTTATGAATTTGCATTGTTAAGGAGTCTCATATTGAGATAAAACAGCTATTCAATGCTCCTTAGTTTTTTATAGTATTCTTCTAAGTGAATTTAGTCCATACTATGAAACGTTAGATTGGTATATGATTCTCTCATTAACTGATAACTGCATTGTTAAATTGACTTCAACGCCCTTTATAATGTAGATGTATTGATGAGGAATCAATAGAAAATAAATATTGCTTCACTAAACTTCTATTTTAAATTGTTCTTGTTGAATGTCATTAGAAAATTGATTATATCTGATTGTACGTTTGTGTTTGATTACTTGGATGTACACGTAGAAGTACAAATTCGATGAAATTCATATTCGTCTCTTTATCGTTAGTTTCTTTCAAATCTAAAATTGACTAAATTTAAACATTTTTTGAGAATTCCGACAATTATTGATCAATTCAAGTCATATAATCGTGACAGTGATCATGTGTGTGTGTAATATTATTTCCTCACTGGTATAATTCACTACATATTTTTATGATTATTATGTAACAAAAGTTAACATTTGTATGATTATTTCTCTATAACTTTGTTGAAATTTCCTTCACTAGGAGATCAACCCCATGGAACGCAAATTAATGAAGGGAATATGTCATCACTCCCTCATCATAATATTGAACCGAAAATTTCCAATATGGAACCTACGATGAGTAATGTAAATTCGGCGAAAACTGGAACTACATTACAACAATTGAATTATCCAACTGGTAATAGACAATTTGTTCATCCGTCTGGTTTACAAACTATTACTGTTCAAGGTGTTGATTGTGTTTATCCTGTAATCGGTAAGTTTTTAACTGTGTAAAACTATAGAACTGAATAGATTTACTTCAATTTAATATGAGCCGAAGTTATAATCAAATGATATACACAATGTTTATCAGCTTTTTTTTGCAAAACTGTCACTGTACTACCCTCTATAGCCATTTCAGTATTTCTTAATGAAATTCTCAGTCAGCTAGCATTGCATGTATATTTAAACATAATTGATGATGAAGTAGTAAAACTTCAGAGTTGTGGTGGTTGGGACATGTGTTGCGTATGCGTAACCACTGACTGCCTCGTCGAGCTATGTTTCGCGATGTAGGAATAGGCTGGAAGAAAGCTAGGGGCAGCCATATTAAAACATGGAAGAAATCCATGGAGTCACTGACAAGTGGACTGAGTCATGTCGGTAGGTGTCGACTACCTGGTTGGGGCCCGCGAGATGTTAGTAATCGATGGTTGAAGATCCTGAATGACATGGCTGAAAACCGTATGCAATGGCACAGGTGGATTCATTCTTTGTGTTCTCTTAAATTGTAACCTTATAAATTCCTTATCATTTTTTTCTTTGCAAGTTTATTTCCCTAGATTATACTTCTCGGATCATATCTTTGAACCCTAATCTCTCTGATTACTGCTAATACTTTTACTACCTCTACTAATATGGGATTTGTAGTGATAATTGCATCTCTGTGCTAATATGGTATAGGAACTTGAACTAATGTACGTACGGATTTCTACGTTGCTGTCGAGTGATCGATTGTTTGATTGATACTGTTGTCCTCATCATTAATGTGTATAATAATTAAATAGGGGAGCCATAATTCCTGTCTATATTTATTGTCCGGTTAATAAAGTAACACAATTTAGTTTATATATATGTAAATGCTTTTTCCTTTTTTTTCTAAGAAAAAAGTCCCTTCAAACACAACTCAAGTTTAGATTGATTTGCATATTTAGTATAGTTTATTATATTATGAATCACATTATTGTGATCGGATTAATGTGTGTAATTGATGACTGTTCACGTGAAATGTATCTATTAATTTGGTTTTTTAATTCATAATCTTATGGAAGTGAACCATACTTCTAAATACTTATTAGTCACCGGATTAGAATCAATAAACTGAAGTATAGATAGGCGAACAGTGAAAAAGGCAACACATTGAAATATATATATATATATATATATATATATATATATATATGCACCAATCAGTCTGTTCGGGCTAAAGGCTATTTTCTAGTGAAATGTGCTTATCTTGTAATGACTACAAGAAGATTTGATACAGAGAGGGAGATGTAGACTAATCAATTATGAATTACTGCATGACTATGATTTGTAAAACAATTATTCACAACATTTAAGGTAACAGTTAAATTATAAACCATTAATGATTTATTCTAACTTAGCTTTATTCTCAGTTGTCACTATGTCAATGTATTCGAAAATGGCTTTATTTTTTCAATCATTCGATAGATTAAACTAGTTAACATACTTGAGCATTATTTCTTAGTGCATCTAGTCACATTTTTTACGTTATCTGTATGAATTCAGTTATCTGTCATAAATTCGCTCATCATGCCTAAACTTCATGAATACATAAAACACTTGCATTTCGTTCCCATCAACTCTGTTCTATGCTTTAGTTTATCTCAACTCTTAGCTAATGTGGAAAAATGAATTGAATGAGATTTACTTCTTGTTAGATGACACAGTTGTTTGTGAAGGACATCGAATTATATTGAGAAGATTATAATGATCATTAGGATTTATATTTAGTTGATAGATTAGTGGTTCGCAATATTATTCAATTGTTCTTTTGTTCAACAATTAAAATATCAGCTGATCCGAATACAAATATTCAATGAAAATTGTACAGAATAACTGAATTAGGGAAGTCTTAGTCTTTTCACTACCTAGAATCAAATAATTAATCGTAATGCGAAAAGTTTTTCTTTTCATTAAATTAAAATTTATTCATGTAATCGAGTGTATACACACGCTCCTAAAATTGACTCAAAAGTAGATTTCTGACTTTGTTTAGCTTTGCATTTCTGAAAAAGATTTATTCGTTCTACTTTCATTCGTACGGTATTTACTTTGTGATTTCTAAATATAAAGTTCTTCTACAAAGTTGATATAAAGGCTATACTCGAGCTCAATCTTTATAGTGATTTGTTAAAAGTAATCAGGAAGTTAATGTATCTGGGTAATTTATGTGAGTTCTGGACAAAGGCGTTACAGATAAAATTAATTGACGTATGAATGGAAGCAGTTGTTCTATGTGCTTTTGAATCTTGTTCTCACCAAGTTTGGTATGTTCAATGAATTTCTATGTTCTATAATCGTTTTTGAAGAATTGGTGACATTCAGCAGCAACAACATGCTCCATCACAGTAACAACTCCTTAACTAATGTTACTATCTTAAAACATCGATTTCAGTGGCTCGGACATGTGTTACGGATCCCATTCCCGCGACTTTTACATCTTGGATTATGCACCGACTTTAGAGTTGTGGTTGATAAAGCAGTAAGGTGGTCATGGTGTAGAAGGAAGCTGCGTAGGACCGGCATCTGTCAGCCTATTTATGAGGTCTTTGTAATGTTGGAACTCAATGACTTGAGAAGCTATTAGGCATAAATCAGAACAGAATTTAATGACATTTAGGGAATTATTGTTCTACATTTTTCGAAAAACGCATGGAACTCGACTTCTGAGTGATGGTTTAAATTGAAATGTATAGTGTATTATAAAGTATTCTTATTCATTGTTTATTTATTTTTACATTCAATTATTCTCCATTTTATCTCCTTGTAATCGTATTAACTAATTTTTTTGGTATCCAATTGTACTAGTATCTTCGTTTAATTTAAAAAAAAAATAAAATAACTATTTTGACCGTAAATGGCTATCAATTACGCTCTAATAAATGTTTATGATTATCGTATATGTACCTTATCCCAATAAAGTTTATAATACTTTGACGTAAATGAACATAAACAGTAATTATAATTTTTTCAAAAAAGAAAAGTAATGTATTCATGACTTTTGGAATTTCACTTTTTCATGAATTATAATTCCAATGATTTGATGAACGTTTTTTTCCGATTGTTATAATAAATAAGAAAGAAATGCTAATCGATATAAACGATATGCAATGATGCAATTTAACTGATGTATTGGCTTAAGCCCCTGAATGATTTGGAATCAAGGACAAAATCATTAGCGAGTTCAATAAGTCTTAATTATGTAATTAAATGGACAGGCGTCCATACAAAATGTGACCACATGATAAACATTATAAATTGTTTCTGGTGTTTGGAAAAATTTCTTCTATGAGATCTTTATTCTACACTCGATTAGAACATGATTGTTAAGTTTAATTATTGGCCACCATATCATACTCCTTAAAAATCTAAAGTATCCTGATTAACATTCATTCCATTCTGTTCATCTCTGGATTCGTCAGCACCCCTACCTTTATCTTTCTAACCTGAAAGGATTTTACTTCTTGAATAATATCTTCAAACCCTAGTCTTCTTCATTACCAATAATACCTCTACTAACTCTACCACCATGGGATTTGATTTGACATTTGCGTCTCTGTGCTAATGTGGTATGGCAACATGACCTTATGTACATACGTACGAAGTTCTACGTTGCAACTGACTGACTGACTGACCATCCTGTTCATCAGTTCAGATTCTGGTATTTCTGTTTCGATTTTGTCTATAAATAATTTGGTTAACCGGTGTATATTAAATGTCATTTGATAGTATTTACGATATTTGTATCCACTGTTCAAAAACACTAGTATCATAACTGTTCATTGCCAAACCAAGGAATCATTATTACTTGTTCTTTTATTGTACTGAGAACTGTCAGCATGATTCACGTGTACTTTCTTTTGAGTTTGAAGTGAAAAGCTTCTATATATGTATCTTTATACTTATAGTTATTTGATGAGTTTTTAGAATCTCATTCTACTTTTTAAATTAATAAACTGAATTTCTTCTTCATAGTTGTTTATACAGTAATCGTATTTCATTTACTTTTTTTTCGCCTCTTTTAGCTGCAGGTAGAAATTTTGAAAATGATTTAACATCTGGTGGTTTATGGGAAGCTGCAGAATTCTCCGATGAAATTTTAATGGAGGTTAGCATTCTATTCAATGGAATATATATTTTTTCCAGTTATTATTCATTTGTTGTTTGTTGATAAATTCAATCAATTCTTTGATTGTTTGATTGTCTACCAATTAGAATTTTTAACAAAAGAAAAAAAACCCAATTAAATAACTAGAGTTTACATCATTTACTGACTTTAGACAGTTATTATTGAGAGTTCGTGAAAAGCTACTGTCTGTCCATTTTCAGAGGAAAATGATTGACAGTTGAGCAGTTTTACAAAGTGAATGCTGTTAAAAATGTAAATCTGTGAATGTCAACTCAGTTTTCATAAAACTGAATTCTCGTTTAACGATTTAATTGTTTTGTGTTCAATTCACTGAAGGTTTTTTTGCTCCTTGATGAATTCTGATGCTAAAATGAAACAGAAGTTCATAGCTCTTCTTGATTTCCAATGTTTGTCTAACTAAGGTTGACTAGCGATATAAACTATACACCTCAAGAATCTTCATAAATCCTTTTTACTAACAAATTATTAAATATAACTGGTAATAATCCAAAACTGTTTAGTTGTGATATTCTTGAGCAATTCTCTTTTGAAAGTTATTTTTAATATGTCAGTGAAAGTACGCGAACGCTGCATTTTTGTTTGGTTAGATTTCTAGACAATTCAATCCTTTACTCCTATCATTTAGAACTTGATTTTGTTATTCTCGTATAAATAAATTGAATTATCACCCGAAATGATTCGCCTGAAGATAAGCCTGTTAACTATAGTACAGGTTTAGTGTCCCACTAGTTAACGTACCTTTTTTAATGTCGCTTTTGTAATACTATCAATTAGCTGACTACCTCTTAGGGATATATGTATATATATCGTCTGTTCTTGCCAACGTACATACCTTGATTTCCTGTACTTCCTGCTTAGAATTTATTACTTAGGGTATCTACAACGTTTAATAAAAATGCTGTAAACAACACTGTTGAACATTTTTCGATTCATTTTAGTGGTTAAGCGCATATATTATTAGAATGGATATTTCATTCGAGATTTTATTTCAAACTCTAACTGTCACCTTATTAATGTTTTTTTCTATTTACCATACTGCGTTGCATTTGTATAGTAAACAGTAGCAGATAACATTAGTTAAATAGCTTGAAGTTAAATTATTGTTGACAATCATATTTCATTTGTAGAACTCATTAAATTAAGGCAAAATGACTGAAATTGGGGGGGGGGGTAACAGGCGTAAGTAAGTAAGTAAGACTGAAATTTTACAAAGTGTTAATACACTCGTTAAATATTAAATGTATTACGGCTAATTGGTCTTTGAATTCATTAAAAAGAAAATTGGTTAAATTGAAAAATTTTCTTACATTTCCTCTCATTACTTGATAATTTTATTTTTAGTCAACATTATAATATTTATTCAGTAAAATTGTTATAACTAACTATCTTTCGTTTCTATTGATTGCTAATAATATTTTCAATCTGATCTTTAAATAGTCTGAACATAATGAAGAAATTAAGAAAATCACAATGGTGTTAGAATTATGTGAATTATTAGCAGAATTGGCCGAACGTCGTGCATCTGCACTGGCCGATTGTACTCCAACACGTATTGTACATACAGATAATGAAGAAAATACGACAACAACCACTACTACTAATACTACTACCACAGATCCTTCTACTGTCAATGATCGTTTATTGCCAGTGAATTCAGATAATCAACAAACTAATAATGTTGGTAATAATCATTGTATTAGCGGTCACAATGCCAATAATCATGATAATGAGCGTGAATCAACTAAAAGTTCTCAACAAACACCATCCACTGCATTGAAATTTGTATCTGAAGCACAAAGGTATGTTATTGTGTAGTTTGAATGGAGAAAGTTTTAACAACCATGCACAAACTTTCTTTATCTGTATTAAGTGTAAATAGTTGTGAATGATGCAATTATTTTCAATTTATTATTCATATTTGATTGAGTTTTATCCATCCATGTATTTGATGAGACTGGTATCGTTTTTTTCCGAACATATGAGCATACATTATGTGAGTAATATTCTTTTGAACTGTGATACACCTGGTACTTCTAATTTTTGTGGTAAATAATGATTTATTTTCTTAAGTATTCATCACCTACTCCGTCTTCAGATTTTAACAGTTTCCTGCCTGTTCAAAGTCAGTCAGAATCATTTATAGCTAACGCAAAACTCAGTGCACTTATTATAGGTTACCCAAAATTACCACACTACATTAGCATGACAAGAAAATAGTTATTAGATTGATCGATAGAAATGTTAGAAAGTTAGAAAAACTGATCAATTGCGAATGTGGTTTGAAAAAACTGAAAATATGTGTATTGATAAATATGGAGAATGAATATCGTTAATAAAATAAAGAGTAAGCTAATTTGGGAAGTAATAACTGATTTCGAATCATGTCACTTAATTTCCCCACCCAATGGTCGATGGTATTACTCCGTCAATGCAACTAGCACATTTTCCAGCATAACTGTGAAACATGGCCAGTCAGAGTAGAAGATATTTGTAGGTTGCTGGTTTTCGATCATAGGTGTCTCTGAAGTATTGCTAGTGTACCATGGGACAACCGAGGAAGCAATGCTGTAGTTAGGAAAATAGTTCTAGGTAGGGATGGCAGATCAATTGATGAAGTAGTGAAACTTCATCAGTTGAGCTGGTGAGGACATATGCTGAGAATGCCTAACCACCGACTGCCTCATCGAGCTATGGTTTACGATGTAGGAATAAGTTGGAAGAAAGCTAGGGGTGGCCAGACCAAAACATGACACAAATCCATGAAGTCACTGACAAGTGGACTGAGTCATGTCGGTAGATGTCGACTACCTGGTTGGGGTCCGCACGATGATAGTAATCGATGGTCAAAGATCCTGAATGGCATCGCTCAAAACCGTATGCAATGGCACAGGTGCATTCATTCTTTGTGTTCTCTCAGATCCTAACTTTCAGAGATTTCCATCACCTTTGTCTTTTTTTTATGTCTATTTCTCTGGATTCTACTTCTTTAATAATATCTTCGAACCCTAATCTCTCCAATTACTGCCAATACTTTTACTACCTCTACTACTATTGGATTTGAATTGACAATTGCATCTTTGTGCTAATGTGGTATGGCAACTTGAACAGATTTACGTACGTTTGTATGTACGGATTTCCACGTTGCTGTTGACTGATTGATTGATCAGATTAATAAATAATAACTTTATAAACTGATTCTATATTTTGATTCAACTATACCAACTTGTTAAAAGAGCATATAATTAAATAAGATATTTCAAAAGCTGTATACTTCTTGCTACTTTACCTTATTGAAAACCTCAGCGTTTTATGCCTTTTCCTCAGAATGTAAATTGAATCATCATAACAGCTGATCATATATGTCAAATTGGATTACTTATAACAAATTCTTTTTCAGTCAGTTCTTTAACACATTTTTTAACCTATTTGTCAATTATATCATTCACACTTGAAACATAATATTATGCACTTATTTTATCAGTACATACTTCAGTTTTTTCTGTCCATGCTATATTCCAGCCCACTCGTCAATATTCAATAATTTGCGTGGTGTATAAATATTTAGGTTCCCCTTTGGTACCAGTGTTTATGTGTTTAAATAAAATGTAAAAAAAAATGTTGACAACAAATCATGCTAAAATGAAAAAGTGTCATCCATGTAATGACTATTTAAAGGACAATTTTTTTTTGATGAAGTTTTGAATTAAATAATAAAACGATCTGAAATAAAAATTGTCATGATTTAGTTCACTGAATGAATGCTTGAATAGATTGAATTTATTTTAGGTTTAACTATCTTTCTTCTCTACTTCACTATAAATTAAAATGTAGGGAGTATGTTTTTGTTGTTGTTGTTGTTGGTTGGTTGGTTGAATCGCCTGAAATTATTGTAGTGACTGAGTTCCTATAACATACTGGCATGTTTAGAAATTTGTTTCAACTACCTAATTCAGTTTGGATAATACTGTTGTAGAGTATAAATCTGAATGTTCAGTCAGACAGAGTTAATCATAATCAGCGTAAATGTACGTCGAATCAAGCTGTCTTACTACAATAGTACGACCAAATCAATCAATCAACAGCAACGTAGAACTTCATACGTACGTACATCAGTTCAAGTTGCCATATCACATTTACACAGAGATGTAATTGTCAATTCAAATCCAATAGTAGTAGAGGTAGTAAAGGTATTAGCAGTAGTCGGAGAGGTTAGGATTAGAAGATATTATTCAAGAAGTAGAACCTAGTGGAATTTACTTAAAAAGAAAAAAAATAAAGATAATGGGGAATTCAGAAGGTTAGGATTTAAGCGAACACGAAGAATGAATGCACCTGCCTAATTGCAAACGGTTTTGAGCCATGTCATTCACCTTCGCTATGCATCAAATACTATAGTCTCACGGGCCCCAACCAGGTAGTCGATACCTACCAACATAACTCAGTGCACTTGTCACTGACTTCATTGATTTGTGTCATGTTTTGGTCTGGTCGCCCCTAGCTTTCTTCCAGACTATTCCTACATTTAACAAGATGAATAGCCGATATTTCAAAATAATGTAGAAGCGATAGTAGTGGGAAAGATTAACCATGAAAATATAGTTTAAAAAACAGAAATAAAAGATATAACATAGTAATAACACAGACCTCAAATCTTAGGTCGAAAATATGCGTGTGATTATTCACTTGTATTATTAAGTATAAATCGGTTTGATGAATCCTGGAGTAAACATTAAATCTGAGGTGCTGGTACATCTAGCTAACGAGGTCCGAATAGAAAAAAAAACGCGCATCCTAGATTCCACTGCTAACCATGATATAACTTAGCGTAAGGTCGGTTGTGTTGACCGCCTCACTTATCTCGAGAGTCTCATAATTCCACGGCATGGATACAGGAAGCTCGATTGTCTGTTATCAACTTGCGTCAGTAATGATTTGGGCGAAATATCCTTCTGCTAACTAAAGGACGAGTTTACTGCACTGCTTTTCGCTTCGTCCTACTTTACGTGTGTAAAATATGGCCAGTAAGGATAAAGTGTCTTCGTAGGTTATGGATTTCTTCGAGACGTTACTCGTTTGTCCTGGGACCGTCGGGTAAGCAACACTGGGATTAGGAATAGGGTACTAGATAATGATGGCAAATCGATTGATGAAGTAGTGAATATTCATCAGTTGAGGTGGCTTGCATATGTTTTACGTATGTCCAACGACCGCCTGCAATGTTGTGTGATGTAGAGGTTGACTTGAAGAAAGCTAGGGGTGGCCGAATCAAAACCTGGTGCTAATCCTTGACGCCACTGACAACTGGAGTTAGCCATGTTGGTAGATGTAGACTACCAGGTTTGGGGTCGACGAGACGTTCGTGGTCGGTGGTTAGGAACTTCGAATGACATGGCTCGGAATAGTTTGCAATGGCTCAGATACATCCATTCTTTATATTCTCTCAAATTCTACTCTTATGAATTCCTCATGACCGTTTTATCTCTTCTTAAATTGATTCCACTGGGATATACCTCTCGAATCTTATCTCAGATCACTAGTCTTTTTCATTATCTCTAGTATTGCCACTAATTCTACTACTATGGGTTTGAACTTACAATTACATTTCTCTTTGCCTATGCGGTACGGCGACTTGAACTGATGTACGTACGTATCTAGTTCTACTGTCAAACTGACTAACTGACAGGAGGTTGACTTTATTACAATTTTTGTTTTCTCTATGATTGCTAGTGAATGAGAACGTAATCCTGAGCTATTCACCTCATATTTACAGAAGTTTGGATGTTTCAGAATCGAATGGACCTTCGTTTAAGTATTTCCATTTTATTTTATTTTCATTTGTTCTTTAGAATTGTTGAACAAATTGTACTTTATCGACGTGTTCTTTATTATTTGGAATACGTATTTGATCAAGTTAAAAAAGCTTTTCAAAATGGACGTCTGAAATCTACACCCACTGCACGAAAGCGTAAGTGTTAGGTTTTGCACCGTATATTTAAAGCTTTACCACAAATCGGTACTATTTGTCTTTAAAATGCAAGTATCTTTGAAATTACCTTTGTATATAGTTTCAATGGTTTTACGGTGGTTACCTGACAACTCTTTTTAAACTTCATTTTCATCGTCGTAGTACGATCTTATTTCTTTCTTTGTTTTACTGCATTGATTTTCAAAAGTGCTAATTTGTTTCTTTGCTATTGTATGATTCGATCCTGATGTATTCATTACACTAGCTAAGTTCCTACGTATTGGTTTTATCGACAGGTTTTAGTATTTTTCGCTCAAACCACATGTCTATTGCTTTGATATTCTAAATGACAATGTTTGACTTTTTCAAATTAGATTGGCGTGGCTTAAATCATTTGAATTTCAAAAACTGAATTTCAGCCTCGCTTATACCACAACCCTCTCACAAAATGTGGTTTAATTAAAGAATTGCATGAGGGTAACTGCTGAATCATTTTAACACATTCTGTGATACTTATTAACAAAAATTATTTTTAGAAATAAAACCGAAAGAATGAAGAATTATTTCTTTTCAATTAGTTTTTCATCATGACTCCACATTTATTATTAGTAACTGATCTACTGTTAATAAAACGATGTTATTTTAGGCAAAAAATAGTAGAAATTCTAATTTTTATACAAATAATTACAACTAAATAACGAAGTAACCGAAATATACAATGAATATAGTAATTAATGTTAAAATATATCAGTTTGAGACATGAATGAATCGGAACATGTTATTATCGAATTCAGTTGAACATTGTAGCCATTAGGCTTCCAGTCCACATAATGTAATATTAGTGAATCATTAAAAACCTGATTAGAAGACAAAAATCAATATCGGTTACATATACACAAAAATATACTGTTACAGCTGCTGTACAACAAAAATCGAATAGAAATTTCAAATAAAAGTCGGCGAATTAACAAATGTAATAAGTCTGTTGTAATCTACCCTAGTATTAGCTAAATTCATGTCCAAGGTTACGGTGTGTAGTAGGTGTACAAAGATCTTAATGGTGGATTCTATTGGCAGCAACTGTATGTAAAAATGTTCGCGTAAACCATACCGTAAACTTCATGGAAGCCGGTAGCTAATTATTGATGATTATTTCGTATAATCAGTCGTCTAAGTAATAGCTTCTTTAACTGATTATCTTTTGTTCCATACTATACTACATTTTATGTTGTTTTTTTTTCTTTTATATTCTTCGCTTTCGTTTATTTCAAATTATTTATATTCAATTATACTTTTCAGGTTTAGTCGCTTGTAATACATTGTATCATCGGTGTTACATCCGACTAAGACAATTAGCAAGACAATCACGTCGTGAAGATTTAATTGAACCAGTTGGTAGACTTTTAGCGAATATTACAGCTAATCGTTTAATATTTCAATATGCACTAGATCAAGTACGTGTTTTAGTTACTTTTTTTTTTCTATCTGATACCTGTTTATTTCGCTTTACATTTGCCTTTTTTACAATTTTAATTACTATGTACACATATAGTTCAGATTCAGTGAGAATGTAAACTTTCAAGGTCTAACTAAGCACTTATCATTAATGTCAACTTGTTTACCAAGTACAGATTTAAGTTTGATGACTTGTGATAAGATCAGATTTCCTAAACCTAATTAAGTCTGTAGCGACGCCATTGAATAAGACTAAATGTGGAGTGTTACTTATAGGGTAGTACATAAAATGGTAGTGTTATGAATTGCTCATCAACATAAGTGGTTGAAACGTAACTTACATCTTCTGTCCCCTATCAGACTCGATATTCTCTACTTGTTAGCGAAAAAAACTGGTATCGGCCAGTCCAAAACAAGGCATCATTCTGTAAAGTTATTGATTATTGATATAAATCATACAGAAAGTGAAAAACTTGTTGTTGGAATGTATAAGACAACCGTAATCTGTAGTTGTAGACTTTGTACAGCATGAAAGTGATTACTTTCCTTGTAATCATATTGTCAGACAAGCTTAATATGTATATCACGGATAACTGATAAGATAAATTATTTTCTAAATATTAAATTCTATTTTGATATGTACTTACTTTTTTATACGGTTCATTACATTTTCAAAATCAGCAGAAATATTTCAACAAAAACTCATTTTCACCTGTAAATTTTTAAATCTTCTTGTTGTTGATAGTTTGGACTCGATTCAGTCAATCTCTTTTATGGGATTTATGCATTACGGCCTTTTTACCCATGGTTTTGATAGAGACCAGGGTGCTCGTTTCGTTCTACTTGAAACCCTAACAAATAAGATTTCATTTCATGCCTTTTGCACAAGCTACCGGTTACTTGAACTTAATAGTTAAGTAGATTATGGATTGGATGTTTAATAATCAAGGTGCTGGGTTCAAGTCTCCATATATCTGACACAGGTGCTAGTACTTCTAATTGGCAAGTCACTGTCAAAATCTTACTTAGACATATTGAAGAGTAATTTGAAAATTCTTAAACCTACATTAATCCTATCAACTTCGAACTTATCAGTAATGGAAAATTGACTATAAATTATGAAGAAAATTATAATCCCAAATCCATATTATGAAAATCTACTTTTACAGTAACGTCTGATTTCATACTCATCTAACTTGTGTTTCTTGATTGAGGAACTAACTTTTCGTTTAGATGTGATGATTTCTCTTCTCAGTCTATATTTTTAAACATAGATGTCAAGTGTTATTGTTCCTTGTATTATTTAATACAGTTCTGTATAACACGCATATCGATTATTTAATGTCACGTTTTATATTTTAATTACAGTGTTATGCTGCTGAAATGGATGAGTATATTGGTGAAATTGCATTGGTACGTGTACATTTGTGATGTTTATTCTTATGCCATCAGTTTTCTCTATGATTCATGAAAACATCATTGTCGAATACAGATGTGATCGCAGTTCTGTATCTGTCTAGTATTGTTAATCATGGTGTCGTGGCTGATTGAACAGAGAATGGCGACCGTCTGTTGCAACTATGCTCAGATAACCGCCTATTTCTAGCAAATACTAACTCTAAGCACAAGGAGAAACATCTCTTGACTTGGAGACTGCCAAAGCTGACCCAATGGAACCGCATTGATATCAGCCACTGATGAAGAGGCTACGTTGAAGGCTGTTGCCCATCCCGGAGCACTTGTTTAGATTGAGACCATACTCTTGTGCAAGCGTGTATTGTTTTGCTTTTTACTGGACTTAGGAAAAATATCGCAAGGAAACCTGTTAGAGTTCTACTTAATGATAACAAAGCTCAGAATATATTTCAGGAACAACTAGAAAAATAGTTAGGCGGACATGTAATAAGTGATACCCACCCTGAGGCAGCTTATAACGATATCCAAGAAGCCATGGAAAAAGCAGTGATATCTTCTAGTAGGGTAAACCATAAGGTTAGGGAGAAGCGGTTGATTTCAGTAGCATCTGTGGAACTAATGAATGCTCGAAAGCTCATCCCGCCTGGCTCTGAACATTAAAAAAAAGCGACCTCAGCTTAGGCGCAGCATGATCGCGAACAGTGGTGGGTAGTGAAAGCAAAAGAGATGAAAAAGGCAGCGGCGATGGGTAACAGTAGACAACTGTCCTACCTTATGCAGTAAACTGGTACTAGATATTCATCTGTTAGCGAAACTATCTCAAAAAAGGATGGTTCGGGAACCTACATTCCAAACACAAATTTTAATGTCCGAGTACAGTTGTATTTGCCGACCTTAAAGCGGCATTCGACTCTGTCGATCATGAGGTTCTATGGCAGTCTCTGTCACTGAAAGGAGTACCAGAGAAGTACATGAACCTTAAAAAGCTCTCTACTCGAACACTACAGGTTGAGTTAGAGCTCATTGCGGACCGTCATCGGAACTGATTACTTTAAGTAGTGTCCGTCATGGTTATCCATTCTTTCCATTCTCGTTGAGTGTGTCAACGCTTCATCTATCTCGGGAGTCTGTCAGCGCTGATGGCTTGGTGACTGAAAAAAACAGCACAGATACAGAAGGCCCAATTGGCCTTCGCCAACGTGCATCACTTATGGCGTGGGCGAGATATTCGTTTGTTAATCAAAGGACGAGTCTGTTGCGCAGCGCTTCGCTCCGTCTTAATATATGGATGCGAAAAATGGCCGGCAAGATTTGAGGATATTCGTAGGTTATTAGTATTCGATTATAGGTGTCTTCGAAGCATTGCTCGTGCATCCCGAGACAACTGAGGAAACAATGCTGGTGTTAGGAAACGAGTACTAGGTAAGGATGGCAGAACAATAGATGAAGTATTGAAACTTCATCAGTTGAGGTGGTTATGACATGTGTTACGTATGCCCAACCACCGATCATTACCAGTAATTCTTCTACTATCTCCATCCCTATGGGATTTGAACTACCTACATGACAGTCTAACATTCAGTACCTTCAAAAACTGAAGACATATCTCGGTGTGGTCACTTCCAGCTTTCATCCCGCCTTCTTCTACCTACATCAGCCGTAATCGCTGAATGCCAGTCAGAATTCGTATTACATATCACCACCATTTCCTTTAGTTGCTTGTTTTAATAAACAAATTCAAGATTAAATCATTTTAACTCTTTTATTTCATATATAATAATAGTGATAAAACTTTTTTTTTTCAAAATGTCATTGTTTTAGTCTCTTCAACGATATAAAGCTGGTGTCACTTTAATTCACGGCCTATGTCAACATGCTAAATCACAAAGAGATAAAACGTTATTATCTGATTGTATGCGATTATTAAGAGAACGATATGCTTGTTTATGGTCGACTGCAACGAAACCAAATCAACAAGCAGTACATTATCAACCTGACACAACAATCCCAGCAACTGCGACAACTACACCAACAACTCAATGTCCTAATAATAATACTAATAATAATCCTACAAATATTCTTTTACCATCGAATAATCTACCGGATCCTGCTTTGATCAATCCATCAGCCATAGTAAATAATACCAATTGATGCATTATATATTATCCATGACTGATTGATTGTGCATCGATCATCATCAACTTGATGGCAACATGAACTACTGATGTACACTTACGTACGAAGTTCCACGTTGCATCTGACTGACTGACATTATGTTGATGATTAGGTTATGTGGAGGATATACGTATATATATATATAGATATGTAGATGTACTTTGGTTTCAATCTATGATTATTATTATTATTATTATTATTATTATTATTATTATTATGTTTACTGTCATTCATTTAGTCATCTCGATTTCATCATCATCATTATCATCATCATTGTAATTTCTCGATTCAGTCAATAGTGTGGAAGTTTTTGTATGATTGTATGTTTTTTTTTGTTTTGTCTTAATGACATCATGTATTTTTCGTGGTGTTAGTTGTGAGAAACAGAGAAAAAAAAATTACCGTTTATAATTGTATTTAGGCTTTAATTAACACACATAATAATTATGTTGTTATCCAGCTTAATATTTTGGTCAATTTATACATTTTTACTTTGGTCTTTTGTTTTTCTTGTGTGTGTGTGTGTGTGCGCGCATGTGTATTGCCTAATGCCTCATCATTTTTAATATTTCTCTATCTCCGTTTTTATTTTCGTTTGTTTGTTTGTACGTTTCTTTAATGTTTTATATTTTCTGCATTTTGCCCATTTTGTTTTTTGGTTACGATCCGTGGACAAAAAAATGCAAACAGAACTCATAAGATTTTATTTTATTATTATTATTATTATTATTATTATTATTATTGTGTAAATTATGTTGACCTATAAAATGAATGAATGTTTATGACGGTGACTAACCATAATAATTAATTATCTAATAATCCTGTCCTGTTGGATGCGGGGGGGGGGTGCATAGGTGTGAAAGCGATTACAACTGATCACTTAATCAACCCCCTGTAAACAGTAATAATCATTATTGTATTATATTTTTTTTTGCACTATTATTCCAATAATCTTCAGATAATATCCATTTTTTGTCTACTATCATATTTATATATATATATATATAAATAAACGTCGGGAACACTTGCACACACACACACACACCCTCATATATGCATTCACATTTATTTAATTTTCTTGAAATCTTTGAAACAAACGGATGATTAATTGTATTGTGCTTATCTGTTGGAATTCATCTTTTTTTGTTTGTTGAAAAAGAAACTTTATCCTACTCAATTACAAATTAATAATGAGAAATTGTGTGAATGTGGACATTTTAGTACATAATGGATTGGGTTAGAATAAATAATGCTCTGTTTGTTGTAGTTTTATTTTTCAATTAGAATTATGGAGATTAGTGTTTTTTTTTGTCGGTATTACCAGCTATGAAGGACAGAGTAGTTTGATCGATGTTAGTACATCAGCTGAACTGTTGGTGGAACAACTGAAAATCATTCGACATATCACTGAAGTCTGCGAACTTTAATGAGGCTTTTAATCTAACAGTAATTAAATGGCACACATGAAACAGGCTTTCCGTTTCATTAAATGGACAGACAATTTATCGTACTTTGATAGAATCTTCAGTACAGAGGTCTTAGACATATATATGACATCGATACTAAGAACTCCCAGCAACCAAAAAACCTGTAAGTTATTCGATCTGCATCAGCATGCAACCATTGAAAGAAGTCTGTTTACATAGGATTTGTGGTTACAAAAAAACTGAACTGGATCTTGTATTTCATCGTATAACATTCAAAATTTCAGTTAGTTGATGACTTGAGACCGTTTAGTTGGGACAAAACTTTCAACCGCGGACGATTATTGATGATTACACGTGGTCAATATGACAATTACTGATGAAGTAGTCCTTTACCATAATGATTTGATACGGATAGTATATGAAATAACATGTAGTGTAGCAACAATAGCCAAGTCTTGTAACGTAAATCCACCTCATACTCATTTTAATTTCAGGAATGTGAAAGAGTTTTAGATCATTATACAAATAAGCCAAAATTTCCTTAGATGAAGATAACAGAATATCATTCATCACTTAGTCGGTTGGGATGATTTTGATAGTAAATCGTTTTTCTCTGAGTGATCAAACATAGCCAATAAGTGGAAACATTCTGTATCGTGTATCATTTTGTTAAGAAATGATAAAAATTGATTTACACAGACAGGCACTTTAAGGAAAAGCAGAAGAACACCTCAATAGAATAATAAAATCACCTAGTTTTAAATACATGATTATTAATGCGTTCATTCATAGTGTATCGTTATTAAAAAAGCTAACCTCTAGCACCAAATGGCCTACACTCTCAATGATCAGTAGGTGCATGGTTTTCATTACAGATTTAATTCCAGAATCGAACTCAAATTTGTTATTTCCATTACGCATGTCAGGCGCTCTGCGCTACCATATTCATGACAGGTAGCTGCAGATTATCCCAAGCTCTTGAAATAAAGTGTTTTTAATGAGAGTTACACTCTAATTTCTATTTGTCAAACATTAAATGAGAGGAAATGATGAATAAAATACAATGACCTTCATTTTTTAAGGGTTTAAGTTATCTTTTCGTGAATATTTTTGACTGCGCTTTAATCAGTCGCAGTTTTTATTTGTGCGTCATGTCAGAATTGCTTCATTATGGCTGTTTTGTCTCCATTCTTATGAAAAAGATGAACCTTTGCCATATAAGGAACCTACTGAGAGCTTCTGGCCGGCAAGTCTCAAACGAGAAGAAATATGCATCCTCCATTACATTGGTCGCTAAAGGTCATTTCTTCTATGAAGCGTATATTGAGTTCTGATACTTGAGTTTAACGTAAACATCACCATACAAAAAACAGAATAGTTTTTATTAACTTGGAGTGATGTGTGATTCTGATAAACCAGTCCAAGTATTGATCAAGATACACTGACTAAAATACATTCATAATTTAGTAGATAATAATCCTTTTGAAATCAGAGCTGAAAGCCACAGAATTTAGACCTGTACATGATCTTAGTAGCTTGAAACTAAGGGATTTAAGGTCGAAGTAAAAAGGCCTCTCAGTAATTTTGATTTCCAAAAACATTTTTCTCAGACTACTGATCACTGCGTACACAAAAACATATCAGACTACTTTATTTTCAACACCCAGTACAGTTTTAACGATGAAATAAAAGGAAACTAAACATATTGCGAAAGATAACACTGATGTAACGAGATGCTTTAATAATTCCTCCGTTTTTTTTAATGAGACGTGTTCAATTTCATTCTAAATTTGAAATGGAGATAAACGTACTGTAACTCTCTTCACAATGTTGTGCGTAATATACAAATTTATTGGAGGGGAATTATTTAAGTGAAATACCAAGATGCTTGTCTATGATGACACGAATTTTAGTCAGGTTAAACAAAATTAAAACAATTATTTTAAATTTATTACAGAAATATAAGTATAAAATGAACTTTCACTTAACAACTCTTTGCCGCTCAAGTTTAAGAAGAAAACTAACCGTGTAGCGAGTTCATAAGTAGTTATAGAGTTCTACAAGAAACTTTAGAGTATGTTTGACTTGTAATTTGAGGAGAAAATCTATTGATTTATAAAACTAGAGCAATATCGTTCTCAATTAGATCGTCATCCGGTCAATGCAATCTATGAGTCATTGATCACAATGAATATAGATTGCATAAATACACATAGTAGGTAAAAGTACACACAGATGATAAGAAGTCGAGTGCATTAGTGTCGACATACACTGTCTTATTATGTGTAGTCATATGATCTATTTCACTATGAGCATTAACTGATAAATTACCTTATTTAGTTCAGCATATTTGTATATATACTAGAGTAAAGCCTGATGACTATTTAATCGAAAACTATGTTGTTCGCTTACATACGTTACTCTAATTTTTATGATCAGAATATTTAATATTTATAAAACTACCAATTATTTTTCATGGTAAAGTTTAAGAGATTATTGCTAATTGAGAGTCAATTATTGTTAGACCACCATTGACTACAGATCCACTACCTAACCTTTTACTTACTAGTCATATCCTATAAGTTTATTATATATATGAAACAGAAATACAAAAAAATTTACTTCATATAAGGTCAACTTTAAATCGTTCTACTTCTTTATAAAAGGTAACTTTAAGGATACAAAATCTGTGAACATTTTTGTCCAATACTTTTAAATTCAGTCGTCATAAAAACGAAATGCACTAGAATTGATTAGATAAACAGTTATCTTACTGTTAAATCAATAGTTTGTTATGCGAAACACTAGTAGTACACACAATAATTTATCTTTAAGTCAGTTACATTATTTTCAGTGATATCTTGTTTTGTTGATCAAGTGGCTCCAATTCCTCACCTTCATATATATATATATATATATATATATATATATATATATATATATATATATATATATATATATATATATATAGCTACAGAAAATTCAACAGAAATTGGTCAATAGTTTTATTTATTTTTATGATCTACAACGACGGGTTCATTTTTCTACTTTGTCTAAATTGCATTACAGGGTTGTGAAGATTGTTAAGTTACACAATTTTGAAACCATGAATCGATCAATGTTAGACCATCATTAGAAACCTGGAAGCACTGGACGGCCGTTTCGTCCTGGTAGGGGACTCCTCAGCAGTGCTCATCCACGACTCCTGCACCTCGCAGGATTAGAACCCAGGACGCGAACGCCCTAACCATTAGACCACTGAACCGGTATCTAACGGTGTTAATGTCTAACTTGATCAAATTCACGGAGTTGCGCAACCTCATACACAGTCTTCGGTAGACACTGCCTACACCCGAACAGGTTGAACTTCAAACATTCATTGTTTTATTCAATAACAAAAGAAGAACAAATGTGAATTAAGTGATGAAATATATATATATATATATATGATGGGTTGGGGTTATTTGTAATTGAATTGATCTTATCCTTAGTAGTGAGTGACCTTTAAGTTACAGTTAATCATTATACTTTTATGAATAAATTTAGTTTCGGTTAGCCTGACAATATATTTACAAAGAATCAATCAAAATCTCGTTATTCAGCTAATAAAATGTCACTTTGTAAGTGCGTTCAATAAATGCTACAAAACAAAGATTTTAATAAAAGCATTTTGTTGATGAGTACACTATTTGAAACTTTATAAATAAACTGGATTCCATCTCAGGAGTAGTTATAATTCAGCAACATTACATGGTTGATTGATGGTCTTTTATTTGTTTCGAAAACTTGTAGCAAATTCCATGCTACAATTGACCACTTTCTAATATTTACAAATATATTTAAGAAGTTTCATGTTTTTAAAAAGGAGTCATTGATAATGAAACACAAGAACAGATGAATATTATGACTAAGTCAAATCAGATGAAGTTGTAAAATCTACTATGATATGACGCAACATTATTGGAGTAAAACTCTACGTTAAAGACAAAAATCAAACCACCTAGACAAAACGGTAAATAGAAAAATAAAAGTAATTGAATCTAATGAAATTGCTTAAAGCAACTGTTCATTGACGAGGTGATCAGATCAGTTTGATTTAGTGCTTGTGGAGTAATTACGTGTATTGTGCCGTTCTGAATTAAATTTATCCATAACAACGGCGGTAGTTTTGCCATTAAAATTCTGAGTTCCAAGAACTTACCATATGCAAAACAAAATGCAAAACAAATTCATAGCTACAAAAATGGTTTTAGACAGGGATAGTATACAAGGCTTTAAAAAATTATCATAATCAGAGTGACCAAAGTAAGTAAAAGTGTTATTTATCGGAAATGCCAGATTATTGGATTGTCACATGAATGAGATTTAAAAATGTTGAAGACAGAAAGCTTTTGTAATCATCATAAAATAAATAAATATAAACATTTTCGAGACGTAGAAAAATTATATCAGAAAACAGAACTACTAGTAAATGGATAGATCTAATAAACTGTTAATGTGTACGCTAATTCATGTTTAAATTACGAATAGTCAAATGTTTCTCCTGAGTAAAGCCATTTTTGGTACAAAATATCCCGAAAACCTTGATTATACCTTGTAAATGATGTCAAAATGGAGACTTTGAGGATTTCAGCGGCCATGTTGAACTGGAAACAAGGCTCATCACTTTAGTGGCCCGTGATCTGTAGCGAAACGGAGTTAGCTCGCTTTTCTTGTCCAGTTCATTTCGCCTTGTTTGTATACTTTTCATTCCTGAGTCTGCCAATGCGAACGATTGCATGAACTAAATTTATGCGCAAAACCGTATTCCCATATACGGGATATACGGCAATTGAATAGAAGATAAATTTCATCGCATACTCGACCGTCCGTCTGCCCAAAAAGGATTCAGATCGTGGGCCATTAAATTGGTGAGCCCTACTTTGAGTTCAGCGCAGCCACTAAATGATGCATACATCAAATTTTTTTTATGTTATAGACCAAAGAAATTAATTATTCTACCTCAGCCTCCATAATGCCATGCTAAGGAAAGTATTCTCCTGAATATGATGAAGAAGTAGCTTTAATAAATCTAATGCTAAAATGGTTTATATTGATTCATTCACCATGTACATCGGTAATATTATACAAATTTAGTTTTACTCAATGTTAATAACTGTTACCTATTATTTTTTTTACAATTAATAGACGAAAGTAAAATGTATAGCTAAGTTGGTCATATTTAATGGTGCTGTATTTACAGAGCTTATGTTACCCTTCTAACTAACATCCTTGCCACCATTTTTAAATGTAAATTCGCCATTTGTTATTTTGATTGAGTCCACTTGGAATCCATCATTCATTGACTATCGATTTTTCAAATGAGAATTTTAATCAGAATTTTTGTATCTGGAATAATCAGACAAAATCAGTTTAAAATGGTACTTGACATTATGTCTTATGTTTCTTGTTACACTAATCAATAAGACTTGGAAAAAGTCATCTCCCTTCTTAAATTCCATTCAGACTTACTCGTCAGTAAAACCAAAATTACTATCATCAACTTCTTCAGGTCGTTATCGATCTTTTACAGAAATTAGTCTAGATCGATAATTTGCTTCCTTAAATCAACCAACACTTACGATATTTACTAACAAATATGTTAAATATATTCCAAAAACCAATATGTTCAGTTTATTCGGTATTTAAACACTAAAAATATAGATCTAGTTGTTCTACAGTAATCGATTATTGTGAAACAAATTCGTGTGAATGCTCTTCTAGCCACTGACAATAGATGAATTACTGACAAGTAAATGGAATTTACAGAAGCGAACCATAACAGTAAGTAAAACTATTGGACAGCTTAGTCAAGGCTATCGACTGAGCTTGATACTTAACATTGCTGTGCTTGTCTTTGATTACTTAATTACAGAAAGAACGCTTAACTATTTTATATTAGTAATAGAAATTGCTATAAAAAAACCCATCATATTTTTTTACAGCTGCATTCTTTTCATTGCAATCACTTTTCTTTTGATTTTGGCTTAATTAATTGCTAATATCAATTCAATCCTACACAAGCATATAATCAATCCATAATGCTAGTAATTCCGCAATTCTAATGCCCATGTGTTCTATTGATTGGTTATTCAGTGTCTGTTGGCAAATCTATGCCTAACAAGCATACAACTATGTGCATGTGTGCTGCATGCTTGTGAATGACAAATACTCGTCTTAACCAGGGGAGAAACTATCGATCCAACCATTCCTAAAATTGTAAACAGTTCAATCATTGAAGCTTAGTAGATAGATGTACACACTGGTGAAACATGTATGTGCATAAACATAATGAAAAGAAAAAATATATATATATAAAAACATTTAAGGGAATAATAAAAACATTTTGAAAAGAAATTGTATTTATTAATCTATAGAGAAATGACACTAGGAGGCTATACAGATTATCATTATTACTCAAATTATACATCGGATGGTTATGCAGATGATGATGACGATGATGATGAAATTGAAGAATTCAAGCGGAAAACTGAAGCAAATCGAAAAGCAAGAGAAAAAGCTAGACAAGAATTTGAACGTGACAGTAAGTGAAAATTTCAACATGGATATTTCTTCTTTTAAAATACTGTTGGATTATTTTATTTGCCAAAAAGCTCATCATTAATTGATTGATATCTTTTCGGTTTATTTTTTTATCTGTTCAGTAAGTTTCCAGCGAAAGTTTAGTGAATGAGAAAGAAGAAATCATTGTAGTAAAGAATTTTCACAAGACTTGAGAAATTTCAGCTCATATATTCCTACCGGAAATTACCTACTTACTTACTTACTTACACCTGTTACCCCCAATGGAGCATAGGCCGCCCACCAGGTTTCGCCAACCAACTCTGTCCTGGGCTTCCCTTTCCAATTCTGTCCAATGTTTGACCATTCTTCTCATATCTTTCTCTATTTCTCGGCGTAATGTGCTCTTTGGCCTTTCTCTTTTCCATTTGCATTGAGGGTTCCATGTGAGGGATTGTCTTGTGACGCAGTTCAGTACTTCCCGCAGTGTGTCCTATCCACTTCCACCGCTTCTTCCTGACTTCCTCCTGCACTGAAATCTGGTTTGTTCTCTTCCACAGTAGGTTGCTGCTGATTTTATCTGGCCAACGAATCCGAAGTATTTTGCGTAGACAACTATTAATAAACACTTGTATCTTCTGGATGATGGCTTTGGTAACTCTCCAAGTTTCCGCTCCGTACAGTAGGACTGTCTTGACATTTATATTGAAAATCCTGACTTTGGTTTTGGTTGAAAGTTGTTTGTAATTCCAGATATATTTCAATTGTAGAAATGCAACTCTCGCTTTGCCAATCCGTGCCCTCACATCTGCATCGGATCCACCTTGGTTGTCGATGATGTTGCCCATTTATGGCTTGAAATTGTTGGCGAAGACAAGAATTTGAATTGTTCTACTACTATAAGCAGAGACATCTTTAGTTAAGAAGGAATTAAGTATTAGGGGACATAAATGCTTGTAACCTAAATAGCAATATCTTGGAACTTGGGGAAAGATGCACATATGCCAAATAGATCAATCAATTACAGTCGTAAACATCGACGATAAGACTAAAACAAGCAATAAAAATGAAGAAATTAAAAATGTTTGTGAGCATCTAGTATCATGCTATAAAAAAGACATCCTATTACAGTATTCATTCCATTCATAGTTCACAATAAGTACTGTTATGTACAGGTATTACTTTCAGTATGATAAACTAATGACTTGACGTTTCAACAGACTTTAGGCATTTGGTATTCAATAATGCACAAAATCTATGTATTCAGCTGTGAAGGCGAACTGATAATCACATTTAGCGACCACGAGAATGTGCTTTAAGTAGTCAAAACTACTTAGTTAACGTTATATCATTAACTTGGAGAATTTCGCTCATTAATCTGTAAAATAATGTAAAATGATCAATCGATACGATTATCATCCAGATTTCACCTGGCAATACTTAAATTTCCATAATTTCTCATTCATTAACCTGGACTGTTGTATTGTCAAAAAATTTAACTGACTTCGGAAAGAGTATCATCAACTTAAACTATAAAACGTTTGTCTCAAATGCCTTCTCCGTACACATAAAATCTGATTGACTGATGTGAATAATTATACTGTCACTAGCCAATCAGCTATTTCGGTTATTTTTGAAGTGTATGCCGATGATATTTTTCATAAACATAATGAAAACTTCACTAACAAACCTATTCAGCTTAGACAAATGTAAACTAATATAATCTGTCAACAGAACAACACTTCACAAATCTTCAACTTTTTAGTCATTATCAAATTAATAAAGTAAATCAGACAATAGCAGATCAGGTTATCGAATAATTTTTGAATTAAACATGTAAAATACTTCATATTCATTATAATGCAAAAACATTTACTTGGATTATTTCTAATTTCTCATTGTATGAACAAGTGAATCACCGGGAAAGTAAAGACAGTTACATTTTTTTTCTAAATAAACAAATATTTATACCTACAGATAAATGAATAGTGTGACATCTTGAAATTAGATGACAATGCAACGAAAGTGTTCATTAAATTTACATACTTTGTTAGATATTGAATTAATAATTTTCTTGTATAAGTAGCAATACGCTGTGTCAATGACTGTGTTGTCATCCTCAATGGTGTAACTTGTAATACTGAATTCTTGAAAATAAGAAAAATAATCCGTTCCAATATAATCCATACAAATTATCCTAAACTTGAATTAGAGTGTTCAGAAAGTAACCATTTTTCTTACAAGTTCTTTTATACTTTTTGATAGTAATAACTTTTCGAAATTAATTCATGTGATTGTGATATAAATAGAAACTCTTTAATACCATAAGATAACGAGTTTAACATGATTAAAGCAAGTAGATTTTTTAATCCTTATGTATATATATATATCGACTATAGTGTATTTAGTGTTCTATATAGAAATGATGATTTTAATCGTTTTTATCCTCAAATAAACAGTTAAGTAGTTTGATTGTGCATTCTCCAACTGAATAAAACTGTTTAGTTTTGCGTTTAGAAAAATGGAGAAGTTTGTTTAAAAAATTACTTATTGTTGTTGAAGGCTTTTGATTTTTTAGAAGTAGCTGAATGAATCTTGTCATTTTCTCTTGTTGAATATCTTGTTACTGAAATGATAAATTAAGTAGAATACAAAATCTGAATAAAAGTCACATGTAAATTTAACATGCCAGTATGTAAGTTCATTCTAGTTAATAGACACAGTATCTGTACAAAAAGAAAATAATATGACCTATTCCATTTGACTAATGTGAAAGGTTTTTCTCTCATTTTAATCAACATGTTGCTGTGAAAATGTGAACTTACTGATAAGTTTCAGAGTGAAACTAAGTAACGATTTGCCGTTTTTCTCAAGGTTTCATTGCAAGGTAAAAGGTTTTCCATCCTTTTTTAGATTTTCAATGCTTGCTTACTTGAGAATCTTAATAACCACTCATTAAAATCTTTATTCACAGGCTTATGAAAAATATTAATGTTGATGGGTGTCAACATGCAATCGTTAATTTAGTCAGTATTTTTGTCATGTAAAATCATATTGTTGTCGGAATAAAATGAGTACAAATGTTTACCTTTCATTACCACAGATGTACTTTTCTTCCGTCAAATAAGCTTTCTGTGGTGGATTTGAGCAGTTTAGCTCTTTTACTGATGGAGTGATGTGTTTGATCGTCCTGCAAGCTGTTTGTTAATGCTTGCCTAATTATTTACTAAATTAGGTATGCCTGTTACCCTTTGTAGAGCACATAGAACATCGACTAGGATTTTTCAACCTACTCCATCCTTGGTTCTCCTTTCCAATTGCTCTCACGTGCAATTCATTCTTTTATTATCTGACTAACATTACCAGCGTAATGTATTCTTTTATCTTCCTTTTATCATTTTGTCTTCAAGATTCCAACTTAGCGTTGGTTTATGATTCATTTTGGTGATTTCCGAAATGTGTGTCTTATCTATCTCCAGCACTTGCCATATTTGTGTACAAGTAAGCATATTTGAGTGTAAATTTGCCACAGTAACGTTAGCATTCCATGAAGCGTCAACAGTTAATAAAGACTGTGGTATATACACAAGATTATTTACCTTTGAACATATATATCAAGGCTTTTCCAAAGTATTGTAGTATATTACACTTTTTGACTGTAAATATAAACAGAATATTAGTTTGATTGACTTCATCAATTGAGAAATCGAACTGCTTAAACAATAAGTTGTTATAATCAAAATTACTACAGTTCTGATTTAAAAAACTGGTTATATATAATATTTTTGATTCTTTTAGTGGAAAAAGCAACTGAATCAGATGCACGTCAGATAGCGCGTAAAGCCTCTGACGCTGTTCTCAACGAGTACGATGAAGTTAGACAACGAGCTTGGACAAAGGATCAACAAACTTTAGAATACATTGACGAAATATTAGTAAGTATGAAGAGTCGCACATTTGTTATTTGTGCAATAACTTTTTTCCAAGACTTTCTCGATTTGCCAATTCATTTACGTAAAGAGTTAAGACAATGTCTACTGATGAATTAAATGTGATGTATTGCAGTTCCGTCGGTATTAAGATCGAAAACCTTTTTCCTTGTCGTGAATACTTTGAATGAGTAATGAATATATGCATTGTGTTAAAACTTGCAGTTAACTTTTAATATCGAAATTTGGAATGAACAGTCTGTTTCTTGTCTAACATTCAATATCTAAACAAATTATTGAAATAATAACCCGTTTACGATAAATCCTTTGTTTGGACATGAGAAATAAATAGCACTTACTGCAGTTATGAAAAGTCAAGAGCATTACATAAGTATGCTCTCTTGTCATTGAAACTTTCGAACTATGAAGAAATTATTGTAAAAATTACTGCATAACCTTTCATCATAATATCTTATTGAATTTTTGATTAGTTTAAGTATAACTACTTCATATATCGATTTAAAATTACGCGGTCGACAAAAAAGAAATTTATTTTGTTATGTAACATATTATAAACTGTTGTCAATTCTTTAAAAGTACACATTTTACTATCAGGGTACTGATATAAATAAATTTTTACAACAAAAGACATGAAATGATTTTTGAATGATACAACATTGAATTATACTTTGTTCTCTGTCTGACGTACAGAATAATATGCCAATAAACTTAATCTGTTACTGATTATCATAAAGATCGATCCTTAATTTTACTGAAACATTCACCTAATTGGAAATCTTAAGTCAAATCAATGTCACAAAAACTCTGTAACGGATTATAATTGAACTAACTCCAAAACGTCGTATATTACTCAACCTGATAACCATCATTAGATAACTCCTAACGGTATGTGAATTTCAGAAGACAATATGAAGAGTTGAAGACCGTTTATTATCGCACGGCACAGATCACAAAACTGCAAGTATATATATATATATATATATATATATATATATATATATATATATATATATGTATTCGAGTTATTTAAGCAATTACCTTTACAGGTAGTAAGAAGAGTATGTGTGTATGCTGTAATGAGTGATCAGTCCTACACAAACTTGATAATAATAATAATAATAATGGTATAAGGGTTTAAACAAATTGTTGCTGTTCTAATGACCTTATCTCCTGAATATGTTAATTGAAGGGCTTAACCAAATTAAACGGTGAGGTGCTATACATTCAAGAATTTAGAATAAAATATTTAATTTATTTAATTAAGAATCATTCGTTCAAGAGAAGATATGCATACCTATGGCATTTAATAATATTTTCAGAAGATTACTTAGACGTCTACATTAACATTTACTGATAGATAAGATTCCCCTACAGACTAACAAATACTTTCGGGCAGAGTTTTAGAGGTTTTGTGTTTTTACACATTTGAAATCATCAATCAGTCACTGTCAGACCACCATTAGAAACCCGAAAGCACTGGAAGGCCGTTTCGTCCTGGTATGGGACTCATCAGCAGTGCGTATCCACGACTCCTGCACCTCGCAGGATTCGAACCCGGGACCTTCGGTATTGTGAGTGAACGCCTAACCGTCGGACCACTGGGCCGGCATCCAATGGCGTTAATGCTTGTTTGATATCTGACATTAGTGTTAGCTTTCATTAATTTTGATACATATTTTTAGCCGTTAGAAATTTGTTTCTTTTTAGTGCGTATTTTTTCTGGTTCATTCTTTCAATGATTGATAATGGAGTTTATTGAAATATTGAATGAATATTTCAATTAACTATAATTTCTTTTATTTATTACTAAATCTTTGCATTAACTAGTGGACATTCTACTGTTTTTGACTAACTATGGATCAATTAATTAAAATTCTAAGACAGTTTGATGATTTCATTTGTAGCATTATTCTCTAGTGTCAATCATATTATTTATATTGATATAATTAACGTCAAAATGATGTTGTACCTAGAGATTTTTCAACTATTTTTTTACTTCTAATATCAATCCAATTTCTTAGATGAAGGCTTTTAACACAATTATCTTTTTCTAAAAACTAATGTTAATTTATTTCTGTAAAATATTTATCAGTATTACATCTTGTACAAATTGCTTACATAGTAATCACATGACTTTTTCGTTGTAAATTTCATACAGAGCTAAAATTTGAAATCCATACAAACTTGTCAACTGAAAATAAAACAACCACTTGAAATGTAATAGTTGATTTGTTGATTGAAAAGAACACTACCGAAATACTGTAACTTATCACGATTATTGATGTTGATCATTTGTATGCAGTATTGTAGAGTTTCTCATTGGTATGAAATGGCTATTTATTACTCGTTCGTTTCCATTCAGGCCATAGAGAAGTCTAAAATTAAAATTTTATCAGAAACTATTCCATGTACTAAACATAGTGTAACAATGAAACTCGTCAGAATATCAAAATACAGTGTAACTATCACTAACTGTTTGGTGACAACCTATATTATAATTTTCTCTATGTTTGTTATTGACTTTGAATATGCATTCGATTCACAAGTAAAACCAATCTAAGAAGTTAATTTGATGCGATAAAAGATGATAGCTTACAATTCACTGACAAGAACTAAAGGAGACAATTGAAGTGTATCATAGTACTCTCAGTTTATTTGATTGATAAAGTTTGAAAATTTCACTGTAGATAATATGAATTTGATTCTGTAATTAATTTTGTAAATGTTCGTGTAAATATTTAGAGAAATACTGAAAAGTCACGTTTCTATGTACCTACAACACAACTCAATGTAAGAAGAGGTTCCTATAGTAGATACAGTGATATTCGTAATGGTGATCAATTCAACAAACCGATTGAAGATGAGTTTTTGTCAAGAAGTCAAGTAAGTTACTCAATTGTTTTAATGTTTTACTCACTCACATAAAGCATGCTTTTAAAATCGATTATAAATTGTTTGATACAGGTCTACTCATAATAAATGAAGACGAGTTGATGATAACATCATTAGGATAAAACAAAATACTTTAATTTTGTCAGAACCATAAGTTACTAACTTAACATAGAAACCAAATATATTTTTATCCAAAAAGGATATTTGAATGATAATAGATCTTCTAATTGATATTGTTCAGCTAATAGGTTTCATTATGAGATACTTCAATAAGAAATTATTCATTGTAGAATGCCTCCAGCATTGCCGCATTAGTCCTTTCCGAATACCTAGGCTGTGATTGGTCTAATTTGTCTTCATAAACATTTGAAATCCTTGTCACTTTTTTTTGTTAGGCTTATCTCTGAAAATGCATGTAGATAAGATTTAAAATTTGATAGCTGAAGTAAATACATCTTATTGCAAAACAATCTGAATCCAACATTTTAGGAAATTTTCGAATTATCTCATAGTCAGTTGAAGTTTCAGCTCTGAAACTAATCTAAAACAATATATATATTTCAAATGGATTCTGATTGTTTAATTTTAAATGTTTAAGATCATACCATAGTTGATATCTTAGCTAAACAGCTGAAGTTTTCTTATTCAAATTTAAAAATAAGCATGATTATATTACTTTACCTAGTCAGCGAAGCATCCTACAAAATTTCATTTTAAAATATACTACTAATAAGTAGTGTAAGTATTTTATAGAAAGATACATTTACAACTTTTCATGGTCATGGTGGAATGGATTCAGTGGAGAAGAGTTGATTGTTCTACAGAATTTTGAAATGAAAGTTTTTATCAATTATTCCTCCATCACACTTTAGATACCGAGATTCAAGTTCCTAATATAACGAAAAATATAACTGATAGCACTTATTTTCCAGGAAAAATTCTGTATTTTGTCAGTGAATTATCAATTAAATGATTAAATGTATTACAGCATTCAGTTGATGAAGTATTCTCAACAATTTAAACATTTTCAAATGAGGAATAGTTGAGTGAATGGTTATTCACAAACACTTTATTATCAAACTCTATCATTGATATATATTCATCCGATTAGTGTTTAAATTATTCAACAAAATTATTCTGCCTAAACATGTTCAGCGTGAAAATAAATCACAGTCAAACACAATTACAAGAAAATAGACAAATTATGCATGAAATTTTATGTATCGTTTATGATATTTTTTTCGATCACATTGATTTAATGATTTCTAAGTTCTTTTCTTTTTGTATTTATTTCTGTAAAAACCTTTCTTTTATCATTTATAAATAAATATTTATTCAGCGCAGATATAAAATAGTAAGTAAATTAGTTGAGAAATCAAAAAAAAGAATTTTTTAAATAGGTAGTTTGCATGTATGTGCTTTGAGTTGATAGAATGTATATTTCACTGTCAATAGATTAATTAATTCTGTAGATTTGAATAGTTTTATTGTGTTTTGCCTTCTGGTTCTTGATACATTTTAGATGGTTTTAAATAAAGAAAGAATGTAAAAATAACAATGAATTGTTTGATTACATAATAATAAGTTGATTTCAATCGTTTCAAAATGAAATCACATTATGAAGCCTACTTTGTGCAAGATGGAAATTTTCACCGGAAACTTTTATTCACATAAATTTCAAAACAGATTTTATATATACTAATATCATGTGCTCTTAGAATTTTTATTGACAGAAATAGTTTGTTTAGAATAAATCGAAAACTTTTGCTGGAAATAAGATTTTTCATCAGACTCCGAACAGTAATTAACTTGTGAACAAACCACTAGCTAGTTATATATATATATATATATATATATATATATATATATATATATATATATATATATATATATATATATATATATATATAGTGGATATTCGATCTGTTGAACTAAATCTGAGTATTTAATCTATTTAAGTATAGCTGCATGTGTACACAACGTGTCGTAAGTGTTTTACGTAACATGATCTTCATTGTCTGTTTGTATTACAAAAGATCTTTGCTCAATTATATGGATTTCTATATTTTAAAGTCATATATCTCATCACAGTAAAATGTAGTCACAGTCTGTTTTTAATTTCCTATTACTTACTTACTTACTTTCGCCTGCTACCCCCAATGGAGCATAGGCCGCTCACCAGTTTTCGCCAACGAACTCTGTCCTGGGCTTCCTTCTCCAATTCTGTCCAATTTTTGTTCATTCCTCTCATATCTTTCTCTATTTCTCGGCGTAATGTGTTCCTTGGCTTTTATTTTCCTATTAGACTATAAAATTAGTCACTTGCATTTCCTTGTGATAAACTTAACTGCTTAATTATAAAGTATTCAGTTGGTATGTTTATCTAACTGTACTATTATTTACTGATAGATAGATTCACAATGTATTATTTTTTAACAACTAACCTACCATGATACTTACCACTTAGTGTCAGTTTTAAACAAGAATAATATTTTCCATTTTGAGTAGTGTGGCAGATGACAATTCGTGGACATTCGAAGTTACACGGTTCAAATTTCATTTGATAAAATGAACATTGTGATACCAAAAAAAACACATTAGGTTGTTGAGAAAGAAATGCGACTCCGAAATTTCCCTACTAGCTATAGTTTAAATTAACTAAATGCTTGAATTATTCTTTTTGACTATGATTAGAAATTGAATGAAAATATAATGGAAAGTCTACAACATTTTTTTATGTCACCGTGTTTTATGTTTCTGTTGTGAATTATTGGTATAGTATTTCGTTGAAAACTAGAAGACAATCATATATTATTTCCGAATTAGTTCATTCGATTCTAAGTAAATTATACTGGGCTCAAAAAAAGACTCTTTTAATATTTGACTATACAACGTACATCGTTTGCGAATTCAGTAAAACATTCAATAGTTAGAAATATATATACAGGCGATTTGTCAGCTTTCATTTTTTTAAAAACAACTTCAACTAGTTGTTCTACTTTTGCTCGCAGTAAAATCATACAACACATGATTTATCAGATATTGAAAAAAAACATTATCAGATAAATTATTTGTTTAATAAAAAGTGATTCAATGTCCATTTAACAAATGTTACACTAGTTATCTTTCGAAAAATTATCATTATTATTATTATTATTATTATTATTATTATTGATGGGATCAATAATCAATGATAGTATTGTACAAGTATATTTTTGTCAAAAATACCTTTTAAACAAATCGGCCAACACTATAGTCGACCAGAGAACATTAACATTGTACACTAGAAAACTAGTTACATGTCCCGATCTCCTGGACGATAGAATTCGATGAGTACTAAGCATTAAACAAACATAACATTGCCCACTGTTTGATTATCAAAGATGTAAATTATCTTAAAATATTTTTAATTATTCTGAAATTTTCATAATTTCTATTTATGGTAAAATTTCGGTTTGTTGAATTAAAAGTGTATTTCTTTAAAAACACTGACGAAATTAAATGATCAAAATGAAAATTTGTTAAATTCTAAGCTTTTAGAATAAAAGCATTCATGTTATCCCCAACTATAGAAACAGCAACAAACTATGCGAATAAATTGTACGACAAATACATGCATGACAGTAAAGTTTTGTGAAACTCGCCTGTTAGTTTCGGTTTTCTTTTGAACGAACATGAAAGCAAGATGAACGATAAATTTATTTATTATTTAACAAAAAAAGAAAACTAAGTTACTAAACATAGTCATGCACCGAATGAAGAAAAATGTAATCTTTGAAGTAGGATATTTGAAAGGCAATCAAGCTGCAACAATCTTTTTTATTGCACTCTGGATAATTAACGACAATCATTAATTTCACAGTACAGATAACATTTGTTCAGGTAAAAAAAATTAGCTTGATCATTTAGAAATGAAGGTAAGTTAAACAATCAAGCAACGAATACTTTATATAATCTCGAATAAGATTGAATAACTCGAAATCCAACAAATGTTTTAGACAATTGAAAAAAATGTTCTGAAACAAAAAATCAATTGCATCGATTGATAATTTCAATTTATTTCTAAAATGTAAAAATATGTTATAAACGAAACTATTTTTTTGACATGAAATTTTAATTTTTGTTAAATACGAAAACCAAAAAGAATTGGTGTTTTAATTGGCAAATTTAATAGCTTAGGCATAAATGGTGTTTTCTAATCAATAATAATCAATTAATATTACTTAAAACTGCTTTTTTATTTCTGTAATGTCACATTGACTCTGTTGAATAAATCAAGTCACAACATAAAAGTTATCAAATAATAATCACTTTAAGGAAAAATGTTCAGTAAAAAAAATTGCTAGAACTTAATTTATGATTAGAAATAAACTAAAATTAGGTTGAATCTGAGCCCATTCTACTCTGATCCTTCTGGGGGAAGGATTTGATTGTGACCGATTCGGTCTCGTATGCTGGTACGGGTATGAGGGTGGTTGTCACTTCCCGGATGACCAAGCCGTTGTAGAATGTTTCTTGACGAACCAGAAAAGGTAGATAGATTAGTGTTGGTCTTAACGACCTGAAAGCGTGACTGCGGGGCTAAGGAACAACTGCTTGAGGCCGGTCACGCACGGCCTTTTTATGGGAAGTTTTTAACATGTTAGCTCCGCTCTTCAAGACGGAAATCCATGGGGTAAGATGAGGTGTGACATTTGTATGGTCGACCTATTATAACCATTTCCTTCCTTGTGAGAAGGCAACATCGCTGCAGATGCTGGTTGTCCAAGGGAAACACCTTTCTGCCTTTATGCCCCTGTACAGTCAGTAGTACGACTTCGCCCATACAAGACTCATCAATGATTTTTTGAAATAGACAATCAAATTATCAAAATCGATTCGAAATAAAATTGTTACCTTATAGAAGGATTCTTTTCAATGTTAATTGAATAATCTTGTTATTATGTTAATTTTATACATGTCATTAATTTTTTATACCATAAGATGGAAATAATACGGCCGCCCAATGGAAGAATAAGAGACCCTAGTTCAGTTGAAACAGCAAGACAGAAAATGAAACGAGTTGAAGTGAGTCATTCTATCATTTGACATATATACATATATATATATATATGTATATATATATATATACTTTTACAGCTAGTTTAGTATTTTTAAAACAAATCAAATTTAATAGTTGTATTCATTTCACCCAGAAGATTGTAGATATCTGAAGCTAGATAACTACATTTTTGTGCTTCCTAAAGATAATTTTCCCCAGATGGGTTTGAAACTGAATGCAATTCTTTTGAAGTATTTCGTAACAATATCCTGCGTTTTTCCTAATGTATTGTACGACAGGATTTAAAACTGTAGGATTTCGGTCTGAAAAAATACTAAATATCAATTAGATTACAATGATGGTCAAACATTTAAAATTCCTTTACTTCCATTAAATGACTGCAAGTTAGAAAACTAAAAAAATCTTTATTAGTGCTTTTTTAACGAACATCTTTTGATGAAAAGAACAAATGGCTTACATTTTCAAGATCATTCTCAGTTGAAAATATGCATATTTTATTAAGGGAAAAGAAGTAACATCTGTGCAAATTTATGCACACAATCTGACTTGTGTGGTGTACTGATATCTCTGAAAATAGAAATTATTCATTTACTTTATTATTATCTTCTAGAATTAAAATAACTCGCTCACACTATGCAACTATTTAAACAAGACTTGATGTCTTGAATGAGAAATAGAATAGTCTATTAAATTACGATCAAATTACAGTTTTTGCGGATATTAAGATTAATTTTTGATTTGTTTGGAAGATATCTGTGATACGCTGAGAAATTATTGTATTATTCATAGCAGTACTGAAATATTCCTCGATTGCGAACATACTTAAGTACTCGTTTGCAATCAATCCTTTCAGAAGTTTGGAAAGTTCACATATATTTGAGATTCTAAGTTATATTTATTTTCTACTGTTTTACATGAATGTAAACAGTTTACTAGATGGTGCTGTTGGCAATGTTATACTACCGAAAGGCAAGATAAAATGATCTAACGTTGTGAAAACATTTTTTTCGGATTTCTTAATTTTTTATACTCAACAGCTATTTGCCAAAGACAAAATATTTTGTAGTGAAAAATTCTGTTACGCCTGCACTCAAATACGTCATTTTGATATGCTTGAACTATTACGAGTATACTTAGTCGGAAAACAAGAGCGATGATCGAGGATCCGGCAACACGACATGCTACTCAATCCGATTATCCCAACATCCACTGAACAAAAGAAGAAAGCTTGATATAAAGTAGAACCTGTATTCTACAAGCATCCAGAAGGTACGAGGTCCGAGTCCAGAAGAGAATCTGGATCTCGGACTAGGGATCCGGGACCGGGTCCTGGTCATAAAACGTTACATATAATGTGTATTTATATATTTTGGTCAAATAGGAGACAGCATCGAAGTCTGTGACATTAACAGTAAAGACAACCAATAGGAAGAAACATTAGAAGTAACATTGATAGTCAGGACAACCAATAAGAAACAATATTGGAGCACGTGACATCGATATCTAGGACGACCATAAAATTGACGAATTAACCAATAGGAATTGGCCGGTAATTCTCTTAGGATATTAGATGAATATCCCAACACCCCCCTCTGAAGAGATTGAAGCGACACACGACGGTTTATTTAGATCTGGACTGTTGTTTGCTGCTGTCGGGGAGGATATTTCTGGAACGGAGATGAGGACCAGTCTTGGGTACTTCTGAGCGGGTTGGCTTCTTCTTATATGCTTGATGGGACATCTGCTAATGTTAGCTGTTTGACAGTATGAATTTTAAGGTATGTTATGAGTAAATAATAAATCCTCCTCGTCTACTACGTACAAGTTGACCTACTGTGGTGCTGTGGTGTGGAGCTACTTATAAGTAGTATATGACGTAATGTCTGGCAGCAGAAGATGGGGGAAGATCAAGAAAGGAAGAGTTAGAACACAATGGAATTTGTATGAAACGCATGAATAGTGACAATGGATTGATGTTTTGCAATAGGAACAGTCCAGTTCGATATGATGGACTGACATTTTGCAAAGTAACGATTTACGATATGGTTTTCCGATTTTACTGAGTAACTCTGTAATTTTCGTTAAATACAATCCGGTTGCCCCACCTGTGTTCTCGTTCACTACACTACTAGTCTTCATGCCACAATTTTCGAGAGGGGTTACTGGCACTAGACAGATTTCTAGATTAATATAAATAGTTGCTGAATGCCGTGTATTCCAACCACTGTGTATGAAATTGTAGCTAACAATGGAATTCAAGTCATGGTTTCCTATATTTTTTTTTGATAACCGAAACCCATTTGTTATCTACCATATTTATTATGACTATCTCTAGATTTTTGTCTATATTGTTCTACTGTTCAATACACTTATGTTTATCTAGGAACGTTTAGAAGGTATTCTTGATTATGAATTGCCAAGTGCAGACAACTTCAGAAATATGCGTCATTCATTAAGAGAAATTAATGATAAAATGTCAAAACATCGCTTCCTTCTGGATCGTCACAATTCAACAGACTTAGGAGAAGATGAAAATGACAAATGTAATGTATCAGAAAGAATTAATGAAAAGTATAGGGAATTAGAAGAGAGGTGAGTTGAGACTTAACTTATACTTTCTTTAAATGTACATTTCTGACACAATAATCACTAATTAAAAAAAGCAGTACAAAATCCTTGTAAATTTATATTACATAATAAGCGAATATTGAAAACCAGAAACCAATGAATATCAGTTTCACCCTAGTATGGGACCCCTAAAAGTATTCATATATGACTGTGCCAGCGATTTGTATACTAAAAATCATTGTATACTATGATTGACTAACTTAAAAGGGGTAACTCCTGAAGTTAGTGTTAGAAACCGAGGTCAGTGGATCTCAACCGACTCTGAGGTGATACAAATACCACAAGTAAAAATGGATGACAACTACACAGTGTCACGAATTGACTGAAGTTAGATACGATCATGCTAGTCAGTGTTCTAGAGGTTAGGACTTCACTGCGACACATAAAAACCCTACAATCGATCCCTGGCGAAGTCGCGAATTTGCACTAGGGAAGAATCTCATGCTAGATCGAAAAAGCCATCTAGTATTTCTTGATTTGTAAAGATTTTTCAATTTTAAGTCACTCTAAGACATTAAATCATCAAATTAAACGATCTCTACAAATCCGTATATAAACAGAATTATAGCCTACTGAGCAATTATTATCTGAATTACTCTTACACTCAAAAACTATTGTTTAGGAAATAAAGCTATTACTATAGTATAGATGCCTTTCCTTTAAAAACCAGGTTGTAATTAAAATACTGTTCAAGGTCTAGAATATCATTTATCGGGATTTAAATTTATATGTGAATTATAAAATAAAAGCCGTCCTATTATGTAAACAGATAGAATAATGAAAATGAACCAGTTCATTCACATATCATGTAGTCAAACATGAAATGTATATTCGCAAAAACATCTTGAAATAATGCATGCAATTCTGTGGGTAAATGTAAATCAAACAAAGAAAGCATTTGCTACTCTACACACAAGAAAACAAGATAATAGGTAATATATATTTCAAATATCTAGCCAAAAAATCTCGAACAAGTTTTCTGTAACTTACAATTTGACTAACCCGAGCATTTTTTTTTCCAAGTTACACTAGTAAATATGCAGTTATCCCCATCAGTGATCAGTTAAAACTAATCAAATTATAAATGTTATTGATAAAAAAAAAACCAAACCATCAATCTTACTTTGTTTGTCCTAAAAACGTCCTACATGATTCAAACAAAGGTGAACTGTACTTGAAGTTCAATCTAGCATAGAATTAATGAAGTTTTATAACATGCAGCAAGCAAAGCCAATTATTTTTCAGAGTTATTTCTTTTTATATAAAAAGCTGTCATTTTATGACATTTTCTGACAGTTCACAGAAAAAAGTTTCATGTTTTACAAAGCAGAGAATAAGAAAAAACTATTATTCTAGAAATTAAACGAGTACATGTGTAACACGTTTCATCAGCAGTCACTGAAGGGCAGGTAGGATCTAAAATCACAAGTCACAGGGTTAGATTAACACCTCACACCAAGAGAGAACACGAAGTGGTAGCCACGGCACTCTTTTATTTAAAATTAAAATACGCGGGGTTTGTACAGAAAACGGTGGCTAGTTTACCAAAGTCTTATGAGTCATCCTGTAAGTTCAGAGCACTCAGGGCTTGTTCTTCAGCTTCCGAAGCGTTTATGTTTGATCGCCCTGAAATAGACGGAAACCAGAGCGGGTTAGCAATGGGTTAGTCACACTAAATTACTGAGCAATGTTTAAAGGCACTTTTGAAGCATAAATTGCTTACTGGTGATATCTAATATGCTCAAATAAAATCAAGCTGATTATAAAGTTTTAGGTGATGAAATTCTCATCAGTATCATTTTTGCATTCAATTTGTAGTCTAGTCTAAATATAAATCTTAGTAAATAAGAGTAAGTTTATGAACTAGTCTTCAAACTATAAATATCATACAATAGATACTGCTTTCGTGAAAAATATGACCTACAACAAATTCACTACTAATCTAATTTTTTTCAATAAAGGGGTGTAACATATGAGAAATTATATCTCACCTAAACTATATAAAAAAACGAGAATACTTTAGTCTTATTAAACCTCAATAGAGATCACAAAGTTTTCATATAATTTTCGGAAAGTTCAATAGTTCAATTCACGATAATTCAAGTACCGTGATATATGATGTAAATAACCAAATATGAGTAAATGTACAATGTGAAAGCATCATTCTGTGTAATTAACTGTTATGTGAATATGTAGTGTCAAAACAACATTATACACGAAATATGATCATCTGCGGTTTCAGTTCATTTTGTCGAATTTGAAACAATAATCGAAACATTCTGTTTGATTACTTGAAATACGGGCTTATGGTTAAATGATGCGGACTGTCCCGTCACTTAACACCAGAAAGAGATTTAGAGATGTCATATATTATTATTATTATTATTGTTAATATGCAATTACTTAAAATTGCTTTAACACAATGACTGCGAGTATCGAAATCTTCACAAATAAATCATATAAAATAATTTATTTCCATTTAAAATAAACTCATCAGCGATTTAAACTATTATTTTCTTGAATAAGTCAATTTACTGTTACGTGTTTGCTTTTAATCTTGTTTTCACTCTAGAATGCCATGTTTGACTATGTCTGATAGAGCACGTGAAAAAGAAAAACGTACCACTCGTTTCGATCCCACTTTTATTCCGGTTAGTTTAATATTGAATATCATTGTTTCGACTGGGTTATTGATTTTCAAATAATGTGCTAACATGGTATGTATGATCAATGATCATTTGATCGAATAGATAGATGGATACGGAAAGCTTTCATTAAATAAACGATAAAGATAGAATCAATATTCAGGTGGATAAGTTATTTTTCAATGGATAAAACTGACATTCGATTAATTGAATCAATGATCAAATTTTTAAAACTATATTCTTAGCTTGAATTTATTGTTTCAATTCTTTTTTTAATAATAAGCAAAATTTTTCAGTTTAGTTCAAGACTTTTAAAACAGTATTCTGTAGTTGTAGTAGGATTAATTGTTCAATATAGAACCTACTCTTGGAATATGCTAGATGTATCTTCAGTGATATTCGGCATCTACAAACCCTAAAGTATATTTGAGTTCCGTTTTAACATTTGTAGATACATGTTTTTTGATAATCTTAGCTTTATACAATGTTGTGTTTAGTATAACATAGAATACTGCAACATGTTCTTTCTATTCTTCATAAGCAAATATTTACAAGATTGTTACTTTCCGAACCAAAGTGAGTAACATGTATGTTTGCCCACAAACAAAAATTCTTCATTTTAATCCTTATTGTTTTTTATTCAGTTAGAATAGATGTTAAACACAACAATAGAGAGCACTTATATTTTTTTATTATTTACGTACATGATCTTTGAAACATTTGAGTTATGTTCTTCCGGATTTCATACCATATTATTTAAATCATGTAACTTCTAGAGATCACTAGAGTTTTAAAATTAATGTATATATTATTCTATTACTAAGTATAAACTTCTCATCGATTTGATTGGTTGATCTAGTTACTGTTTGTAAACAAATAGCCTTGTTTCCTCCTCATAAGTGACTTTATCATTTTAACAAATCGATTTCCACCCAACGGTACGCAGAATTTTCTATTGATGTTGTCTTAATTATGATTAGCAGTCAGTAACACAGAAAAGATTGATTGACAGGCATCTTTTTTTTTACCACTGTTTCGTTAAACAATGTAGTCATCTTTTTCAGCCACACCCATTAATCTACAGTGAAATTTGTAGTTGTGCAAATTATTTATTCAAATGAATGTATCAGCTGCTCAACAACAGAAAGAAGATTATTTTCTTGGAAAAGTAAACAATGTAAATTGATTCTTTTCAACTGCCTAATTAAAATTAGCTTAATTAGGTACTAATGAGATTAGATTATTCTTGTAGATTATTAGAAAACATTCAGCTTTAAGTTAGTGGCTTAAAAACACATCATTCAAGCAGTCAGTCAGTTGCAACGTAGAACTTTGTACGTATGTACATAAGTTCATGTAGCCATACCACATTAGCACAGAGACGCAAATGTCAAATCAAATCCCATAGTGATAGAGATAGTAGAGGTATTAATGGTAATGAAGAAAACTAGGGTTTGAAGATATTATTCAAGAAGTATAATTCAGTGAGATAAGGTTAGAAAGACAGGCAGTCGGTGGTTAGGCATACGCAACACATGTCCCAACCACCTCAACTGATGAAGTTTCACCACTTCATCTATTGATCTGCCATCCTTACCTAGTACTCGTTTCCTAACGACAGCATTGCTTACTCGGCTGTCCCACGATATACGAGCAATGCTTCTTAAACATCTATGATCGAATACTAGTAACCTACGAACATCTTCTACTCTTAACGGCCATGTTTCACAGCCATATAAGAGAACGGGACGAACTGTTGCGCAGTAGACCCGCCCTTTGGTTAGCGAACGGATATCACGCCTACGCCATAAGTGACGCAGGTTGGCAAAAGCCAATCGAGCTTTCTGTATCCGAGCTGAGATTTCGTCAGTCACTAGACCGTCAGCACTGATGAGACTCCCCAGATAAGTGAAGCGACCAACACGCTCGACTACTTCACTCCCTATCACTAGTCCAGGTGCCGATGCAACCCAGTCTTGAAGCAACATTTTGCATTTCGAGGGGGAAAACCGCATCCCGAACATGCCCGCATTGTTGTTTATGGTAGTCAGAAGACTCTGAATTTTGTCAGCGTCTTCACCGGATAGAACTATGTCATCGGCATATTCATTCAACCAATACACTAATACAAATGCAGAGTATATATATATATATATATCATACGAATTCAAATTAATCAGTACCAACAAAATGGCATATTTGTTGATCATGCGACTACCCTGTTTCATACTACTTCAAATAAGTATTAACTTGTATTAACTTTTCATTTAAATACATGGTGTAAGTGTGAGCTTCATCGGACACATCGATGTAAATGTTCAAGTTGTTTGAATCGAAACTGCCATATTGTAAAGAAAAACGTTAATACTATTTAAAAGTTAAGTAAACTTACTTTCTTTTCTTTATTTCAAACATTCAGGGATATTCTACTGGTTTGAGTATTACAAACTCGGAACAGAATGCTGAATTACGTGGTCGTATTAAATCATTGCTGTTACGAACAAAGCGCAGTGGATAAATCATAACTAATTTCAGTGTTTCATTTTATAATGATCATAACCGTATAGGAATTAAATTAAACTGTTATATGAACTATTAATTAGACAATCTTTAATAAAATAATAATGCATGCTTTAAAAATTGCTTTTTATGTGTATCACGTTTTAGGAAGATTATCTACGCATATTAATAGTAAATGGAAAACAGGACTTTAACAAGAAAATCAGTCAGTCAGTTACAACTTAGAACTTCTTACATTTGTACATTAGTTCAGGTTGCCGTGCCACATTGGCACAAAGACGCAGTTGTCACTTCGAATCTCATCGTGGTAGAGATAATAGAAGTATTAGCGGTAATGGAGAGGATTAGAGTTCGAAGATATCATTCAAGAAGTAGAATTTAGTGAAATAAGCTTAAAGAAAAAGGTAACGATGATGAGGAATTTAGGTTAGAATTTGAGAGAACATAAAGAATGAATGCACCAGCGCCATTGGAAACGATTTTGAGTCATTTCATTCAAAGTTTCTAATCATCGGTTACTATTGTCTCGCTGACCCACAACCAGGTAGTCGACACCTATCAACATAACTCACCCCACTTGTCATTGACTTCATGGATTTCTGCCATGTTTTGGCCTGGCCGCCTCTAACTTTCTTCCAACCTACTCCTACACTACAAAACAATGCTTGTCGAGGCAGTCGGTGGATAGACATACTTAACACATGTCTCAATCATCTAAACCGATAAAGATTCACTACTTCATCAACTGACTTCCCATCATTTTCTAGTGCCCTTTCCCCTAACTACAGCATTGCTTACTCAGTTGTCATCAAAGACATAATTGATTAGACTGGAGGCATTTGAATAATGCAGTTCTACTTGAAGCTTCTGTTGATGATATTGCTCAGAAGATCAATGATGTAAGCTTCACAACCAAAACATTCAGTTCACAGAAAGAAACTCCGCCATAACCATCCACTTGAGTTAGAAATTTTCTCCACCATTTTTATGAAATTTCATAAGTTACTAGTCTTTGATTGTATCTTCAAAGTAGTGCTTGTGTATTCCATAACCACCGAGTAAGCAACAGGTCGGTTAGGAATAAGGCACTAAGTAAAGATGAAAAGATGATCGGTGATCTTCATCGGTTGAGTTAGTTAGTTTATGTGTTACATATGCTCAACAACCGACTTTCTTAACGAGAGATATTGTCCAATATAAAAGTAATCCAAAAGAAAACTAGGGGTGGCCATTTTAAAATATGGCGCCAGTTCATGAAGTCATTTACAATTGAACTGAGCCATGCTAATAATAGGTATGTACGCTACTTGGATTCAGTTCGTATGAAATTCGTAATCAATGATAAGAGACATTGAAGGACATATGAAAATAAGAAGGAATTCATCACATACGTGGAAAAATTGCAAAGCTATGAATCAGATAAATAAAAACTCATTACCTCAAACAAATTAATAATAATACTTGATATATTATGCCCAGTTAGAAAATTCTGTGAAGTTTGATATCACACTTAATCTTTAAAGATATCTCTGAAAAAACAACATTCGTATAAATGCTACGAAAGGTTGCAGCTAGATTTCCACCCACTAAAATATAGAAAACAAAGTACAAATAATGTAGAAACTTAGCATACATATATTCATAAAGTAGATCATAGGATTAATTGGAAGCACACAATCAATCGAGAATGTGGCTTGTATTTTAGATAATTAAGAAATGGAATTATAACTTAACTTGTATAAGATCTATTATCATTACATATAAGATGAACTGAAAGAAAAAAATTTAACAGAAACATCGGGAATAAACGTACTTCACTAAACAAAAACACTATTATATGTGAAATTCGTGGAATCAGTTAGCTAAGTTATACTTTAAGTTTTTTCATAATGAGCAAACACCTTTAAGGGATTCTATATAATTAATAAACTGTAAATGTAACGCTCGTTTCGCGTTTCAAAAGCTACTGGTATAAGACTATTCCGACCTAATCAATGTGTACAGCAGAAATGCGCGATCAACTTCAGTTTGACACAATAATTATATGAGGTTGCGCAACTCAGTGAATTTGATCAAGTTAGACATTAACACCGTTAGAAACCGGCTCAGTGGTCTAACGGTTAGGGCGTTCGCGCACAATACCGAAGGTCCTGGGTTCGAACCCTGCGCGGTGCAGGACTCGTGGATGCGCATTGCTGAGGAGTCCCATACCAGGACGAAACGGCCGTCCAGTGCCTCCAGGTTTCTAGCGGTGGTTTAACATCGATCGATTCATGGTTTCAAAAATGTGTAACAATAATTATAAGTAGTGCACATGGTCGTATTCGTTATATTTTCATACTTTAACCTCTCCTTCAGAACGCATTCAATACGTTACTTCCGGCTGCACTGACGTAAACTAGTGACGTAGTCACTTAGTTTAACTATGAATAAATAATCACTCATTTTTATTATGCATATTAGTAACTAAATACTTTACTCTGCCTATGATGAGTAGTTGTTTTCAGTATATACCAAGATGCTACTTTCGCATACATTCAATATCACATGACATGAGTGTCCGATCTAGTATTATGATTTTCTGTCATGTATCGAATATTCACCTCAGCTTCGCTGACCAAGGTATGTGAAATCCTCGTTTTCCCTTATATTATTCTTTACAACATTGTGTTATTCACAGCAAATGAGGTCTTGAAGAAGAAATTCATTTTATTCTAAAAGTCCATTCTATATTTAAGAACATATCTGTGCATATACTAAACAGTAAAACTGTCATTAAAAAAGTGAGGATTATTGGCGCTGACCAAAATCAATATTTTCACGGTCTTTTCGAGTTGGTATGATGAGATTTATTACCGTTATCTATGAAACTGACATCCGTTCTCCTTGGTTACTGTTTTGTAAAATACAGTGATGGAGGCATAATAGCTCTCCTGTGTACTGTTGCTTATTTTTCTCACTTATGTAAAGCAGCCAACGATCAAACGTCCTCAACAATCAGCCGTTGATCTATTTGATCACTTTAGATACATTATCACTTGTGTGTTCGTCTGTCCGACCCTCATACACACACACACTAACCATCTAAATTAAAATCAATTAAATTCTGATTAACACAGTGGACAAAACGAAACATTGTAGTAGTCATTGATTTAATAGAGATTATCAAACTTGATGTGTACTGATATATTTGCTACTACATCTAAACATTCAATATGAAAGGATGACTGATAAGAAAATATTTCATTAGGCGTACAATTTTGATATTCTAGTGAATCTAAGGCCAACAACCAGAAAAAGAAAGCAAAAAGACTGAACGGCTTTCAAAACAACATTGATCATTTTTGTTTAAATTAAAAGCTGGATTTTTAATACTTGGCTACCTATTTAACTATCCAACACTATAACATAATAATTAGATGACCAAAGAATTGATGTTTACTTTATTGTATTTATATTTAAAAAAAACGCATCTTCAAACATTTTCATGTATGGATTTGCTTAAAAAGTGCATAGAAATGACTGATTGTTTGAAGAGAGAGAGAGAGAGATTTTTTTGACAAAAATCAAAAAGAATATAACTGTATTTGTGTATGGTATGTCAATCTACATGTTTCCTATGGTGTTGTTATGACCTATTGAAAACAAGGAAGAGAGGGAAGGGAGCATGCAAAGTATTTGCAAGAGATAATATAGATTTATATAAACAAATATATATTATTATTATTATTGTACGTGATCCGTGCTGTATTCTAGAAAATAATGTCCACTGGACCTGAACTGTAAACGTAACACAAAACACAATTATTGTCATTGTGTAACAAGGAAATACTTAGTGGACAAAACCAAAAAAAAAGAAAAGACTAGAATCTTATCATTTGTACACTACAGAAATAATACTATTATTAAATTCAATGATAAAAGGCCTCTACGGTGCTTGGTTGTCATAATTTGAACGAAGATTGTCCAAGATAGAAGAAACACACAGAGAATGAAAGAAAAGGGAGAAAGAAAGAACACAAAGAAGCAGAAGAAGAAAAAAGTAAGTGAATATAAGAGAGGAGAGTTGGGTAAGAAAAAAAAGGATTACTTTTTTAAAGACAAAGTTTGATGCAACAAGGAAAAGTGCACATTTGACAAATAAAAAGTAAAACAAATCCAAAACACTCAAAAAAAAAATTCAATAACAAATTAATTGATTATTATTTACACAACTGAACTGGAAGACACTAACTAATGACACTAAAAAGAGAAGAAAGAGTACAATTGAAAAAGAAAATAAATCAATAATCCATCTGTGTTATTTCGTGATAAAAAATAATAAATAAGAATATGAACAAGAAATAAACAAGGATATTTATTCTTGATTGATCATTTTTGTTGTGATGATGATGATGACGGGGATAGCAATAGAGAAGAGGATACGGATGAAGAATTAGACGACGGTGAAAGTGTACCGAATGTACGCCATTTCCATGGAGAATGGGAACGAGGTTTAACTTGTTCTTTACGCTGTTGTTGTTGTTCTGTCTTAAGACGAGCTTTTTCCATTTTAGCTATACGTTTTTGTTGGGCAAGTTCAGATTTTCTAGCTTTAAAATTAGAAAATGATTTAAATATGGAAGGAATTTTATTAGAAGAATTTGATATTTCAGCAATTTTACTTGATGGTATACGAGGTAATGTGGATACAGCATTAGAAAGTTGACTATGATTAACTGGATTAAGATTGATTGTTGCCTCTGGAGATGAACTGGAATCTGGTGAATTTGGAACTTCTGGTAAATTTGACTTTTCATCTAATTTTTTTTCAAAAAAAACACAACAACAAAATAATGAAAAGAAATTGTCCGGCGGATATATGGCTTCTTAAAAAATAAAATTTTGGTATGTATGACTGCAATGAATCATCTGTAAATATTTACTTCAAAAATAGAGATTCGTTTTGGTGTAGAGGTGTTACATTATGAATAATAGTGCAAGTATCATAACAAGTTCCAAGTAGAATGAACTATTCTGACACGCATAACGTACCGACATATGTCAGTGTCAATAAAAGTATTGACTGCCGTGTAATGGATTTGAGAATTATGGATAAAAGTCTACAGAAAAAGTTTATTTTTTGGACTAGACGAACAGAAACATCGAAAAGACACTAGAGACATATTTATAAACTGAAAAAGCAAGTTATAAAACGTCCTTATATTCTCATTTGGTGAAAAAGAAGTACAGAAATAAAGGACGCCATTAATTACTATAGATATCTAAACTATTCCTGATGAATAATTCACCAGGTACACTTTTATGAGTAAAGAGAGTTTGGTTACAGCAAGTAATTCTCTATAATAAAACCAATGCATTATTCTGGCTCTTGTAGATTATGTACAATAGAGCAAGCTTTTTATAATATTCACATATAGAACGTTTATACACTAGAACAGAATCTAATATGCTCTACTAAGTGGTCATTTAGTTGTAATGTAAAACTTAATGCGTACATTGCAACTGACTGATTACTTAGTAGAGTACATTACATTTTTTCCTAGTGTACATACGTCATGTGTTTGTTGATAAGATAGGAAGAGTGAAATTATTTGTAGCCAAGTGAATTTACCTGTGTAATTAATTAACTAGCTAGCAGTTAATCGACTGGTATTTTAACATTTTGAACACTAACAAATTATGACCCAGTAAATGTACGTAATCTTTACAAATAAAAAAGTATTCTCATCAAAATTCAAAATATGATGGCTGAGATTTTTAATTCATAAACTATGTATATAAACAAATTAATATGCATTATTCGAAATATGCGTATAATATTTCAAAGTAATCAATAACAAGGTTGGTTTTAAGATATTTTGAAAAAAAAAGTAATTGACTGAGAACACCGAATCACTGTGATGTTTGTAAGCCGTCATATATCAAAGAGAGAGAGAGAGAGAATAAAGCATAAGCGTGGCTAGCGAAAAATCAAAGGCTTTTAACAGAAGATAAATCATATAAAGATTATTATTCGGATAAACAATTAACCACACAAATATGCGACTTATCAGAATAAAAACAAATAGACTTGTATAGAAGTTGAATTAGTAAATGTTTTAGAAAGAAATGTAAGGATGAAATACCAATGAGTGCAGGTTCAAACACATAAGAGGGTTTTATCATTCTGATGTTCAGACCTGGGACTATAATTGATAAGTCTTTGTTGGCATCTTGAGTAAAGGCCTTCATTTAGGTCATTTTGCTACAGGTTTTGAATTACATAGACTGTAACTAGCAAGGAAATACAAGGAGTGTGCTTCGTTTTATTTGAAATAGGTTAGATATCCCTACATCCCCTATTATTGATCTGCAGACTGAGACTCATACAAATGAATTTTCGAGGCAAGAGAGAGGTGGAGCATAATTACAAGTAAATAAGTAAACGTTAGTGAAATAGTTCAATTAAAAATACAACGGAGAATAGTTTTAGTTAACAGAAAAATAACTTTGGATTACATTAGTTTCTGTTCTGATGCGTACTTAATAACTCAAACCACTGAGTTCAAACATGTCTAAGACCCCAACTGGTGAGCCGATGAAGACAGGCAGATACCATTCCTATACAGTTCCCTGCTACACCATGGTTTCATATGGGAAACTGATCACTTTACTGATTTAGCAACTTCATCCCAAATTCGGTAAATAATCCAAGACATAGAGGACACGGGAATCGCATCCGTTAAACATGTTCAGGCCACCGAAAACAGCATTTCAATGTACTGACACCAGTTAAGTTGGTGTTATTGCACTTAAACACATACTGCCAAACTCACTATTACTAACATGGTGTTGCTGCTGAATGTGAGGTGGTTGAGGTGGTTGGGACATGTGTTACGAACGCCCGACTGCTTCGAAGAGCTATGTTTTGTGGTGTATGAGTAAGTTGGAAGAAAGCTAGGGGCACCCAGACCAAAACATGGCACAAATCCATGAAGTCAATGACAAGTGGACTGAGTCATGTCGACAGATTTAGGCTACCTGGTTGGAGTCCGCGACACGATAGTAACCGATGGTTAGAGACCTTGAATGACATGGCTCAAAATCGTTTGCAATGGCGCAGGTTCACCCACTCAATATGTTCGCTCAAATTCTAACCTTCGGAGTTCCTCATCACTTTTATCTTTTTTCGTTTTAAGTTTCTTCCACAAGTTTTTACTTTTTGAATATTAACGTCCGATTACTGCTAATACTTCTACTACCTCTTCTACTTAGGGATTTGAAGTGACAATTGAGTCTCCATGTTAACGTGGTATGGCAACCTGAACTTATGTACGTACGTACGAAGTTCTAAGTGGAAACTGACTGAATGACTGACTTCTGTATTACTAGTCTTTCTCGAAAAGCTAAATCTTTAGTGCTCAAGTATTAAGTCTAATACAGATATACGTAAACCTGACTTAACTCTAAGCAGTTCGTTAATAAATAATGCCAATAAGAATTAATTTTATGTAGCTAATTAACCAAGTAAACGTTCATCTACTCGTATTTGTGCTGCAAGCTTTCTTTGATGAACAAAAACGCTACTATCCTCCTTCTTTTCAAACTAAACTAGTTGAAGCAAGTTTAGAACAGGCAACAAGATATTTTGAAGTTGAATTCATCACCAGTTAAGCTACTGCTACTCTAATAATAAAATTATTGATTCCCCCATACTTGAATGTTAATGCATAATACATAAAAATGAGAACTAATGTAATGTATTATGATAATTTAAAGACTCTTCATGATTTGTATTACATTTTACTTTGATTAGTAAATGAAAAAAAAAGAAATATCTTTCCTTTTATACAATTCATGAGAAATCTAATATTATATATATATATATATATATATATATATAATACATAGAAAAAGACCCACCGATTTACAATGTCTACAGACAAATTTTAGGACTAACATACTGATTTACATATTACCTGTTAGCTTAATGAAACTTCACATTACCGAAAAGAATTTAAGGAAGATCAATGTTCGGTTTATACCAAATGTCAGCAGAACAATTTAGGAAGCGAAAGACTTTGGGTGCATAAAGTCAATGTGTACGTGTGTGTGTGTGTGCGTTTCGGCTGTTTAGGAGTGATATAGCTTACCGAATCAATAACCATACGGTTGATGGATATTTGTTTTTTGTCTAAAAGCATACACTATTCAGGCTAACAAAAGAAATATATATATATATATATAGTGAAAATTACTAAAAAAAAAGTGCTGTAATTTTTCCGTTCATTCTACACACATGGTATATGTTACACTGATAGTTATGAAAATGGTAAATACAAACTATAGAGAAAATATTTTATCATCATTATTAGCGCTCTTTCTCAGATCATAACTACTGTTTAATAACATAAACTTCAGTAGTTTACAAATGTTCAATAATTTTCACTGAATTAAGATGGGATAAATTTACTTGAGTAGAAAAATATTCTCTAAAAGTATACACTCAAATGTGATAGTGTTCAATCTTCAGATGAAAAGTACGTAGAAACATTAAATTGGTATGAAATAAATCTAAACCATCATTCAAGTTCAGGTTAACAATGGCATAAATATTTTAAAATATAAAATACATTTTCAAGGTTATCTACTAGATGATGGATAATAAGGAAAATACATAATGATAAACAGAGAAATCTTTTGCATTCACAAATTAGGATTAACCTCCCTTATTATTATCATTATTAGTGTTGGATTTGTGGCTAACGAAATCTCGATGTGAACACAAAACCACTCTATTGCTTGAGTAAAACCTCTGGCGCAAATAAAACGTCTGTTCTTTAAAGATGGTAAAAAATAACCAATACAGCTTCAAGAAGCGAATATGCTGATAGCGAATAACCACAGTTGTCTTCGAGGTTTTGAACGCATATGGTACAAGTACCAAGCGAGTAACTCCAACCTTAAATGTAGGGTTCTAGGTTAGAATGTGAAGTCTGCTGATAAATTTTTAAACCTTCATTGACCAAGATGGTTGTAAGAAGGGGTTACGCATCCCTAGTCAACGACTATCCAGATGTGTCATGTTTCCTAACAGAACAATGGGTAGAAAAAGAACTGAGAGCAGTCAGAAGAAAATGTGACCTTAATTCACGGAGATATTGACTAATAATCTGAGTTGTATGATGAGATAGAGACTTTTTGATTGCGATCAACAAGATAATCGTTCAAGTGATATGGTTTACAAGCAAATTCTATACATGTTATGATCCAAATGACAATATAATCAAATATCTGTTGTTATTCCTTACTCTTGATTTTTCTCTTACAGCTATGAATATATATTAACTTCTGAACTAAAATGATTGCATACTAGTTTTTACATTAATTACGTATCGAGCGTGGAAACTAAATCATCCCTTCAAATAGATGAATTCTACAACTAGCACTCTATATCAACTACAAAACTTTATTATTTAACATACAGTGATTCAATCTTGATTTAAGAAACTGATTAAATGAAACTTGCCAAATAGTTTCAAACGAGAAATCATTAGAGAGATTTCGCTGTCCTACATCGTTATCGACATATTTGCAGTAATTTGAAAAAATATGCATTCTTTTTTTTTAAAGTTCACTCGAATATTCTCGTTGTAATGGTAATGCACACTTTCGTAGACAATAATGTTATGATTATCATTAGTATTCTATTTGGCAGAATAGTTTTATCAACTCAAATATCATACGATCAAAATTAATAGACTTGTAAGCTAACGAAATCATTAACAAGAATGATAAGCATGGAAGCTGCGTATCTTTACTCATAGTCAACAATGGGTGGTACACTCTTAAAAATAATTATCAAACATATTTTTAAGTTATTACAATTCAAATTGATGTTACACGAAAGCTTTTCGCAATATTGCACAAATGGAGATGAAAACTTATTTTATTTTATTTATTTAAACACATGATTATTGGTTCAAAGGAGTAACAGAATATATCTACATCACATAAATCATTGTACTTGTATGGGATCAGGTACTGTCCGCGTTCCCAAACAGAGGCAAATGGTTTTCTTACAGAGTCACCTCCTGAGCCTTCGCTCCAAACGTCTAATATACAAGGCAATGACATAACATTAGGAGATTCATTCTCATGGCAGCCAGTGACCAACAACAGGTTCATACGCCACTATTCCCGTCAGGATTCCGGAGCACATGTGCATTATGGGTTTGGAATAAACGATTTTCAACTCTCTTCGGTGGATCCTCTGTACTCACTAAGCTAGTTAACCCGCTGAATATTTGCCTTTCGTTCTCTCAACTTTGAAAACAATAACCTGCCACAAGAAGGTAGTGAGTAGGACTTCGTTGGCCAGTGGCTACATACGTGCGGTCACATGAGAGCACTTTGAGATGGAGAGCAGATTTAGCCCAATCTCGACCAGACCATAACAAAATTTATGATATTCGATAAGTTGAAAACTTGGAATGGTAATTATACTTTTAGTATGATATATAATCTCAATAATATTTACCATACATATATACTTTGTTACTCATCTTGCTTAATCGACAAACAGTTTAGCGTATAATACAAAAGCAAATTTTATTGAATAAGTTATTAATCAACAATAAAAATACAAAATTTAAATGAATCTAACCTTTTGAATTAATTTGATGATTGTTTTTTTGAAATAATGTTGGTGAAACTGGTGCAGACATTGAATCTGTACAAGAATACGTATTAAACTCTAAACTGTCATTGCATGTCTGTTCAGTTACTGCTTCATTGTCATACCGTTCACCAATTACAGTAGTGACATTAGAAGCAAAAGAATTAAATTTATCACTGAATGATTGATTTAAAGATTTAAATTTATTATTATGTAAGTCCATTAGACGTTTTATTTCTTTTCTGCGTATTTCATATTTCATTTCAATACGTCTACGATAATCACTCTCTTCACGATTTAATATTCCCAAAAATGTATGCAATTCCGATAAGCTGAATGTGGTCCACTAAGAATAAAAAATGCACAACAAAATACAAGTATTATATACATATATGCTATGAAGAGATGCGTTCGATATCCTTTGTCAGTAAAAAAAAATGTAATCGAACAAGCGACTTGATGTATACTGTATACTGTAAGCAGTAACAAAAAATTCAGCCATAATTTTCCTGAAATTATGCTTAAAATGATGACTAGTATATGACTGAATGTCCTACTAGCAAATACACTTTTTAATCAGTAAGTGACAGGTTCACTATGTATTTGAATTTGTATAACTGAGTAACATCACTTGGCTGTGAAACAATTAATGTGGCTCAAGGCAAAGTACATAGTTGGCATAATACCGCAGACTTCAGTGGAGATATAGTCAGAAGGTTAAAGCACTCAGCTTTCAATCCCTGAATTCCAAATTTAAACTGTTCTTCACTTGAACTTGGGCAACTTTATGAGAATACTAACCCACGAATGAAAAGTGTGGCTTGAAACCGAGTACGAAGACGTGTACTTAGTAGACGTGCTCCGTGAGTAACCTTACTATAATTTCGATTACCATAATAAAACCCCACCAATTTCCTATCCAGTTTCGATTACAAACCTTGACAAAAATGACCAAAAGTGTGTCTAGTGAAACACCTTAGAGAAACTAAAATCTTATGGCACAGATTTCAAATTTTCACTTATCACTACCTCAAAGATATTGGAGAATGAACGTTTGAATTTCAATAAAAGTTATCAGATAAAAATCAAATCTCAAATTTACTTTATTTGTTCACGAAAATGTTTAGCATTTGAATGTAGCGAGCACAATGTATTCATTCACAAACAATAGAAAAACTTATGTTTATAAATGTTTCGTAAGAAAAACCACTATGACCGACATGGTTGTGCCTTTAGTTTATGATATCCAGTAAAAAAGAACTTAATCAGTTTTAAAAAACTAACTAAAACATTATGATTCAATATTAATATGTTACTAAAGAATAGGCGTAGTAGAATTAAATTCAGTCAAATTCGTTAAATCAGCTGATTGAAAAAAAATACGTGTACACAACAAATAAATAGCACGTGCAGTTATGTACATTTACTTTAGTTACATTTATTTTATTATCACTTATAAAAAATACACTTGTTTACTACATTCAGCAAACTTTTAATGAGAAATTATCTTAGCGAAGAGAAGTTATTGTTTAGAAGAAAACAGTGATTTTAAATATTAGCTGCACAAGTAAATCTACTGCAGGTGCTTACATTTTCAAATCTTCTCAAGCGTTACTGATATTTAAAGATTGTCTAATGTTTTACAATTGCTTTATCAATAGGGTAAATCGTTAAAATACAGGGAAATTCGTTATAAAAAAAATTATAATTTACGATGTATGTGTTCATTACCTTGAATTGTCTTCTAGTTGGAACATTTAACTGACCAATGGATCACCTACAAGCTAGAAACTACTTTTTTTCGAATTCTTGATTATACTTAGGTTAAATAGTAAAGCATTCATTAAAAATCAACTTGAACAGACAGACAACAAATGTGTGTGTGTACAGAAGCAGAATATGTTTAAAAAATTGCCCTGAAAGAATGCTTGACAGTGTGCCAAGAATATTTTGAGCAAATGGGGAATACTTCCTATATGTAACGTTGTAACTCATTTACCACGGTATCAGATTTCGAGCTACATTACCTGTTAATAGGGGATTATGATACTTGCTGTCTCTGTCTAAACTGAGGCGAAGTGGCGGGAGAACATAAGACGCACTGGTCGATTATTCTGTTCCGTTACCACTGGGTCATCGATAGCTCACAGATAAATGTATCATGGATAGTAATAGTCTATCAGAACCAAATAAAGCCTGTTCGATGGTCAATCACACACAAATAGTAAATAACTTACTTCTATATCGCCAGTTTCATTCTCTTGCAATACTAATCGTTTCACTCTCAGAATGTTGTTAAAATTATCTGGATCTTGATCAATCCACTTGAATAATAACCCCAGTGGTGATTCATCATCAAATAATTTTCGCACAGAAACTAAACAATAAAAAAAGATTAATTAAATTTAATCCAAGACTGTTTTCATTTACACGTCGTAACATATTAGAATAGAAATTATTAATGTCTAGTCGAAATTTTATTGAAAGATCAAAAACTTTTAAAAACAAATATGGATAACTGTAACGGCCATACATACAAACTTATTCAAACTACTCAACTATCTAAACGGAAATCGGTGGGAGCTGAATTCAAATTTCCAATTTTAGCCATTAAAATTTGAATGGCTCAACTATTAATTCAATGACTAAAAGAAAATACATTATTAAAATTGATTACATAAAATACTGTAAATTAGAAAAAAAAATCATTTATTTATATGAGGAATGGTACGTAAATACTTTCACTACTTAATGTTCACAAGATCTTGGATCAAGTTTCACTCTCATGATATATATAGGTATGTAAACCAGTGAAGTTAATTTAAACGGACAATTTCATCCTCTAATAATATAACTGTTCAAAAGAAATTTTTCCGGTTGAACAAGCTTTGATTGATGACCAGCTATGAAATCATTAAAGATCTCTGTTCATAGCATTTAACCCGTTATACGGATCACTGAGAAAATGATTGGTGATGAGAACACATTAAACAGTTTTTACAGTTTCCATCATTTATACAGTTGGATAATGAGTGGTAAAAAATCTATTTCAATAATCGACAAAGAATAATCGGAAACGTTTATCGATAATATGAAATATTATCTGATAAAAAGTAATTAAAAAATGTATTAGCAAACGATTAGTCAAAAGATAAAAGAGAAACTTCTTCATAGGGAACTACACATATATGTATAAATTTTAAGTTCTTAAACTTTAAAATAGATAATGACATTCACTTTAAACTCAACCAAGGGTTGACGAAACCTCGATCCGAAAAAACAACAAATTTTTAAAATTATTTCTCTTAACTTTGTGTCAAAACTGTTTAGCAGCCAAGATCATGTACATTTATACACGAATCTGTCATAGAAGTCAAAGTAAAATGAAATGAAGTTTGAATCTGAGAGTTGACGGACGAAAGTTGAATATCTGGATTACTGAAGCATCCAGTCTAAAGTTAGGCCAGTCTATAAATGAAGATAACCAAATTGTAATTGAAACGTGCAAGTTGCATTGTCAATATGGATATGTCGTAATCCTACACCATAATTTATCAAAATAGTGAATAAATAGTAATCGTCAGAGGAAACAGATAAAAGAGTTGCACAGATGTAGGCTTCTGTGATTCCTAAAACAACTCTGATGAATTTTAAAAAGTTATAATCAGTCAGAAACAGTAGCTGTAAATGAATAGTTACAGGAAAAACAGTAATGCCCAAAACAGCACATATATTTTACATCACTAATGAATTACTGGAAAATTTAGATTGGTTTTTCTTTCTATAAATCAAAAACACAATACATAAATTCGTTGTTATGATTCTACAACCATCATGCGTTTGGAATGAAGGATTTTCAACTATCTTTGGTGTGTCCTCTGTACCCACTAACCCGGTTAAAGCGCTGGACACTCGCTTTTCGTTCTCTGAATTTTGAAAACAATACCTCACCCCGAGAAGGCAGTGAGTAGGACCTCCCTGGCAGTAGCTATATACGTGTGGTCATATGAGAGAGCAGTTCGAGAAGCAGAGTGGATTCAGTCCATATTTGGCCGTACTAGGGAATATACTTTTGTAAATTATGAATGCCGATTCAGTGGTGTGAAGGTTGAGTGTTCACACGCGAGACTGAAGGTCCTGGCTTCGATTCACACATGCTGGGTCGTAGATGCAAACTGCTGAGAAATCCCATACTAGAACAAAATGATCTTCAAGTACTTTCATGTTTCCAGTAGTGGTCTAGCAGAGATCAGTTCACAATCTCGACAAATGGTAGTATCTTGTAAGTATCGTAAAGTTATTAGTTTAATATGTCAGTGAGGCATCCAGCAATAGTGATGATACAATAAGTAATACCACAAACAAGGACCATCATAATAACTTTTAGTCAGCAGACGCAAGTATAAATAAGCATACAAAGGAAATGGGTAAAAATTAGCTAAACCAGCTTCCGTATGAAGAGGAAGTCGGGAAAAAGACACCAGAGGGGGACAAAACACACTGTGAAAATCACCAGACTGTATCAAGAAGCAAACTCTAACTTGGAATTTTCAAGGCAATAGGTAGAGAGAATACAAAAGAACATGTTAGGATGTGAACTGGAAGCAGACATCAAAAGAATAGATAGCACTTGACAACAACTAAAAACGAGAGCGCAGGTTAGAATAGAACTCCGCCAGTAGAACCTTAGGGGCTACTGCCGGTCCCAAGCCCGAATAAAGGAGGAGGGTTGGACATGGGGTTGGCGAACCCATTCCGTTGAAATCTCACTTGCCAAAAAAACGCTAACCAGAAAAAATAATTCAAACCATTTTAACTCTGCCCTTGGAGTTGGAAGAAGAATTATGACGTCGCGTGATGAAAGCCGAGTTCCCTCGGAAGTCACGGGGCTGATGCCTCTTCTGACAACCAGAGCAACCATTTTTTTAGGTACATGGAACGTTCGTACATTGCGGGATACTGGAAGACTATTTCAAGTTGCGGCAGAAATGAAACGATACAACCTCGAGGTGCTTGGAATCAGTGAAACGCATTGGACACAAGTAGGACAACTGAGACTAGCTTCAGGGGAACTGCTGTTATACTCTGGTCATGAAGAGGAAAACGCTTCACATACACAAGGAGTTGCACTGATGCTGTCCAAACATGCACAAAAGGCACTGATAGGATGGGAATCTCATGGACCCAGGATCATTAAAGCATCCTTCAAAACAAAGAAAGAGGACATTACAATGAACGTCATCCAATGTTATGCACCTACCAATGACTACAATGACGACGTTAAAGATCAATTCTACGAAAGGCTGCAGTCAATCGTCGATAAATGTTCACCAAAGGATTTGACGATTCTTATGGGAGACCTGAATGCCAAGGTTGGAATGGACAACACTGGATATGAAGACATCATGGGACGACATGGACTAGGAGGAAGGAACGAAAATGGTGACAGATTTGCAAACCTATGTGCCTTCAACAAACTGGTCATCGGTGGCACAATATTCCCGCACAAACGCATACACAAAGCCACATGGATTTCACTGGATCACACTACTCAAAACCAGATTGATCATATCTGTATCAACAAAACGTTCAGAAGGACTATGGAGGATGTGAGAACCATGAGAGGAGCTGATGTAGCCTCAGATCACCATTTGCTAATCGCCAAAATGAAACTGAAGCTAAAGAAGAACTGGACAACGGGGAAGACAACATCACAGAAGTTTAGTACGGCCTTTCTTCGGGATACTGTAAAACTCAACGAATTCAAGGTAGCCCTCACCAATAGGTTCCAGGCCTTTCAGGATCTACTCAATGGAGAGGAAGCAACATTGGAGAACAATTGGAAAGGTATTAAGGAGGCAATCAGTTCAACATGTCAGGAGGTCCTTGGTCGCAAGAAGCAGCATCACAAAGAATGGATCTCTGTTGATACTCTTGCAAAAGTTGAAGAAAGGAGGAACAAGAAGGCAGCAATTAATGTCAGCCGAACAAGAGCAGAGAAAGTTAAGGCACAAACTGAATACACGGAAGCAAACAAGGAAGTGAAGAAGAGCATCAGAGCTGACAAACGAAAATATGTGGAAGATCTAGCAATGACGGCGGAAAAGGCTGCAAGAGAAGGAAACATGAGACAATTGTACGAAACAACAAAGAAGCTCGCCGGGAACTATCGTAAACCAGTACGACCAGTGAAAAGCAAGGAAGGGAAAATAATCAGCAACACTGACGAACAGCGAAATAGGTGGGTGGAGCACTTTAAGGAACTATTGAATCGACCAGCTCCACTGAACCCACCCAACATCGAAGCAGCATCCACGGACCTCCCAATTAATATTGGCGCACCTACGATTGAGGAGATCAGTATAGCCATCAGACAAATCAAGAGCGGCAAAGCAGCAGGACCAGACAACATTCCAGCAGAGGCAATGAAAGCAGATGTGGAAGCAACTACGAAAATATTTCACATTCTCTTCAAGAAGATTTGGGATGAGGAACAAGTACCATCAGATTGGAAAGAAGGATACCTCATCAAAATACCAAAGAAAGGCGATCTCAGCAAGTGTGAAAACTACAGAGGCATCACTCTTCTTTCAATACCAGGCAAAGTCTTCAACAGAATATTGTTAAACAGAATGAAGGACTTCGTAGATGCCCAACTTCGAGATCAACAGGCCGGATTTCGTAAGGATCGATCATGTACTGACCAAATTGCTACATTACGGATCATTGTGAAACAATCAATTGAATGGAACTCACCACTCTACATAAACTTCATCGACTACGAGAAAGCATTCGATAGCGTGGACAGGAAAACACTGTGGAGGCTTCTTCGACACTACGGTGTGCCTGAGAAAATAGTTAACATCATACGGAATTCTTATGATGGATTCAACTGCAAAATCGTGCACGGAGGTCAGCTGACAGACTCTTTCGAGGTGAAGACCGGTGTCAGGCAAGGTTGCTTACTCTCACCCTTTCTCTTTCTCCTGGTCATCGACTGGATTATGAAGACGTCAACATCTGGAGGGAAGCACGGTATCAACTGGACAGTTAGGACGCAGCTGGACGATCTGGACTTCGCAGATGACCTGGCTCTTCTATCGCACACTCAACAACAAACGCAAGAGAAGACGACCAGTGTAGCAGCAGCCTCTGCAGCAGTAGGTCTCAACATAAATAAAGGAAAAAGCAAAATTCTCCGATGCAACACAATATGCACCAACCGAATCACGCTTGATGGGGATACCTTGGAGGACGTTAACACCTTCACATATCTTGGCAGCATCATCGACGAGAAAGGTGGATCGGACGCAGATGTGAGGGCGCGGATTGGCAAAGCGAGGGCTGCATTTCTACAGTTGAAAAATATCTGGAACTCCAAACAACTTTCAAACAAAACCAAAATCAGGATTTTCAATACAAATGTGAAGACAGTTCTACTGTATGGAGCGGAAACATGGAGAACTACCAAAGCCATCATTCAGAAGATACAAGTGTTTATTAACAGCTGTCTACGCAAAATACTTCGTATTCGTTGGCCAGACACCATCAGCAACAACGAACTGTGGGAGAGAACAAGTCAGATTCCAGTGGAGGAGGAAATCAGGAAGAAGCGGTGGAAGTGGATAGGACATACACTACGAAAAGCACCCAACTGCGTCACGAGACAAGCCCTCACATGGAACCCTCAAGGCAAAAGGAAAAGAGGAAGGTCAAGGAACACACTACGCCGAGAAATAGAGAAAGATATGAGAGGAATGAACAAACATTGGACAGAACTGGAGAGGGAATCCCAGGACAGAGTTGGTTGGAGAATCCTAGTTGACGGCCTATGCTCCACGAGACAGACAGACAGATACAACACAGAACTTCGTACGTATGTACATCTGTCTAGGTTGCCATACCGCATTAGCACCGAGACGCAACTGTCAGTTCAAATCCAAGAGTGATAGCAAAAATAGAGGTGTTAGCAGTAATGGAGAGGATTTGGATGTAATTCAGCGAGATAAAGTTAGAAACGGAAAGATAGAGATGATGGGGAATTCATAAGGTTGGAATTTGAGAGAACACAAAGAATGGATGCACCTGCGCGATTGTAAACGATTTTGATCCATGTCGTTCAAGGTCATTAACCATTGATGACTTTCGTCTCGCGGACCCCAACCAGATAGCCTACATCTACCAACATGACTCAGTCCACTTGTCAGTGACTTCATGGATTTCTGCCATGTTTTGGTTTGGCTGCTCTAAGCTTTCTTTCAACCTACTGCTACACCACAAAACATAGCTCGTCGAGGCAGTCCGTGGCTAGGCGTACGTAACACATGTCCCAACCACCTCAACTGATGAAGTTTCAATGCTTCATCTATTGATTGCCCAACCCTATACAGTACTCGTATCCTAACGACAACATTGCTTACTCAGTGGTCTCGGGATATACGAGGAATATTTCGGAGACACCTATGATCGAAGACAAGCAATCTACGAATGTCCTCTACTCTCACCGGCCATGTTTCACATCCGTATAGTAGGACGGAACGAACTACTGCGCAGTACACACATGCTTTGGTTAGCGAACGGATATGTCGCCTACACCATAGGTGACGCAAGCTGGCAAAAGCCAATCGAGCCTTCTGTATCCGTGCTGAGATTTCGTCAGTCACCAGGCTATCAGCAGTGATGAGACTCCCCAGATTAGTAAAGCTGTCTACACACTCGACTACTTCACTCCCTATCATTAGTTCAGGTGCCAATGCAACCCATTCTTGAAGCAACATTTTGCATTTCGAGGGGGAAAACCGCATCCCGAACATGCTTGCATTGTTGCTTAGGGTGGTCAGAAGACTGCATTTTGTCAGCGTCTTCACCAAGTAGGACTATGTCATCGGCATATTCTAGGTCAATCAGCGAGCCTCCTGGTAGGAGGTCTACTCCTGAAAATCCAGACGAGGAAAAGGTTATTTCTAAGAGCATGTCTATGATAAAATTAAACAAGAATGGAGAGAGTGGACATCCCTGACGGACACCACTTGAAGTAGAGAATTCCGATGACAGTTCACCATAAACTCTTACTCGACCAGTGGTGTCTGAGCAGAGAGCCTGTAGAAGGTTAATGTACTTCTTTGGTACTCCTTTTAATGACAGACACTACCACAGAACCTCACGATCAACAGAGTTGAATGCCCTTTAAGTTCGAGAAATATTATCATTATGGGGCGTCTGAACGTGTGTCATCGTTCTAGGACCTGTCGTAGTGTGAAGATGTGGTCTATACAGCCACGTCCAGGTCTGGGACTAGTCTGGTTTTCTCTAGTCTGCTCTTCACGAGCTTTCGTTAAGCGTCGAGAGGCGATCAAAAGAAAATCGCCAAGTTCAATATGAACAATATGAAGGTAGCGAGAGTTTATTTCACTGACTTACTATGACTCCCTCCGCAATAAAAATAATCAAATTATAACCAGCTAAGAAGCCAATCAATAGCTACAACCACACAATTAATACAGTAAACTATGCTTTCAACACTTTGATGATATGTCCATAGGCTTAAAAACATATGCTGATACATTACAATACATCATATGACATCTTTAAATAACTGACCTTTCTGATCACCTTCAATTGTATGTTCATATAAAGCAAACTTTTGAGGATTATCTCGTATACCGAATCGATCAAGTAGTGCACAGATAACCATTTGTGCAGTTGTTGATCTATAGAATAAATACACAAACATTAAACTTGGTTTCTTTTAAAACAACTTACAGCAGCACTTACTACACACACACACACACACTTTTGAGTGCAAAGCATTTAAGCCGCTTAGAAATTAAAAAGGTTTAAGATGGATTACAAAAGTCTTTTTAAATAAAATCCATTGGAAAGTAAATATACTTAAAATTAACAGCTATACAATATATTCTCATTGAAACATGACCATTCATTGAAAAATTATTTTATTATCACTTTACACTAAATCAGTAGAAAAGAGGTGAGTTTTTAGATAAAGTGATAAACAATGAAGCGATTGAAATTAGAGTAAAATGTTACTAACATCATATTTATGAATAAGTAAACAACGAATAATTAAAAAATTAGTGTATAAATGCACATTCAAATTCTAGAACTTCTTTTCGATTATCTTTACGTACGAAACGCAAAATAAACATCAACTAAAACTCATTTACTAAGTACAAACTCGTTTGTACTCGGCTTTTAGTCATACTCTGTGTATGCAAGGCCTAGTGATATTAATTGGTTTCTATAAACCAAGTAGGTGGAACCGGATTCGAAAATTGAACACTCCGACCATTAAACTAAGCCACTGATTAACAAATCATGGAAACTTAAGCAATAGATTTCTCTATTTTAGGTTGAAATCCTTTAACAGTATGCACTAAGAGTTCATATGTTATAGAAAACAGGACTTTCGAATTTATGTTAAGTTCATAGTGAATATATAAAACGTAAAGGACAAAAATATTAAGTTTCTACACGAATAGAACAGAAGTAACTTACAATCGAACATGCAACAATTTAGTACTTCCTCTTGGTAACCGAAAAGTAGATACTTTAGAAGCTGTTTTACCTAACCGACGCTGTGGCTCAACAATATTTCCATCGACTTTACTATTTGATGAAAAATGTGGAATGTTAGCTGATACAAAAGGATCTGGACCGTTAGGAGGGTATTGCTTTGAGACAAGATGACAATTAGTACTAATGTCACTCTCGACCAACGAAAGACTATGATCCTCTTCAGTTCCATTGTTCACTTCTATTGTTCCATCATCGCTTTCTTCATTATCATCGTCGTCTGTTTCATCACTTTTTGAACCAACTACATCGAAAATAGAAGCTGGTCGAGCTGTAAGCAACATTTGAATAGGGCGTAGTAAGTTTATATGTACACGAACTTGACCTTCACAGTCACATGAATCAGCACCAGTTAACTAAAAAAAATGGAACAATTTAAATACTCTGTAGTACAGAGAACAACCGAGATAGACAGGATAAACTGCCATACACAACAGTTTATCAAGAATCTTCAACTAAACATTTACAACAACAAAATCTGTTAAATATACATCTACGTTCAAAAAGGCAGTTACACTTCTTTATAAAACTAGATGGAATGACCTGATTTATTCGGGAACTGATGGATCAACAGCTGATATAATGAGTACGTATCTAACTGATCGAGGTAAAGATGACAGATGGAAAAGATTTTTTCAACCACTTATGACAGATAATTACTTCCTAACAAGGAGTTATTACATAATTTGATCTACTAATCCTATCTTTTGGTTATATAGATGCGTAACTGTATACTGCAAAATTGTATTCACATGGTAAATTACTGATTAGTTGATGTTAAATACTACTCGGTTCAATTTACACAAATCTGACTGCTAATCTAACTAAATAAATCATAGAAAAGTGGTGTACTCAAATATCGTTTTGGTTTATTTTGAAATTCAACGAAATCCTTTTCGTGTTTTTGCGACATCCGATTTACGGAATCCCAGTAGCTAATATCAAATCAGTTAAGTATTTCTGCCTACACAGAGCGAAAACCTTTTTAACAAATATGACATGAAACTGCAGACTAAAAAAACCAAGAGCCATCGCTTGTTATTATTAATCATAAGACTAGCAACATATAATCTCTTACGTTCATTCCTTACTATTCGGTATTTGCAAAAGTTCTTTAAAATAATGAGTCTAAACACTTTCGATCAAGCTACTATTCGATCATAGCATTGCTCGTATACCGTGGGACAACCGAGTAAGCAATGCTGTCGTTAGGAAACGAGTACTAGGTAAGGATGGCAGATCAATTGACGAAGTGGTGAAACTTCATCAGTTGAGGTGGTTGGGACATGTGCTACAAACGCCTAACCACCGACTGCTTCGATGAGTTATGTTCTGTGGTGTAGTAGTAGGTTGGAAGAAAGTTAGGAGCGGCCAGACCAAAACATGGCACAAATCCATGAAGTCACTGACAAGTGGACTGAGTCATGTTGCTAGATGTAGACTACCTGGTTGGGGTCCGCGAGACGAAAGTCATCAATGGTTAGAGACCTTGAACGACATGGCTCAAAATCGTTTGCAATGGCGCAGGTGCATCCACTCTTTGAGCTCTCTCAAATCCTAATCTTCTAGATCCGTCAGCACCTATACCTTTGTCTTTCTAACCTTATCTCACTGAATTATACTTCTTGAATAATATCTTCGAACCATAGTCTTCTTCATTACCATTAATGTCTCTACTATCTTTATCACTATGGGATTTGATTTGACATTTGCGTCTCTGTGCTAATGTGGTATGGCAACATGAACTTATGTACATACGTACGAAGTTCTACGTTGCAACTGACGATCAAGCACAAGAGTATATAGTAACAAGTAGGAAGTAAAAACCTTGAATATTAACAGATTATACAATGTATTTGCGATAGAATAAGATTTAATATAGTACAATACTATATTTACTCAACTTGCAACATTTTACGAAAGTACAAAGAAAAAATGTTATTAGTAAACAGAACAAGCTATAAGGACATAAGTAAAAGAACAGTGTATTTGCACAAGTTATCAAGTTCTAGTAGTATCAACTGAAGTTTTCAATGGTTGATTACTAGCAACTAGCCAGAAAGTTTATAATTCCTAGGTCAGAAACATTGTTAGTTGATATAATCACTAGGAAATGACATTTCACATATTTCGCTCACATCGAAATTCGGTGGTGATATCCAATAAGTAACACACATCAGTCACTTTATTCAGTGTAATTTTACAGCAATGTCAACTAAATCACTTTCTCAAAACTCTATAATTTTAACCATCACATTATTTAAAAGGCAATTGCTTCATACTGTACAGTTTCCAGAGCTTCATCTCATAAACATTAAAAGGCACTGTACGGTTGCGTTACCCACCAGAATTTCATCTAACTACTAAGATATGTATTTGAACACAGGTAGTGAAGCTTCAGGTTTATGTTTTTCACAGTTTTAAACCGTACCCAATATCAGGAAGCCATTACACTTGTTTTTTTTCGAAATCGCTTTCTCTAAACACAGTGGCTTTATTGTGAAGTTTATATTGTCTTTCTACAGATAGAAGTGAGCTAAGAGAGTTTTTTTCATATAATAAGCAGTATGTTCGGTTAATATTGATAGTGGATGGTTGTTGTGAGCACTTTTTGTATTATTATCTGGATATTTAGTTTGATTCTCTCCTCCTTATAGACCAAATTCTTAGGCTTAAAGTTGTTTGCGATTCTTACAATTTCTCAACCAATTATATTAATTTAAATAGAGTATGCAACCAACTTTTCTAACAAGTACTCCTCGTATTACCTTTAAAAAAAACAAAACAAAAACAAACTTACACCGGTAGCTTGTAGTCCGAATTCATTTACACTAAAGATCTGAATTAACTGTTTCAAACGATCAGAAGGCCAAGGCAATACTGCTCGCGGTCCAACTACCATCGGGATTAGTGGGAGCGCAGTTGAGGAAAATAAATGAGTTTGAAAACTTCGTTTTGGTTTGGTGCGAACAAATTCCTGAGTTGTTTGCATCACACTAGCAAGGCCAATATCAGAAATTTCTTGTTCCGAAAACGAACTTTCATCCGAATGGGTAAGGGAATCAGGTTTTGGAGTACATGAAATAGAACTTGTGTTCTGAAGTGCTTCGGAGGTGTTTTGTAATTCAATAAGAGATGGGCTTAGTTGTCTCACAACAATCCCTCGGTCTCGAATAGCCTCTTTGTCCAAGCTTGAAAAATCATAAGCTAAACAAACGTTTGGTTTATTTCCGTACAGAAGAGAATGCCTGCTGACTAATTTCACACCGACTGATTTTTTTGGTTTGTAAAACTCAGTAGCACGCCGTGACAATGTTGAATGAGGTAAATATGCAGCTTTCTTCCTTATTGATATTCCATTATCCAACTTAGCAGGTTCTTCTAACGGTTTGTCGAAATCTGTAGTTTTGAAAACGTACTGACCTAAAATGATCGCAATAGAGAACAAATTTTTGATCGCAACCACAAACACAAACTAACTATTTCTAGATTGACACATGCTCAATGAGTATATTTAACCTAATCAGAACGGATGAAATTAAATAAAACGCCATCTCTTCAGTGTTTTTTCAAATAGAATAAAAACATTAAAACCTGTACCTCATACTGAATTCACTATTTATTTTCTCCTGTAATGGAAGCTAAAATCGGGAAATTATTTAAAAATCAAAAGAGGTTTAGAGAAATAAGAAGCAAGTGCTAATTTGATCAACGAAAATTCTCATATATCGTTAAAAAGCTACATCACAGCAAAGATGATGATTTACTTTTTTATACATTAGGTACTGAAGTTTCTAACTCTCAGAACTGATGACGTTGTTTTCGACAAAGGAACAGTAGATCGATAACACAGGTCGATCTCTATTTTAAATGTTTATCGAAGACCGATGGTGTTACGAGTCTGCGATTCTTTTCGAAATATTCGTAGGCATCCGCGATCTTTCACGGAAGTTCTATTCGTTGCCTTCAGTAGACGACAATGTCGAGCGAAAAATTGAGTTCCCTGAATTGGATCTTTTAGGGTGGAGTACCTCAGGAAAGTAGTCTAGTTTAGTCTACGAACAAGAGTAGTACCATACTCTTTACACAAACGGTGATAACAGAAAAGGGAGTATACGAATAATTGACTCTATAAAAACCTATTCCTGATTATGAACTGCATTATATTAGATAATCATGATATTTCTGAGTTTTAGTTTCAGTTATTTTACACTCTTTCTCATCTTCATTGTATTCAGCAACTCAATTCTATCGGAGGTTCTGACCAATCCAGTTTTACTTTTCAGAATGTTCGCTTCCCAAAATATACTTCGAAAACAAACGTGTTCGTCAAAAAACTTGCATTCAACGTATGATCATATGGTCTGGATACAATCCTAAAATGATAATAAATCTATGAACATAGTGATAATATATTAGCTCAATTCGTTATAGATTTAACTACGGAAATCACAAATGTATGCTAATGGAAAGTCCTTTAACACATGAAAGAAGTTTAATGTATCTGAACTTTTATGGTCTATCAATTCATGTTATTTTCCAGTCAAAAAAATATCGTAATTTATCTATGACTCAAATACTTCACAAATTTGAACCTCTAATAAAAGAATGCCCGATGTCAGCCAAGAGACCTTCTTCAACGCTGCAATATGTCAAATATTCGTATTCGACTAAGATAAATACAATAAAGTTTAATGTAGCTAAGTTACGTTAATGAAAGTATTTTTATTTAGAAAGGAAACATGAGTAACGAAATAAATATTAGTAAAGTAATATTAAAAATAACACTAACTTGAGCTAGGAGAGATTGATTGTGAAGTAATTCCTTCGGACGAAATATGATCAATCGTTTTGTCAACAGGACTATTCACTTTGTTTAAATCATTTGGGGTAACAGTATCAGGTAACTGTATGTCAGATTCAGAAGTCAGGTGGTTATTTACATGGAAATCCAGTTGGGAATACTTAAATAAGGTTTCTTCACATGGCATATGATCATTGGTATCGTTCTCCGGACTAGTTGATAACTTGGAGACTGAGCTATCAACCTGCTGCAGTAAAATAAATCGAAACGTTAGAAATATACATTCTTTTATAGCAATATTAACTAATAATAAAAATAGATTTCAAGTTTTTTTTTTGCTATTCAACATAAAAGTTGATGTCGTTCTACAAAGTGTAGCGATTTATAATATTAGTCGATTATTGCGAGAACAACCATAAACCAGTATGGCATTAAAACGATGCATAATGCACAAATAATGTGTATTTAGCAATTAGCAAATTCATGAGACAATCGACAAACGAATGTTGGGCAGTTATTAGATCAGAAAACCGAATTAAAACTAAGACACCTTGTTAACATAAATCTTAATCTATAAGCTTACACTATCTGTACAATAAAAGTGGATAACGAATAACTTAAAGTCTATGTGTAATAATTTACGGTTGAAAACCCTAATTTACTATTAAAGTACTTGCTAAAGTTTAAGCTTGTCAGTGTCACTCATTAGTTAAATACACGTTTATGCATTTAGCATTGATCGAACTTCGTTGTACAAATACTGGTGATACCACGGAGTTTTCTATATCCATATGGACCTAGTGAAGTCTAAACTTCAGATATTGGAGACATTATGAGAAATAACCAACTTTAGAAAAAATTCAGGTTAACAGATATTTTAGAATTGCCAAACATTCCACTTTATCGTTATGATACAACTTAATATTGAGCAGTGATGTATCTACAAAGAATAATCAACAGTGAAAATTTATTTTCCGTAATATTGATAACATATTTGTGTTCCTGTGACAAGATATCACTGACTCTATAATTAATGAGATTATAAATACACCGTGCCATACACTACCATTATTTGAAAGGCGGGACAATTTTAAAAGCTAGTAAAGCAATCGAATTCTAGGCACCTCAAGAAGCATACCTCCAATGCGTTGGAAACTGGAAAGCGACGACCGTTTTCATATCTTTAAAAGCATCTGAGTCAATTTTGTTCACAATCGAATTCCTTCTTAATATTTTTTCTACTTCATGATCAACCTCCATTTTTTTTCTTGACTTTTTCTTCAACACACACCACTCATTTCTAACGATCTAAATTCATCAAACGTCATCCCGATTCTCCTGAAGCTGCTTCTCACACTGTAGGTTAATTCAACCAAAAGGATTCAGCTAGGACCCGAAAACTGAATGTCATTAGTGTATGCTATTTCTCCAAAGCACGCATAAAAGATACTGGGAGTAACTACTCACCTGACCTCACATAACCACCAATATGGAAATCTAGTGCGAATCATCCTTCATGTACCCGGGGATGAAACAGCAAATCTTGGTGGTCTCCCTAATCTGCATATAGCATTAAGTCTAAAAACAAATAAGGCACTTTATGACTGGATTCTTGTAGACAACTGATTGTTGAGGTGGTTGGGACATGTGCTACGAATGCCTCGAAGAGGGATGTTTTGTGATGTAGGAGTAGGATGGAAGAAAACTCCGCCTGTAGACCCTTCGGGGCTATTTCCGGTCCCAAACCTGGATAAAGGAGGAGGGTTGAGATGTGGATTGAAGACCCCATCCCGGAGAAAAACTTACTTGCCAAAAAACGCTAACAAGAAATAATAATTCAAACTATTTAAACTCTGCTCTGGGAGTTAGGTCTTCATTTAGAAGAATTATGAGGTCTCATGATGAAAGCCGAGTTCCTTCGAAAGTCATGAGGCCGATGCCCCTTTTGACAACCAGAACCCTTCCACGGTGTGGGCAGCCGGGAAGTAACATCCGCCCTCATACCCATAAAAGCACACGAGACCGAATTGGTCACAATCAAATCCTTTCTACACCTCTTAATAACTCTCTTATCTGCTCGACTAACTCTTCCTTCGATCGTTTATCACCTCGCGCCGCTGAAGTAAACGGTCTGAGCTCACGAAACTTTATTCCTGGTCTCTTGAAACCCCGTACTAAGTTAGATATGGGGGCTTTAAATGTTCAAACCCCATACCAAATAGGGCAACAGGCTTCATTAGCTAGAACCCTGAGACCCCGGGCGACCAATGTATGTTGCGTCTCCGAAACGCGCATAAAAGGTCCGAGTAAGATCATCAATTTGATTTCATCTAGTGCAGATAGAGACACAACACGGTTTACACTTCGTGTTTCAGGTAGCCCTGATGCTGCTTCCCATGGCCTCGCTGGTGTAGGTATAGTATTGAGTCCTAGGGCAGCACTAGATCTCTTAGAATGGATCCCGATAGACAGACGCTTATGCGCTGCCCGACTAAACGGGACGGTACGGACTCGGAACGATAGGGACACGCCGTTGCCTCTTCGTCGTATTTGACTACGCTCCCACTTGCTGCAGTTCAGACGAGGTAAATGATGGGATTTACAGAAACCTCTCTAAACTTCTTCAAAAAGTTAGGCGCTCTGATATAGTAATAATGGCTGTCGACTTCAATGTTCAAGTAGGTAGACTAGGTGAAAATGAAAGACACCTGGGTGGGTCTTATGGTGTCGCGGCTAATTGAACAGATAATGGCAACCGTCTGCTGTAACTATGCTCAGATGACCGCCTATTCCTAGCAAATACCAACTCTAAGCATAAGGTAGAACACCTTTTGACTTGGCGACCCCCAGAGCCGATCCAACGATGGACCCAACTAGATCACATCGATATAAGCCACCGACGGAGAGGCTCTGTTGAAGACTGCCGCTCATTCTGGAGCACTTGTTTAGACTTACACCATGTTCTAGTGCGAGCTCATATTTGTTTGCGTCTCACTGGACGTAGGAAAAATATGGCAAGGAAACCTCTCAGGGCTTTACTTAATAATAAAGCTAGGAATATATTTCAGGAACAACTAGAAAAACAGTTAGGCGGCCATGCAGTAAGTGATTACCATACCGAAGTAGCTTGGAATGACATCAAAAAAGCAGTGAAAACAGCAGTGATATTTGCTAGTACGGTAAACCATAAGTTTAGGAAGAAGCCGTGGATTTCAGTAGCATCTACCGAACTGATGGATGCTCGAAAGCTCATTCCACCTGGCTCTGAGTGCGACGGAGAGCGGAGTCAGCTGAGGCACAGGCTGATAAAAGGCCTTCGCAATGATCGTAAACAGTGGTGGGTAGCGAAAGCAAGGGAGATGGAAAAGCAACAGCAATAGGCAACAGCAGGCAACTATTATGATTGATCAAGGATAGCAGCAGGGCCTGATAGGCTTACCTATGACAATTTTAAAGATGGTGGTTCAGTCTTAGCAGCTAGATTGACTGAGATCTTAGGTAGAATCTGGGAACTGGACGTAATCCCATCTGACTGGTCTCAATCACTGATTGTCCCAATTTACAAGAAAGGACAAAAGTCCTCTTGTGACAATCACAGGGGAATCAGTCTAACTAATATAGTATCTAAAATATTGGCCTCAATAATACTCCAACGCTTGACGAAAACTCGTGAAGAGCAGACTAGAGAAAACCTGGCTGGGTTTCGACCTGGACGTGGATGTATAGACCACGTCTTCACACTACGACAGGTCCTAGAACGCAGAAACACATTTAGGCGTCCGACAATAGTTGTCTTCCTGGACATTACGGCGGCATTTGCGTCTGTTGATCGTGAGGTTCTGTAGTAGTGTCTGTCATTAAAAGGAGTACCAAAGAAGTACATTAACCTTATACAAGCTCTCTACTCGAACACTATAGGTCGAGTAACAGCTTATGGGGAACTGTTATAATAATCCTCTACATCAAGTGGTGTCCGCCAGAGATGTCCACCTTCCCCATTCTTGTTTAATTTTTTTATAGACATACTTCTAGGTATAACCTTATCCTTGTCTAAATTTTCAGGAGTGGACCTTCTACCAGGGGGATCGCTTACTGATCTCGAATATGCCGATGACATAGTTCTATTCGGTGAAGACGCCGAAAAAATGCAGAGCCTCCTGACTACACTAAGCACCAATGCAAGTATGTTCGGGATACGGTTTTCCCCCTCGAAATGCAAAATATTGCTTCAAAATTGGGTCGCATCGGTACCTGAACTAGTAATAGGGAGTAAAGTAATCGAGTGTGTAGACAGCTTCACTTATCTGGGGAGTCTCATCAGTGCCGATGGCCTGGTGACTGACGAAATCTCAGCTCGGATACACAAGCCTAGATTGGCTTTTGCCAACCTGCGTCACTTAGGGAGTAGGAGAGATATCCGTTCGCTGACTAAAGGACGAGTCTACTGCGCAGTAGTTCGCTCCGTCCTACTTTATGGCTGTGAAACATGGCCAGTCAGAGTAAAAGATATTCGTAGGTTACAGGTTTTCGATCATAGGTATCTACGAAGCATTGCTTGTGTATCCTGGGACAACCAAGTAAGCAATACTGTTATTAGGGAGTGGGTGCTAGGTAAGGAATGCAGGTCAATAGATTAAGTATTGAAACTTCATCAGTTGAGGTGGTTGGGACAGACAGACAGATACAACGCAGTGGAGATAAGAGAGGTACTAGGGAGTGTAGGAAGGATTTGATTTTGACCAATTTGGTCTTGTGTGCTGGTACGGGTATGAGGGCGGTTGTCACTTCCCGGCTGCCCACACCGTGGAAGGTTGTTTCTTGAGGAACCTGAAAAGGAAAATAGATTAGTGCTGATCTTAGAGACCTGGGTGCGTGACCGCAGAGTCCGAGGGACAACTGCTTGAGGCCGGTCACGCACCGCCTTTTCATGAGAAGTTTTTTGAGTATTAGCTCCGCACTTGAAAGCCCTTAGTGGGCACCCTTACCCAAGGAGACGGAAATCCGTGAGGTAGGGTGAGGTGTGACATTTTTAGGGTCGACCTTTTCTAACCCTTCCTTCCTTGTGAGAAGGCAGCATCGCTGCACATGCTGGTTGTCCGAGGGAAACACCTTACTGCTGTCACACCTCTCCGCAGTCAGCAGTACGACTTTGCCCTCAGACCTTGAGTAGCTGCTTTTAGTCTCATCGCTCTCCAATCGACCTGCTTGGCATGGTAGAACCTTCAGGAACATATGTTCCAGCCAGTATAGCTCGGCTGGGTCATCACGATAGTCAAGCCCGACCACCACGTCAAGGTAACAGCTACGGTCGGGACACGTTTTGCATAATCCTAACCATCGACTGCCTCGTCCAGCTATATTTCGCGGTGTAGAAATAGGTTGGAGGAAAGTTAGGGGCGGCCAAACCAAAATATGACAGAAATCCATGAAATCACTGACAACTGGACTAAGCCATCTTGGTAAGTGTAGACTAACGGGCTGGAGTCCACGAGACAATAGTAACCGATGGTTAGAGACCTTGAATAACAGGCTCAAAATCGTTTGCAGTGTCACAGGTGGATCCCTATTTTGTGTTCTCTCATAAACTCATGAGCTCAGAACCTTTTCTGGTCTCTTGTTAAATTTATTTCACTGAATCGCACTTCTTGAATAATTTTTTTGATCCCTAAACTTTTCATTATCGCTAATACTTCTACTACCTCCACTATTACTGAATTAGAATTGACAATTCGATCTCTGTGCAAATGTGGGATGGTAACCTGAAATGATGTACATATGTACGAAGTTCTAGCCGACTGACTGACTGAGACAACTGATCATATGCTGACCATTAAACAATGCAGTAAACACTTGGAAAGAAAGGGACACGATGTTGTCACTTCGTCACTTCTACCTGCCTATGCTCGCAGTACCTGCAGGTCGAGTGAAGTAAAAGATTAGTTCCGCATGAAACCAGGGAAAGGTCACTTTGTTTTAATTAACTTGTGCCACCTATGTAGGAAGCGCAACATCTGTTTCTGAAAAAAAATAGGAGACAAGAGTAGGCAGGTTTTTGAATGTAGGTGTTTTTAATGCACTACCTATGAAACGACTGAGTATTACTAGTTAGGAATACAGAAAATGACAAAAGCAGTAAATCAACTTATGAGGTTGTAAGTTTTTAGCGAATGGAGTGTTTGTGATGTATCTTACGTATTCTCAACCACTGACTGCCTTGATGCCGGTTGTTAATTAGTGTAGGAGCAAGTTGGAAGGGAAGTTAATAGTGACTAAACCAAGACGTGGAATAATTTCCAGCTTGTTTGAGCTATGTTAACAGATACAGACTATTTGGTTTTGTTCTTTACAATAATTGCGATTAGGTTAACCAAGTGAAACGGCTCAGAGTCGGTTAAAATGGAGCACATACATTCAATCTTTGCTCTGGATCTTCAGTTCAAGCATTCCATAACATAACTTTTCATTCCGTACTCTTTAACAATATTTTCATGAGCATCGCTTATTTCATACTGCTAATATAGTATGACAACTTGGGTCGATGTCCATTTATAGCAGGCTCTACGTCGAATAGGGCTGAATGATGTGGAACATATTCAGCTCAATGATGACAAAACCTAATAATATAAAATTCGGAAAAACTTGATAGTTTACTTCAGTATCATAAAAACGATGTGTAATCAGTAAACCTAAAGGCACAAAACAAATAAGATTAAATGAGTTCAAGTCTATGAACTAATTCCAAGCAGTCACTCTATTTATATGGTAGTAAAATGCTAAATATGCTTACTTGCTCGGTATCTTCACCTGAAAAAGCCTCTGGGGAAAATGAATTCAGTTCAGCAACCGGATGATAGGTCTTAGCATCTTCATCACACAGAACTGTAACATTGTTTTTGCATGACCAGTGACAGGTCATGTGGCATTCTGAAGAAACAAAAATACAATACAGTTTAAAGTGCAATGTTACAGGCCAGTTTTACAATACAATCACATATTCGTCTGTTTTTTACTAACAGATACTAATCAATTAGTTAGTTTTAATCATCTACGTATGAAAAAACTGAAACCAGTTTTATTCATCTCTGTCACTGATTGGATTTTTCGAAGGACTTCAGATCAGGTGAATTTTTACTTGTCCCTCATGTTTACTGAAATGGTTTAATTCCATAGTTACCCAGTCTCTACATCCATACTTCTTAAGCCATAACGCTAGAATAAGATGTCATTTTTAAATTTCCCTACTTGTTAGTTATTTCCATAACTAATTGTAGTTATGTCATAACTAACCAGTCAAATTGTGGTTTAAACGCCCACCACGTGATCTGATCTGATGTGCCTGTAAACTTCCATTGTTGTAAATGACCTACACAGTGATTGACATTATTATCTTATCATATTGATGTGACTCATAACTTTACTCATTTCCATAAGACACGCTATATTGGTCGGTACGTTTGCTCGTCTTACTTGATAATTGTAATTTCTTTATTTATTGTACTAATCTAATTGTTTTTATGTTTAGAAACAGATAAAGTTTAAAGCAAAGTTTATCTTGTTCTAACTGTAGCTTTCCCATAGATTCTGTGCTCGCCACTATTGCGTTTATAGTTCTAGAAGTTCATATGTAGGAGAAATTAAATCCTACACTACTTATAAACTGTCGTATCATTGTGAAAGTAATATTGCTGAAAATCCTGATTGCTGACCGTTACTACAGCATATAGTTAGAAGTAAAACTCCACTTTAGAACCTTAGTTCGTCATTTTAGTCTAACTGTTATCCAGCTGACTTGTCTGGCATAGTTAAGGTGAGCTGAGCAAATCAGGCAGACCAAATGATAAGTGATAAATGCTGATGGATACAGGCTGTTGGTGAATGTTTGGTTTAACTTACCAACGAGGTGGATGTAAGGTATTGCTTATAAATCTGATCGAATTACATGGAGAGAAGTAAGCATTTATGGAGGAACTAGGGATATATTTTTGATTCAGTCAGTCAGCTACAACGAAGAACTTCGTACGTGTGTACATCATTTCAGGTTGCCATACCACGTTAGCAGACAGACGCAATCGGTAGTAGAAGTATTAGCAATAATGGAAAAGATTAGGGTGCAAAGATATTATTTCAGAAGTATAGTCCGGTTCGATAAATTTAAAAAGAAAAGAACGAGGTGATAAGGAATTCAGGTTAGAATTTCAGAGAACACAACGAGTAAATGCACCTGCGCCATTGCAAACGATTTTGAGCCATGTCATTCAAGGTCTCTAACCATCGGTCACTATCGTCTCGTGGATTCTAACCACGTAGTCTACATCTACCAAGATGGCTTAGTCCAGTTGTCAGTGACTTCATGGATTTGTCATATTTTGGTTTGGCCGCCCCTAACTTTCCTCAAACCTACTCCTACACCGCAAAATATCGCTCGTCGAGGCAGTCTGCTGTTGGGCATTCATGATACAAGTCCCAACCACCTCAACTGGTGAAGTTTTGTTACTTCATTTACTGACCTGCCAACCTTACCGTACTCGTTTCCTGACGACAATATTGCTTACTCGGTGGTCCCAGGATATACGAGCATTGATTTTAAGATACCTATGATCAAAAACAAGTAATCTATCAATATCCTCTACTCCTACTGGCCAAGTTTCAGACCCATATAGTAGGACGGAGCGAACTGATGCGCAACAGACTTGTCAATTTGTTAGCAAACGGATCAGATTCAGTTAGCCAATCAAAGTTCCCTACTCACAGTTGGTTTTCTCAATCAAAAGCTGGTTTGGACAAACATGAAGCTTGCATATCACCTTCAGACTGAAGACCTCGCAATATAACACAAAATCTTTAGAACTAAGTGCTTCAATTAGTGTTGCTAAACAGAATCATAACAATATAAGCAAAAAATTAGAGCGGATATTGTAGTGGCTTGAGATCCGCAGTTATACGACAGAAAACACTTTATAGGTTTCTTTAAACTTTGAATGATAATAGAATTATTTTTACTTGAAAAACAAAAACTGCGATGAGTCCCAAGTTAGTCTGTCAAAGTACCCATCTTATAGCTCCCAGTTAGTGATAAATAAACTAAAAAATAACTGTATAATTCGGTCTTAATTAAGTCATACTACGGCGCATCATTGAGTGAATGTAACCAAATATATAGAAGCATAAAAGATTATGTGGTAAAGTGTATATAAGGATAATGCAATACACAAAGCATTATGTTCATACGAAACAACAGACGTTATTCTACACTGATGACTTCAAGCGCAATGCATCGGTGTGTACTGTGAGGGACACTTTTATGCACTAATTTAATACAGAATATCTAAATAAGGTACAGAAACTTACTTGCACACTTCAAACATACAGGACGCCATCCTAATTCCCATATGGGTTGGTTGCAGTGGTCACAAAACGTATCACCATCAAGTGGAATTGGACAAAACAAATGACCGTTGCTTGAAGTATCTTTAGTTGAGTAAATTTTATCGGCACACATCAAGTCAAGTTCGATAGCCTCTGGACCAAAATCTGAAATCAAATGAGACCGAATGCGGCTTCCAGCTAGATCAAGCGAATCAGATATGGTTAACCTCTTGAAACTAAGGCGAGAACCATAACCACTGCTATTACTGTAGTTGTCTCTATGATTGACATTATTATTATCCATCTGACTAGGGCGGTTATGCATGTTTGTATGAGCATTTCCATGTGAAGAGGTTAGTGGACTATTTTTTGAAGGATCAGAAGAACCCGGGTCATTGTTTATTCTTAGAAAACTAATAAATGCCTTTTTAACCTCCAACATCATCTCCAATAAATATGGTCCAATCATAAACAAGACATTTAGGAAGGAACGCTGGTGCCGAAGTAACGCACCGAATAAGCAACGCGCTCATTAATTCTTTCAACCCAATATCCAATATCTTTTTCACGAGCTAGTGTAAACCAGCTGATTTCTTCGCGCTTGATTCTTGTTGTTTCGGTACGGTCCTAGGTGTTTTGTTATATCTAACCGATGTTAGCCTAGCCATTTGACTGCACTAATTCTGGTCAGTTGGCCGGTGATTGTGCGTTCATACATCCCGTACTGTGAGTGAGGTCGTTTGTTTCAGGATTGTAGGGTTTATGGATACCAGCAGCTATCACATTACTGGGCCTCAGATCAGTTAGCTGCAATGCGGAGAATAATAGTAATAAACCGTCACTTCAGGTTGTTAGTTTATGTTACGTGCTCGACTTTCGCACTGACGCTAGGTACTTGGTAGCCACAAGTGCCCAAGTTTCTGTCGTATCGTTCGGTAGCAGTAAGTCATAAGCTACGATGCTTCGACCACGCGCTGCGAATGGCTCTGTCATTCCTACCTACGGTACGCGACAGCTAACTATCAACCTGAATATCCGACGACAGTATCTATGGACGTTCAACCCTTCTGATGTTCCCATAGCCATACTCGGTATCGATCCCATACAGCACTATGAATTGCTATTCGATTCACGTAGGCTTCGTCGAATATCAAATCCATGGTTTTTAACGAGCAAACAGATATGTACCGAATCATTAATATGTATATATTTTGCATTACTATTTATTTCATGTTATATTCGATAAATTCCCCAAAGTAACGAAACCGAGGAGATTTAACTGGTGATTATTTATGTGGTAAGCCACATCGTCACCTGCAGACCCCCAGTCACGGCAAAACCTTGACGACTGGCACTGGAAAACTTAGTTTTCGCTAAGCCTGAGTTTGACAGTTTACTTGCGATATGTATTACTTCGTCTTTCTCACAGTCCTTAAGACTCCTCTCTCCACTCGGTTCGCAGAAAGATGGCGTTTGTTGGAGACGACACGGCGATTGCGGAGCAGCAACGGCAGATGTCCAATGTCCCGCCTCCGAACTTGTATACGGCACGACACTACATCTGCCTGAGGAATTTTTTCACACAACGGAGCAGCGATCTTATGTATATCAGATTACGTCCAACGACTATCTGCGTAGATGCTAATACTGCCTCCGGTGTGAACTCGAATATAACATCGACAGGTCGCTCTCCCTCGAGAGTTATTTACCTGTCCGCAAGTTTTCTTACTAGTAGATTCGGTACTCAACAACCTTACGAAGGATCTTTTCACGTGGTCTCTCGTCACGAAAAGACCTTCAAGATTGATGGACACAGTCAGCATTGATCGTCTCATACCAGCACACGTCAATGACAGTGCCCTACCTGGTAAATCGAGATTTAATGCTGGACTCGTCCAACTCACTAGCGGGATCCTTATTTTTCCTTCTGATCCCACGCTAGCGAAATCAAAGACCTCCGTCTCACGTCCCAGTCAGCAGCACACGTCATCTGCATTATTTACGAACGAGACTCCGGTCTCACGTCCAGATCAGCAGACCACGCCGCACTTGACTGCGGATGAGAATGCAGGCCCACGAGGTACGCATGAGGCTACTGCCTGCCTGCCGCACGCCGCGTACGCCTACCTGTTCGCTTTCTCGACTATCTACCAATCAACCAAGGGTGCGGCATAGGATTTTACACTGATACTACATGCATGCTACACATTTATCTTTTTCTTTGATTTTCTTTTTATCCCGAGCCTATACCTTCGACCATTGCCCTGTTGGTATCGTCGACTACAGTCAACCTTGGCGATAGCTGGCCTGATCACCCACGCTATTGTCAATGCACTCAGTCGACTTTCTGGTCACAAATATATCTGGTACACGAATGGTTTCGCACTGGTCGTTTCTGGCTCCTTTGCTCAATCTGGTTCCGTCCTACGTCTGCAGCTTTATCTGGTCCGAACGCCTACGAACGCAATCTTCAGACTCTGGATGCGAGCCACACTGGTGTGCCATGCCAATCTGATAGACAAACTTGGCACGTCAACTCGAGCAGCAAACCTGGCACGTTACTACCGGTACAGTTCAACGTAGAAGACTATCGGTGACAACTCCAGCGTCATTGGTCGCTTCCTGTTCGTCAACCCTTCCGAACTACAACCAAATGTTGGCCGACCAGCCCCCCCCCGTCGAACGTAGCCGCTATGTATCAAAAGTGTGAACCCTTTCTAGGCGCGGGCTGCTGTAGTGGAACGCTTCTACGAAGAAAATACGATTTGTGAATAATAAACATTATTGTACATCTTTTGCTGAACTGTGCCAAAAACACTTCTACGACTTCTTGAGCGCAACGTTCTCTTCGCGTTGCTGCCATCTTTATCTATTTGCTTCTCCCCATGTAATGCCAACGTTCTCCTTCAATAAACAACTCAACCATGGATTTATGTTGTTTTGCTATGAATCTCGACGGGATATCATGTAACTGTTAGTGGTGAGCGTAGTCAATCCGGTATCTGGATTCGCTCACAACAGAAGTGTGATGAAGGAAGAATAAAAAGAAATAAAAATTGCGAAAAAACTAAGTTAGTGATCTACAGTAACTGAAATAACTGCAGAAAGCCTAAATGCCAGCTGAAATTACATAGGAGACGGAGCGAAGGTCAACGCAACTCTTCACTTTATAAGAAAACAACACACTGAAATTAACCTAGAATTTTATTTAACTCGCTTTAACACACACGTCTACTCCTCAGTGTTGAAATATATCTGTAGAATCCAGTTTGAAGGTTTTGTTTTGGGAAATTCCCTCCATATATTTTTAATATGTTCTTACTAACACTTTCTGTGCTACATTTTGGCACTCTCTTAAATCCCATTTTGTGATGTTAACGTTTGTATTTTGTTATAGTTTCTATTTTTTGTACCTTTATTTGAGTTTCTATGTTTTATACGGAACTGTATTATGCTATTTAAATCGATACTTAATTATGACGTCAGCCATATCTATAACCATCTGGTAAATACCATTTTTAATTCAGTTTCGTGAGGTCAAAGAAACCAAAAATCTTAAAAACTATTGGTTTCCGACGAGATTTAGCAATCTTAACATTTTGATCTCGCCAGTGAATTAGCATGCTTCTTGTGATATGTTATTTGAGAATAAACTATTATTATTATCATTTGCCTTCAGTCCTTAACACTAACCTTTGAAGTAGGCTAGAGATTCTCCTGTACTCAGATGGCAATTACATCGTTAAGACCGTCTAATAGTTATGTTTAGACATACATGTAGTATGGTTTGAACTGTTTCTTCTGGTTAGCGTTTTTTGGAAAGTTAGTTTTTAGTTTCGATGGGGGCGCCAACACCATGCCTAACCCCCTCCACCTTTATCCAGGCTTAGGACCGGCAGTAGCCGCGAAGGGTCTACAGGAGGAGTTATACATGTAGTAGATTTTTCTAAAAGCAGCTCACGTTTCTTCATCAACCCGTATAGCATCCTCATTATTCCGATGCAAAAACCATGAGCTCAATGTCAGGCCCCACTAACAACATTCTAGTACATCAAATGGAGGTTAATGAGAAGCTATTGGTAAATAGTGATAGCACTTGGTAACTAAAGTAGAAAGAAAATTGTTGCAGTGTCGAAAACTGGAGTGGGAAGAATCTCGTCCTGCAGTAGTCCAGGTTGGTGCTGGAACTGGTAGTTATCACATCCTTAACTATTCGCGACTCAAGCACAACGGGATTTTGAGATGGCGAACCTAATCTCTGGTATTCTGAAAAAAGAAACCATTAATTTGTTGGATGACCAAATTTCTTCACAACGCAAAACTATCATTGTATTAATGCAGCTGATATGGACTAACACGAACGATGAAATTGTTCTAAAGATGCTTATTTGAATACTTTATAGTAGCACTTAACCTAACAAACAGGAAAATGAAACTAGGTAGATTATGCAACAAGGTATGACATTCAGATTAACTACATTGATGCACAGCTCGCTATTGGTACATGAATCTACTTAGTAACCAAGTGACGTGAACGAGCTACGTTGTTTAAATCTGACTCTGATTAGCTAGATTATACGGGCGTGGTTACTCTGTAAATCTAAAGTCTTTGTTCTGCTTTGTGGAGGCGTGACAGTTCCACATCCGCAGTTTCTTTCTGTATTAAGGGCAATTCTGCTCGAGTTCAGCAGGCACGTTACGTTTAGTTTGCCTACTAGTGGTGTCCAAGAACCTTACTACACCCTAAAAGAGGGGATCTTAGAGGATAAATCCTAACCAATATACGAAAGGTAGACCAGCTGCTTCATAACATCAAACTATAACATGGCTCATCAACAGAAATGTTATGTGTGAGAGAGGTCATGGACCAAAGGACTTTAGATGATCCAGTTTCCAAACATCAGACAGAAAATGGAGAACCGATCGCTACTTGCAACATTAAGTACGCTTATCTTAACGCTTACCTACGAAACCATAAGCTACTTGTCGACTCAAGCAAACGGAGGTTGACAGACGATACCGCTAAATTATCTGACTGAGGAGTCGCATTGTCTGGTTGCTCATTATGCCTATTCACGGTTAACCACATAACCGGTATAGGAGTTCACTAACGACTTCTCAAAAGAGTAATAAGTAAAGAAAAAAAGGGAAATTAAATATCAACCGTGCATCAACTCATTTCTTTCGAATGACCACTATTCATACACCCATTCCGTCATTCTTCGCCTCACCAGTAGTTTGTTCCTGTTAACCTACATAAATGAGATTGTGCAAAATGTGATCCAATACAGAAAAGAAAACATTCAAGTAATCATAACTTAATGCTTCAGTAACGAATGCATGTGTTGTGTTATGACTCGATCCTAATCACAAATATTTTCTGATCTGCTTATTGAAGTTTCGTCTTTCCCTTTATCGCAACTAATATGGTATCTCTTGTACTAATTTAGCCTTGCCTATAAACTGACCTACTTCATACAACGTTCTACCATTTGAAAGTAATTTTATTTATAATTATTAGGTCTTGAAAAACCGAGGCTTAACGACAGGAATTCGACCACATGATAGCTTCAGAGATTTCCCCACCGTCAAAGAGCCCATGAACATCTTTATCTCAAGTTGTTCCTAAAATGGGCAGCGTTCGGTGATTATAGACGACTAAATAAGGAAATCAAATGTGATAGGTGACATTTCCCTCACATTCACGACTAGACAATTATCTTACAAGTTACGAGTATGTTGTCAAACATCTATTTGACTAATGGCTATAAATAAATCTGTATGGCTACGCAAGACACTTCCTAAAATAATGTCTACATGTTTTGGGCACTACCAATTTTTTCATATGCCTTCCAGTCTAAGAAACGCTATCCAAACTTTCTGAGATTCGTTCATATTTTTTCAGGTCTTGACTTTGAGAATACTGGTACTGACGACTGTCTTTTCACAAGTCCGGAGAGAGAATCGTATTTCTAGAATCAAGATCTTATCTTCTAACGATTTCAAAAACATGGTGTTATTTATAGAAGTACAGACACTTCACATTATAGACGATCTCCCACATTTTCTTAGACACACTAATGATGCTGAAGTTATTCTCCCCTTAGTAAATAAAGTGGTGGCAATTATGGATTACACATAACCGATCATGCTCAAGGAACTACTTTTTTGATGAACTGTTTAGTTTTTACTGGCGGTTTATACCGAATCGCACTTCTCTTATGAGATTCTTAACCAGCCAACTATGTGAAAAGCAAAAACCAATAAATTAGATGACACTACGCACAAGTAATTTTCTGCAGAGAGCAGAGCACACTGCTACGTCACGCCGAATAATAAATTATATATATATAATATATATATATATTTTATTAAAGGAACTGTTGAAATGTCTTTCATATGTTTATACATGTGCATTTTTTTAAAAATCAGAGGAACTTTTCGTATGTCATTTTTATCGTTGTCGCATGTTATATATTCCCACAGATACTGGGTTTTTTCACAAATTTCGCCCGCCCATATAATCGTAAGTAAACTTTGAAACATGTTTGAATTTTCCTTTTATCCCCGGAAGACTGGAAAGGATGAAAGGTAGGAGACGAAAAAGAAAATCTGACATAGCCATTGTACATCTTTTATATATTATTATTTTGTACGTTACGTCCCCTAAGTGTTGGAAAAGATGATCAGACAAAGTAAGCTATCTGAAGAGTGTCTATCGACGCAACGCTCGTTGGGTTCAAACTTCAGTCTGGTCACATCTTAGGTTCAGCATTACCACACTAGAAAGGGGGATGAGCTGAAGCGGTAAGCAAATCCAAAAAATAAGTAGTTTTAATAATCTCTGACACTGGTGTTCATCCCATAGGTTTTAATGGATCCAACCTAGCTGAGGGCGCTTGGTAACATATCCTCACCGGATTGTCGTTGGCAAGGCCTTGTACAGCATCATCTCGCACCAGTAAACAGGCCTAGTGCACTCACTCCTCGAAATTCCAACCAAAATTTGAATATGTCTTTAATCCCCTCATTCCTGAAAGTGCTGCGGACAAAAGCTCTGTCTAACTCCGTAAATCCGTGTCATCCTCAAACCGAAGTACTCAATAAAAATTCAGATGGGAAGTAAATCTTTAAAAGACGTTACTCATAGCGCTGCTTTGAAGGAAAAGGTTTCAAATCAGGGTAGTCTTGATGCGTAAGAATTTACCGAAGTCACAAAAATTAAACTCGATTTAGAAAAATACTATCGCCCGTTCAATTAACGCATCAGGTTATTTGAAGTATAAGTCAGGTAGTCCTCTATGTCCGATCATTTTCCGAATGCTCTATTCAAACGCCTTGTTTACTGAGAATAGGGATATCTGATTTATCTTAGTGAAAAGCTAGGGAAATATAATTCACATTGATAACTTGTGTGATTGCAAAGAAGAGTCAACAAGCCTACAGATCCATCGTAAACAGAAATTTTAATATTCAAGGAGTTAAAGTCAGATTTGATGGTAGCATATGATAAAATCATTCAGTCAAACATTTCACTACTGCAGTTGTCCTCATTTTAATGTTGAACCTCGAATGAATCTAGGCCAGTTGGTTGTAATGCGCTAGAATGGAAATTTTTAAACACGTTTTTAGATTTCTGCTTTTCGTAAAGTTCTGCTCACCTCATGTCATTCAGCTGAATTCAACAAATTGGAAACAAATGTTAGATGGCGAATGGCTCGTGAAATTGTAAGGGAATTCTAACTATTCCTTGTTGTCTAGATACTTCACTGTTTTTCATTTTGTACAAAATATGTATTCTAACCGTTATTCCTAGATAAAATATAGGACTTAAATTGCTAAAGTGACATATGTCTTAGTGTAATCAGTCTGTACACCGGTTTCCCATATTTCTGTACTGAACTATGCGATTTTTCTAAAAACTAGGTCGATCTTTTCTTAACAAGCTAAGGAAGTGGAAAATAACTCGTAGATATGTAAACTTTAACCCTGCGTTTTGTTGCGTATTTTCAGGTTACTGGTTTCTCACCACAGTAGAATACTAGCCAGTCTACCATGTTATTTCTCACTCAGTAGTGTTGTAATACTACTTCACAAAACATTTCATATATTTTTGCATTATTTCGTTATAAAGAGTAAGTATGAGATTTAGTTGAATCTCATAGGAATTCATTTTCTCAAACACATTGTTGGTCAGTTGGGATGATTGTTTCTAACTTCCTATCAGAGGGTAATGTCAGGTTTAAAACCACAAAACTTTATCGTTTCTCCTGTCTTTCAGTAATTTCTAGAGTAGTGGAATTATACCTTTTAGCACTTCAGGGATTCACATCCAAGTCCTCTGTCTCTATATGGTGGTGATGTGATATTCAATCTCCAAATATCAGATAATAAAGATGGAACAAGAACTTTATTTTCGAATTCTTTGTTTCCTTGGCTTTAGAAAATAATAATAGCTCCGTAAAGTCGGAATTAAGCATTTGGTAAACTACTGTTGCAAACTAATTAATATGAGACACGTTTAGTAAAATAGTCGATTAGGATTATCCTCAAGCGATAGTTTGTTTTCCTGTTATGTACGTTCAAACAATCCGGATTTATATACCGGGTATAAGTTGCTTATAATTGACAGACTGTTATCGGTAGTATTGCGGACTACTGGGTGGCATTCATTCTTAGTTTAATGCCTAGTCAACGTCCACTCTCTTGTATAGCCATTCCCTGGTAAGTCCTACTCACTTCCTCGCGGCTGAGGTATTGTTTACGAAATTGATAAGAGTGGGTATGAAGGACCCACCTAAGGGAGTTGAAAAACGCTGACTTCAGACCAGTGGTACACAAGGGCGCCATGATCCTGATAAAACGAATGCTGTGTGAACCTGTTGTTGGTCAACGACTACCATCGGTATGCATCTCCACTGGTATATAGATAAGAGTTTTTGAACAAAGGCTCGGGATGTAACTCTCTAAGAAAACTACCCACTTTGGTTCGGGCATCCGGGCAGTATCCTATCCCACTCACAAATTCAATAATGTGTAGCGCAGGAATATCTAGGTGCCTCTTTGTACTGATCTTATTCTTGAAATAAATAAACAAAATACCAATTGAATTGATGAAGTGCTTCAGTCATTCTGTAATATGGGTAATTTCAGAAGTACAAGCTTGTTTATTATTGCTCTTTTATTTTCAGAAGATATTAATATTACAAAACCTTCTTTTTTGTTTACTGCATTGTTCCTATTTAGCTTGAACTGACTGATACTTGTACCAGGCCCCATAATGATTATGATTTACACCTGTTCAAAACTTGGAATATTGTTTCAGCCTGACAAACGTGATATCAATGTACGATAGTACTGTGCTTGTCACATCCTTTGTGGAACTAAAATAGTCTTAATCAATGGGTTCCTATGGTTCGGTTGTAGCCTGGTGGACCAAAATGAAAATCCATATTGTCTATAATGCAAGACAGTTAGTTATAAATAGCTTACTTTCTGTCGGCTGAAGTACTGCGTAAAAAACTCGAATATTGCCAGATTTTTCCTCTAAGCTTCGGGTATTGAAACATTACTACTTGATCGTTTAGAATTTCCTACTTAACAGTAATCATTCCGAACTTCTACTTGTGGAAAGTATATTGACTATTCTCAAGCAGATTCTTGCATCAATTTTTTAAAGCTTGCACATTAGGAACCGTAAGGTCAGATTAATTGAGGAAGTTATGAGTGCGTTAAGTTATTGTGTTATAATGTCTGAACTATTTTTTAGCATTATTATAGGTTTTCGATTGTCATTGTTCACTTTCACATCAACAGCTATATTTGATTAACTAATAATGTATGGAAATTGTCTTGGTTTTATTTTGATTTTAACATAGTCATGCTCCTTGGTGCCCAGCTTGTCGACAGTTTTCACCGGTTTGGCAACAGCTATCTGATGATGCTTCTATCAATGCTCTTGTAGCAGATGTTGACGTAACCGAAAGTCCTGTTCTTAGTTTCATATTTTTTGTCAAGCGATTACCAACTGTCTACCAGTAAGTTTAATCTTAAGTAGAATAATGCTCATAACTATACATCGATTACCTATTTACTTACTCCTGCTACCCCTTGTGGAGCACAGGCCTCCAAATATCATTGACCTGGGACTTCCTTTACAGTTTTACTTAATGGCCATTCATTATTTTCACGCCTGTCTCCGATTCTTGGAGCGGCATGTTCCTAGGTCTACTTTTCCTTTTGCTTGAGAACTTCAAGTTGAGGCTTACCTCGTCGTACAGTGGGGTGACCTCCGCAGTGTATCCTATACACATCTAGTGCCTTCTCCTAATTTCTTCCTCTTCTGCTATCTGGTTCGTTCTCTCTCACAGTAAATCGTAGTTGATGGTGTCCAGCCAACGGATCCTCATTATCGTTCATAGAGAGCTATTGATAAACACTTGTATCTTTTCAATCATGGCTTTCGTAGTACTCAAAATTCCTACCCCATACAATATAACTGACTTACAGTTTGTACTGAAAATTTTGATTTTGGTGTTGGTTGATGGTTGTTTTGAGTTCCTGATGTTCTTCAATTGTAGAAATGCTGCTCTTGCTTTGTTAATCCTTGTCTTAACATGGGCATCAGATCCACATTGTTTATCAGTAATGCTTTCCAGTTATGTAAAGGTTTCTACCTCTACAACGCTTAACGTTTTCATCACTGATATAACATCCTATGGTGGTAATGTTTAATTTCAGTTAATCCACAGTGTTGCGCGGCACCATCTATGCTGACGGCTCCCATACGAGGACGAAGCCGCTGTCCAGTTCCTTCAGGTTTTCAATCGCGGTCTATTAAACTCTACAATCTCTACAACCCTTTACTGATAACAATGAAAGTCTAAAATAGTAGAGAATTTTTACATAGTATTTTGCAAAATCTACTCGACCTACTTACAAGTAGTGCAATAATCTTTGCCAGAATAATTTTCTGGCGAGAATTATTATGCAGTGAATACAAAGTGTGAAATAAATTCAATAAACTATAGTTTAATAATATGTAGTATGAAATTTAAATAGTTTGAATAACTAAAAACGCTACTCATTACAACCGGCCAAATTTGTGGTTTATTAGAAAATGTGGAAGCTAGAAACAAACAGAAGTCGTTTATAATCTCGTTACGCCTGCTCTGATTTCAGTGTAATGTTTGAGAGGTGAACGAAGTTTTCTGTAGCACTTAAACTTGTCATATAAAGAAATGGAGTAAGCTATTTAGTAGTTTCACTATTCCGTTATACACATGTTCACTTTATTTTAAGCACGGTAAGAAAAGCCTTTGATAATAATATTATCCGTATTATCCAAAAGTGTGTATACAGACAAACAAAACAAAGTTAAACTCGGTATCACTGAAGTGTAGTGGCTTGGGAAACCTAGTGGAACCATCATCTTACACAGGAAAAAATAAACACAACCTAGTTTATTAACCCCCATTTATCTCTTGAGTTATATCAAATTATGTCTCAAAAACCAACCTTACTCACTTTTTAAATATGTTTTTGATATATTGAAGTCATGAAACTGTTTCATCCGTGAATTTACTTATACGTTTAGCTTTTTAATTACAACTAGGTGTAATTTATATTTTATTATTCTTCGCTTAGTACAGGAAATACTTTAATTTTACTAAATATAGTTCTCTAAACACTTTTCTTTATATTTTAGTGTAAAGAATGGCCTATTCAGAGTTTATGAAGGTGCAAGGACTTTTGATGATCTTAAAGTTTATATGAAGTCTGAAAAATATGAAACCGAAACACCTTTACCATGGTATTATTCACCAGCATCTTTTCAGTAATTCCTAATTGTTATTTATAATACCTTTTTCTATAAATCACATAGTATGCATATGTTCATACGTTTCATGGATCTTGGCATTTTCATCACGGTTTGTATTGATAATCACATTTAATTATACACTAACCTGATTTTTATTTATAGAATACTCACCAAGCATTTTTAGATGCTGGCTATAGTAACTGGATGTCATTCATAATCATTGGTCTATCGACTATATTTTCTGGACTTTTCATTGGACTTGTAGGTTTCCAAAAACCAAAAATATCATTTATATGTAACTTTTCTTGTAGATCCTTGTATTGATTTTTGATTGTTTCTTCCCACCGCGTCCACAAATTCTAAGGTTTATCAGTAAGCCTAGAAAAGTGGAAGAAAATGTGAGTCACACTCTTTTTACCATGATTATTTTTCATTAATTACAATGACTTAATCTTTGAAGCATCTGGTTTTCGATCGATAAATTACTGGTTCGAACCTAAACCCCACTTCACTTCTTTTAACCATGTACGGTATCACTAGCTCATGAAGAGTTACTCTATAATCTAAGTATATAATTATACCCCTGGTGAACAAGTTACATTATAATGTTATCAATGCTGACTAACCATAATTTATTTATTTCAATGGTAGAAACATGTTGTCACTACTTTTAGTTCATTAATATGCTGTGCTCGAAAGTCATGTTTCTCTACTATGTACGCTGAGTTTTGCGTTAGCGGCCAATTGTTATGTACTAGCCACTGTTATTGAGTTCGTAATAAAACCGCTTGTATTGCTATAATTCAATCGTTCTTTAATTCGCTAGTATCGTAGGTCCACCACAAACCCCAGTACTTAATTGTTTTTATGAAGATAACATGTTTCCGTCTGTGATTAAATCAGGTTCAGAGAGAACCGTTATATCTTTTTGAAGTCAACGTTTTTCAGATGGTTTGAATCAGCTTTCTCATGTTTTTTATTTGCAGGAAGAAACAGAAAAATCTAACTCAAATGTTCATGAAGATTGTGTAGCAGAAGCGAATTTAGATGATGAGAATACGGAAATTCGTCAAAGAAAGGTTGATAATAACGAGGTCCATGATTCATGATCTGATAAATTGCACAGATAGTTACATAAGTTTTTTTTCTAATATCACTATTTTATTTTTCTCAATTATCTTGGTTTTTGAATTCTTCCAGATAACTTGTACGTAGTATTTTATATTTGGTTGTCAAACTTCAGTTTAATGTAATCATTTATGTATTAGTGTGTAAGCTTTAAAGGTTAACTGAATGTAAAATAAGCACGTACGAGTACATTAGATAATTATTACTATATTTACAATACTCTGACTCAATTGTAAACATTTGTCTGTCTAAATAACACCAGTATAAGAAGTCGTAAAACTAGCAGTTTTCCAGTTATTGAACTGTTTTAAAACTTTGAGTGAGTTTTGTTTCTTTTTTTGTTGTGAAGTACCATCATTTCGAAAAGAGGAGAATGAAGAAATTAAAATCTAATCAAGTTATCAGGACTCTCTTAATAGATAACTAAAGCTATCACAGTTAAGACTGTTAATAACCAAACTAAAATTATCAACTAAACATAGTCAGTCAGTCAGTCAGATGCAACGTAGAACTTGGTACGTAAGTACATCAGTTCATGTTGCCATACCACATCAGCACAGAGATATAATTGTCAATTCAAATCCAATAGTAGTAGAGGTAGTAAGGGAATTAGAAGTAATCGGAGAGGTTAGGGTTAGAAGATACTATTCAAGAAGTATGATTCAGTGAGAAAAGTTTAGACAGTCGAAACTAGAGGTGTTGAAGAATCCAGAAGATTAGGATTTGAGAGAACACAAAGAATAAATGCACTGGCGCCATTGCGAACGATTTTGAGCCATGTCATTCAAGGTCTCTAACCATCGATTATTATCATCTCGCGGACCCCAACCAGGTAGTCGACAATTACCGACATGGCTCAGTCCACTACTCAATGACTTCATGGATTTCTGTCATGTTTTGGTCTGGCCGCCCCTAACTTTCTTCCAACCTATTCCTACACTACAAAACAAAGTTCGTCGAAGCAGTCGGTGGTTCGGCATACGCAAGACATGTCCCAACCACCTCAACTGATGAAGTTTCACCACTTCATCGATTGATATGCCATCCTTGCCTAGTACTCGTTTCCTAACGACAGCGTTGCTTACTCGGTTGTCCCATGGTAAACGAGCAATGCTTTGAAGACACCTATGATCGAAAACCAGTAACCTACGAATATCTTCTACTCTCACTGGCCATGTTTCACAGCCATATAAGAGAACGGAGCGTACTGCTGCACAGTACACTCGTCCTTTGATTAGAGAACGGATATCACGCCTACGCCATAAGTGACGCAGGTTGGCAAAAGCCAATCTAGGCTTGTGTATCCGAGCTGAGATTTCGTCAGTCACCAGGCCATCGGCACTGATGAAACTCCCAAGATAAGTGAAGCGGTCTACGCGCTCGACTATTTCACTCCCTATCACTAGTTCAGGTGCCGATGAAACCCAGTCTTGAAGCAACATTTTGCATTTCGAGGGGGAAAACCGTATCCCGAACATGCTTGCATTGTTGCTTAGGGTGGTCAGAAGACGCTGCATTTTGTTGGCATCTTCACCAAGTAGGACTATGTAATCGGCATATTCTACGTCGATAAGCGAGCCACCTGGTAGAAGGTCTACTCCAGAAAATTCAGACGAGGATAAGGTTATTTCTAGGAGCATGTCTATGATAAAATTAAACAAGAATGGAGAAAGTGGACATCCCTGACGGACACCACTTGATGTAGAGAATTCCGGTGACAGTTCGCCATAAGCCCTCACTCGACCAGTGGTGTACGAGTAAAGGCTTGTATAAGGTTAATGTACTTCTTTGGTACACCTTTCAATGACAGACACTGCCACAGAACCTCACGATCCACAGAGTCAAATGCCGCCTTAAGGTCCAGGAAGACAACTATTGTAGGACGCCTAAATGTGTGTCTATGTTCCAGAACCTGTCTTAGTGTGAAGATGTGGTCTATACAACCACGTCCAGGTCGAAAACCGGCCTGGTTTTCTCTAGTCTGCTCTTCACGAGCTTTCGTTAAGCGTCGAAGTATTATTGAGGCCAATATTTTAGATACTATATTAGTTAGACTTAGTCCCCTGTGATTGTCACGAGAAAACTTTTGTCCTTTCTTATAGATTGGGACAATCAGTGATTGAGATCAGTCGGATGGGATTACGTCCAGTTCCCAGATTCTACCTAAGATCTCAGTCAACCTAGCAGATAAAACTGGACCACCATCCTTAAATATCTCAGGGGTCAGTCTATCAGGACCTGCAGCTCGTCCTCGTTTCAGATTTCCTAACGCTTTCTCAACTTCATAAAGACTAGGGGGACTTAGGTCGATTTGCCATTCAGGATGACTGTAGATCGTGGGTAACCGAAGAGTGGCTCGTGGCCAGTTGAACTGATCACATTCGGGTTCTTAATACCAGTTTCTTTAATAAGGCGGAAAAGTTGTCTACTGTTGCCTATCGCCGCTGCCTTTTCCATCGCTTTTGCTTTCGCCACCCACCACTGTTCGCGGTCGTTACGCAGACTTTTTATAAGTCTGCGCCTAAGCTTACTACGCTCTTCATCATGCTCAGAGTCAGGTGGGATGCGTTTTCGAGCATCCATCAGTTCGGTGGATGCGACTGATATCCACGGTTTCATCCTAGCCTTATGGTTTGCCTTACTAGCAGATATCACTGCTGTTTCCACAGCCTTTTTGATATCATACCAACCTGCTTCTGGATGGGAATCGCTTGCATGGTTGCTTAACTCTCTTTCTAGTTGCTCCTGAAATATTTTCTTGGTTTGATTATCATTAAGTAAAACCCTAAGAGGCTTCCTTACGGTGTCTTTCCTACGTCCAGTAAGCCTCAAACAGATATGAGCTCGCACTAGAGCATGATCTGAATCCAAACATGTGCCCCATAACGAGCGACAGTCCTCTATCGAACCCCTCCATCAGTGGCTGATGGCGATGTGATCTAGTTGAGTCCAACGTTGAGACGACTTCCGGGGTCGCCAGGTCAACAGATGCTTTTCCTTATGCCTAAAGTTGGTGTTCGCTAAGAATAGGCGGTTATCTGAGCATAGTTGCAACAGACGGTCGCCATTGTCTGTTCTCTCAGTCGCTACACCATAACATCCACCTAGATGTCTTTCCTTTTCACCTAGTCTACCTACTTGAGCATTAAAGTCACCAGCCATTATTACTATATCAGAGCGCCTAGCTTTTTGGAGGAGGTCCGAAAGCTTTCTGTAAAACTCATCTTTAATCTCGTCTGCACTGCAGTCAGTTGGGGCATAGGCAGATATGACGAAGAGGCAACGGCGAGTGTCCCTATCCTTACGAGTCCTTACTGCACACAAACGACTATCTACTGGGATCCAGTCTAGGAGAGATAATTCTGCCCTAGGACTCAACGCTATGCCTACGCCAGCAAGACCCCTGGAAGCAGCATCAGGGCTACCGGATACACGAAGAGTGAATCGGGCTGCTTCTTCGTTTTGACAAGGCGGAATCAGGTTAATGACTTTACTAGGATCCTGTATGCGCGTTTCCGAGACGCAGCATACATCGATGGCACGAGTTTCTAAAGTCCTAGCTAAGGAAGCCTGTTGCCCTACTTGACACAATGTCCGTACATTAAAAGCTCCAACATGTAGTCTAGAACGGGGTTTCAAGAGACCAGGAACGACGTTTCGTGAACTCGCTTCGTCTGCATTAGCGGTGCAGTGAGAAAAGGGAGTGTGAGTAGAGTTAGTCGTAGAGATAAGAGAGACATTAAGGGGTGTAGGAAGGATTTGATTTTGACCAATTCGGTCTCGCGTGCTGTTACACGGGTATGAGGGCGGTTGTCACTTCCCGGCTGCCCACACCGTGGAAGGTTGTTTCTTGAGGGACCTGAAAAGGAAGATGGATTAGTGTTGGTCTTGGAGACCTGGGAGCGTGACCGCAGAGTCCAAGGGACAACTGCTTCAGGCCGGTCACGCACGGCCTTTTTATGAAAGGTATTTAGAGGATTAGCTCCGATCTTAAAGGCCCTTAGTGGGCACCCTTACCCAAGGAGACGGAAATCCATGAGGTAGGGGAGGTGTGACATTTTTAGGGTCGACCTTTTCTAACCCTTCCTTCCTTGTGAGTAGGCAGCATCGCTGCACATGCTGGTTGTCCGAGGGAAACACCTTACTGCTGTCACATCCCTCTACAGTCAGCAGTACGACTTCGCCCTCAGACCTTGGGTAGCTGCTTTTAGTCTCATCGTTCTCCAATCGACCTACCTGGCATGGTAGGACCTGCAGGAACATATGTTCCAGCCAGTATAGCTCGGTTGGGTCATGACGATAGGCAAGCCCGACCACCACGTCAAGGTAGCAGCTACGGTCGGGAACTAAACATAGAGGACTTATTGTTAGATGAGAGAGCAGTAATTGATGTACTCATAATCTGATCTTTTTCACAGAAGTCACTATCATTGACATTAAAGCTTGAAGGAAGTTCATTATCTCAAAACGCTAGTTAAAATAACGGACGATGACGATAATTATATGAAGGATGAAGTATCACAAATTGAATTAGTCACTTCAAACAGATTAATAAAATTTTTATATGTGTCTTGCAAATCTAAAATGTAAAGCATATCATAGTTTCGAAGATCGTACATAAAATATTTTGTACCGCTACTGTTCAACCACTGATCATATAATAGCGATGCATCATGCTGTAAACATGCAAATATACAGTGATCAATAGAAAAAGATGGATCTATGGAACGCAGAATTTTAAACAGTTTTACTGATCAGGTGCTCAGATGAAAAACCACCGCTTCGAACTAGACAGACCATATAAAGCAAGATTACGATTTGATTAACTGGCAAGCATAAATATCACGAATTACAAAAAGATACATTGAATTTCTGAAGTACTAAGTAATATACCCTAGTACGCTAATACTTTGATGAAGATGGGCCAACACGAAAAATATGGTATCTCGTCTCACATGACCGAGGGAATTTCTGAAGCAGAGGAATGCGTAACCTTTTATGACCTTCAGATATTAATATCTATTAAGCCTGATTCCTGTCACGGAAAAGGAAAGACAATAATAGCAAATATCACTGATGACGGCTTTCTTGCTTAATGTAAACAGTTTACTGTAGTTGAGAAGGGGCTTCAATATTTCGGTAGATGTGGAAAATGTCCATTGAATGAAGCGATAAATAGTTAGAATATTTCGAGTTCAAATTCAGAAATTTCAATTAATCTGATCTGGTCTTACTGTAATTGAAGTCAAACTGATCAATGAACTAGGCTGAACAATCAAGATTGGAAGTGCATACCATTCATTCTTCTGTTTCAGTAAGATTCTTTTCTATAATTAAAGAATTTTTGTTAAGCATGACAGACTACATTAGACATAATAAGGTCACAAGAACT